TCAGCTGGCCCGATAAGCAATCGCAGCTCCTCCGATACGCAGCAGACAGAACGGGCATATTGTCCTTTGCCAACATTCCATTACTCTGGCTCTTTGCGGGCCGCAACAACATCTTCATCTGGGCTACAGGATGGAGCTTTGCCACTTTCAACCTGTTCCACCGCCACGTGGCCTGGATAGCCACCATTCAGGCCGTTGCTCATACTTTTCTTTACCTCTTCATTATGTACGAGAGTAAGTTATTTCCCTCGTGATACTGCTGGGATATAGCTGACGAAAAGTACAGAGGGCAGACTGCTAAAAAAACTGACGAAACCATATCTGTTATGGGGAACAGGGGTGAGTCTTGATACTTTATAGGGTCATCCGCACCGACTGACCTTCATACAGGCAACAATCCTTATGGTTCTGCTCCTACCATTAGCCATCCAGTGCTTTCGGCACCGATCCTATGAACTATTCCTCATTATACATATTATATTCTCCGTTGGGCTTCTAGTTGGATGTTTCTAGTGCGTTCCCTACCATCAATTTGTATCCCCTTTACTAACCGCGTTCTCGTATCAGTCACACTATAATCTTCTCCGACCACGAATACTGGGTCTACTTGTGGCCTGCGGTGACTATTTGGGCCGTGGACCGGGCACTCCGTCTGTTCCGCCTCATCTACTGTAACATCCACGTGCGACTCAATGCCGGAAACAGTATACAGTACAGCAAGAGCTTTGCCAGCTATGATGCATCGGCGGACGTGATCCGGCTCGAGGTTATCCCCGGCTCGAAGCTTCTCTGCCCTACTCCAGGACAGTATTACTATCTCTACCAACCATTCCGACTGACAGGCTGGGAAAGCCACCCCTTCACCCTGGGTCACTGGTACTACGAAACCGACTACAAAGATGCATCCCCCACCCCACCACTAACCAAGGGCGACCATACGATCGACGTGACCCAGGTCCCCCTTCTCTCCGACTCCTCCTCCGAATCCGCATCGGCAGAGGCAATCCAACTCAAACGTGACGTCCCTAGCGGCTTGAGACTTGTCTTCTGGATCCGACCCTACGACGGATGGACCCGCAAACTCCGCGACCAATGCATCCGATCCCCGACCCAAAGCATAGACAGCACCATCCTCCTTGAAGGCCCCTACGGCGACCAGTTCCCGCTCTGGAACTATGAATCCGTGCTCCTGATAGCCGGCGGAACCGGCATCGCCGCGATAATCCCTTACATACATGGTCACCTCTTGCGCACATCAGAAGACCCCGACCAAGCATCTACCCAGATTCGAGACATACAGCTCGTCTGGGTCGCGCGACAGACTGCGTTCATCCGACAGCTTGCCACCCGTGAGTTAGCGCCGGCTCTGACACGCGATGACTTCCGAGCATCGTTCTATGCCACTGCCAAGCAAGCTCCACACGACCCGGATCGGTTAGAATCCATGGATGAGCTAGAGGTGGCACAGGGACGACCGAACGTGGAAGGCCTTGTCTTAGCGCATGCGCATGCAGCGCAACTCAGCGAGTCGTCTGTGGCGGTGTTGGTGTGCGGTCCGACAGCCTTGGCAGATCAGACTCGGGCTGCGGTGTGCTTGGCTTTACAGCGGGGGTATCGGGGAATCCGCTATGTCGAGGAGTCGTTTAGTTGGTAATGTGTCCCGATTTATGACTGTTGATTTTGCTGTGATTATTATGCGCGTGTACAGAAAGACTGCTTAGATATTGAATTCTTGACTATTAGAAGTTGGTGCTGGGAGATATGAAGGTGAACAATGTTGCAGATACCTAGCAGAGCAATTGTGGCATGTCACTCTATCCCTATGATTATCTATATGGAGATAATTGGTTGCTCTGTGAAGAGCCGTGAAGGAGATGTCTATTCTGTACTGTCTTAGTGAAGTATGCATGTGATATACCTTTCCGCTTGGAGGTGGTGTAGCATATAGTACTTCAATGGTATGAATCAATAACCAAGCCTCTATTACATGGCCACTAACAAGTGACTCGAAACTGGTTGAAACTCGAGTTCTAGTGAATATCATGAGGATAGGGAGGAATGTGAATTCCTATCCTGGTAACTTGCGCCATATGAAATACTTGAATCCTACCGGCAGTATGTGATTCACCCTACAATTTGTCTTCCCCTTTCCCCACAATTCCTTCTTTATAAGTATCGTACACTCTTCCTTTCCATCTACATCCATACCATCTGGTCTAAAAACCTTCCTTCAAGCTCCAACGAAAACAACTCCTCTTTACATTATACCAAAGCCCAGAGCTGAACGGCTGTTACTAAAAAGGATACCCGTCTATATGACATGTTATCAGGGTATCAGATACTCTCCGTCTTCATATAGCAGAGAATGATATCTAGCGACCTTTGCATCTCGTCTCTCTCCAAACACGCCTGCCACAACGGACCGCAAATAACGAATTCGTCGCCGCAGTCCGAGGGCGATAATCCATAGCATTACTGCTATTACTACTACGTTTCTCCTTTTCTCCTTGCGCATCCATGCAGAAGCTATTTTGATTCCACTCAATATGTGGTTAATCAATCTACGAAGACTAAGTGGGCCTAAGATAGCCATCAGAGCCACTTCCACTCGTTGCGAGTCTGTCTCCTAAAAAGAGCATCTGTTCGACTCTACGCAGTGCTTGGTCGCTGTGGTTGCGGCATTGAGTCTGGCTAGAAGTGGGCTTGTGACCTGCAGGGGTATCTTCAGTCTGTTTGGCTCATACCCGTTCATTTTATATGGTATGAACGACGACAGGCAAGTACTCCGTCGTTTGGCAAGGCATCCTTACGTTGTGCGAGTGTGCTATCCTCAGTTGGGTTTTCCCGCTGGGTTTTCCTTTTGTGTCTGTCATGATTGACTCTTTTTTTTAGATGTGTCTATTAAGTTTCTTACTGCTGCGGTCCACAGTCTCATCCAAGAAAGGTTTCGCACGCTGTATCGGCGCGGGCTGTAGTGAAACTAGCAGGGACCCGCCTGGAAGTCTCAGTGGTTGCTTTCTCTCGTTATCAGCTTGATGTACTGGCTCCGCTGAAACAAGCCAAAAGGGATCCAGGTTTCTATTACAAGTTTGGAGCTTAAAGGCGGAAGGGAGCATGTTTACCGCACAGAGGTCTGGGCTTCTAAACATCAGTACTAATCATAGATTTAAGCCAGCAGAGTCGACTATTCCAGACACAGATGTCATTCCTATTGCCCTGTTACAGAGGAAATGACCGCAGCTTTAATAACAGGGCTTTCCGGTGATTCCTCATTCGGCGAGACTCATCTCCTTGAGTGGAACTTTGTATTCCCTTCTGCTGTGAAGCAGATTCTCTGAAGGGGTACGGCCATCTACAACATCGGTGCTCGAAGTACGAGTGATTCCTCGGCTCATTGCTCGCTTCATACGACCTCTGCTGGATATAACCCTCCAGTCGTGACTCTTTGGCGAACACGGATCGTTATGCAAAGAGTTGACTTCTGAAGTACAATCCAGCATCAAGACTCCACGATCTCATACTACAGGATCGACTCTTTCTTGAACGCCATATGACACGGGACAGGATTTGACATTGGAACGGGAATACCATCGACAGCGAGATACAGATGACACCATTGAGTTCCTAGCCGGCTTTTCGTTGACACTTGCTGTCAATGGGCGAAAATGTCTCAGAAAGCCGGGGTCTACTGATCGGCACCAGAATGAAAACTGCGCAGATCGGCAAAAGCATTGATGATCAGATGCTGCAACCACTGAGATCCGAGAGAGATATGCCAACTCAATTATCTGGGAGATAGCATGACTTTAGCATGTTAAGGACAGCAATGACAGCAGCAATCGCACTGTCAACAGAACTCAACTAATTATTCTGTGCTGGATGTCAATTGATGCATTGTGTCGACATATTAGGATCATGCACGGCAAACCCAGCCCTAATCTCCCCCTACAGAGCTCAGCCCGACCGACCCCCCCGGGACGCAGTCAGTGAGCAGGGTTTATCGACAACATTTCCTCTGCTTTAATTGATCCAGAGAAAACCTGACATTTGGCTCAAGACGTGCAGTTATCTGAGGAGAACATCTTGTTCTGTTTCGGAAAGATTGCACCAGTACGAAAGTCCCCGCTGGACGGAAAGGAGAGGTTCATGGTCTACTTCTTGTTGTCGGTCATCAGAAGCCAGTGGAGGGTTGCTATAGATCGCTCGGTCGATTGCATATGGGGAACATCATTGTTGTATGTTGTGATTCAACCCTATGGAAATTCATATCATTGTCGGGTCAAAACATATTCAAGAGAGTGATTAGACAACTGCGTCGGGTCGGATAGTGAGAAATTGATAAATTACCAAAGGCTGCAAGTCGCCAATCAGTGCGGTATCTGTAGCGAGGACATGAAAAGGGGGAATATTGAATCATGAACACCCGATAACTTCGCTTTGGGTGCCCTATAATACAAACTCTGACTCTTGCTGTTAAGTTACAGTTTTGCCTAACATATCGACCGGCATGTACTGGTATTTGGGGTGCTCACTTCTTGTTCGACGATAACTATGGAGTGATGACTTTTCCTCCGGGCCTAGTTCTACTTAGGCGAAAAGCAAGCCACTGAACAAGTACAGAAGAATAGACTAGTACTAATTATGAACTTCTAGGTACAACAGGCAGCAGTGTTCACCGCCCGCCCACCGCCAGGTCATGTTGATACCTCGCGTAGCCTGAATTCACCATCCATCTACAACCCCCGGCATTCGTTTCGGAGAATTTGTCATTGGCTTCGCTCCCAACGAATGAGGTATGACGAGATATCGCTGTATAGCTGCGAGTCGAGTGTGAAAGAAGGCAAGATATCGGGGGAGAGAAAGGGGGCAAAAAGAAACGGAGAATGGAGAATGAATATTACACAAAGCGTAATGGTATGAGATTTCTATCAAATTCTCTAAATCTAGTCACTGGCTTCCCAGCGACCAACCCCGTCGACAGTGAACAGGGAATATCCTTGCTAGGCTTCTGTCTCCGCATTGGACGACTCCACCGGCACAATGTCACCACTTGGCTCGAAGGATACGGTATAGTCGGGCCAGCGGCGCGGAGGACTGGTCGTGAACCCGAGCTCCAGCTGGCACAGCCGCAGAATCCATTTGGCCTCCTCGGCGGGGTTGTTGACGATGCCGATCCAGCCAACCAGGGGCACGGGCAATTCACTCTCCCCCTTCTTCTCCGAGTGCAGCATCACCGAGGTCGCGGTGTACGTTGGCGTGAGCAAGTACGAGTTCACCTGGGGATCATCCGGGCTCATGGCCTCGATGGCAATCTGATCAGCCTTGGGGATATTGGTCAGCCACACCGCGGCGTGCTCGAAGGTCTCCCCGGGACGTCCTCGGACCAGAACTTGCTTGCGCTCCGCTCTGGCGGTGGCAGTCTGGTGGTTCACCCGCCAGCGCACCCCGAACGCGTAGCGTATATAGCCGGTGCAGTTAAGGGGGTAGCGCGCGGCGCCCCAGATCCCGCTGCCGGCGAGGATGAACGGCCACCCGTACTTGCGGGTGCTGGCGAGCTCCTTGATGGTCTTCCAAGCGTCGCCATAGGTGGTCATGAGCTGTGGATCGGCCAGGATCACCCCGTGGATATTGTCCCTGGCGGCCACGACCAGCGCCACCAGGTTGTCGATGTTCTCCGCGCGAAAGACGACGGCGCGGGTCTCTAATAGCTTGATCACGGCGGCGACGTGCGGTGAGGGCCGGGGCCCAAAGAATACCACGATTATGGCCGGCACGTAGATCTTCACGGCCACAGGGGTCCCATCCGGCGCTTCATGCACAGCATCGCCCCGCTCGTTGAGCCGGCCATGGATTGCATCCATTTCGTCCTCGGGGATCGCATCCTGGGTTTCCATTATTGGCCTCGGATTGTCGGGGACAACAACGACCTCCCGTTCTTCGCCAGGGTCCCAGAAGGGTTGCGTAACCATGGTGTTTCCAGTACAGCTAGTGTACTAATCTGTGAGTCTCTGATCTGTGAATGACAGTGATCTTCTGCTAGCACATTGCTAGCATGGACTCATAATGAGCTATTTATAGTGACATCTTGATCCTCGCAAGGCGACATGAGTTAGCGGGAAGACTCGAGAGAGTACAAGGACAACGCTGTCCCTGAAGGACCTCAAGACGCGTACCTTTGTTGCTATAACAAACGAGTCTAAGCTTTTTGATAATGAATGGAGCTTCCCGCCAGATATTGTTGGATAAAATGAGGATTGAAAGGTAAGGATATTGGGTACTTCGCTAGTTCACTAGTGTTGTTGATTGTAGGGTTGCAGAAGCAATTGTCTCTGATGACTCGTAGCGCAGCGCGTTTGCTCTTCCGGTCGATGTCAAAGAGGCAGCTTCCCTTGTCGTCTGCCTGTCCATTCTTTCCAGAAAGCGCGAACTACAGGATCTAGTTCCTGGATGAGGAACAAAGAATTCATTCATAAACTCATTCAATTCCCGTTATGCTATTGACAATCCTTTGTTATGCTGCATCCCCTCGCTAAATCAAACCAGAACGCCGTCCCTCATGCCTTTGCTAACATTTCATACGACGCTAGCTGTCCCCATGGATGTACCATGATAGACCTCACTAGCAATGCGACGGTGCAATCGCAGCTCTTCCTCATTCAGGCGATCTCCAAATACAGCCGCAATCTGTTCCAAGGACTTGCCCGAGGTCTCGGGAACGAAGAAGAATGAGAACACGGAGGCGGCCACACAGAAACATCCAAAGAAGAGATACGTGCCCCAACCCAGAGAGATCAGCATCTGCGGGACGATCACTCCGATGATGAAATTGGCCAACCAGATCATGGCCGTGGCAGCACCTACACCCTTGGCGCGCTTGTTGCTGGGGAAGATCTCGGCTGGGAGCACCCAAGCCAAGGGTCCGTATGAGGTACTGTAGGCGAGAACATAGATGTCTGATGTCTCGGTTAGTTTCGTTTCAACTGACTTGGGAGAGTGAAAGGCGGATACTCACAGATGAGTGCAACACAGAACCAGCTCACCCCTTCGTGCGCGGCCCAGTCGCCGCTGTACTTGTTCATGAGTCCTGCCATTATCAGGTGCGGCACAGCCATGGCGATACCACCCCAGATGGCAAGCGGGCGCCGTCCTGCGCGATCCAGATAAGCCAGGATTGGAAGCCCACCCACTAACTGGCAAATGTTGATCATGCCTGCTAGGATCAACGACATGTTGCTATCCTGGCCAAGTGCTGCAAAGAAAGTGGGCGCGTAGTAGACAAACGAATTGATCCCCGAGAACTGGAAGGTGATTAGATATAGGTCATCACGACTCTCATGCTAGAGATAAACTAACCTGCTGGAAGAAAGGAATGGCAAGGCCGACCATGGTCCGCCGGATATACTTGGGCTGAAAGAGGGAAATCCACTGCTTGAATCCCACCATGACGGGACGAGACGCGTGGTCCGGAAACTCCTTAGCAAGGAGTTCTTGCTGCAGTCGAACTTCGGTCAGGATTCCCTTCCATTCGAGTCGGACGCGCTCGTCGGTTTGGGGCAGACACCGCAGCTTGGCCAAGGCGGCGAGACTGTCGTCGTCGCGTCCTCGCATAGCCAGCCAGCGGGGAGAGAAGGGGAAGAGATGAATGGCGGTGCCAACCAGCAATGCAGGGATCATCTGGATGATGAACGGCAGGCGGAAGGCCCAGTCGCCGGGGATCGATCTGCTCAACCGTTAGTTAGTCTACTCTCCAGGACCGTCGTTGAGCTGGCTCGAATGACTTACTTCGTTCCATAGGATATCCAGTAGGCCACGATGGCACCGATGACAATACTGATGGCTTCCAATACCAACAGAGAGCCACGCCAACGGGGAGGGGCAATCTCCGAGATATACAACGGCGCACCCATAGCAAGAGTTCCGACACCAATGCCGCCGATAAACCGGCCTGCAACCAAGGTGGCATAGTCCGAGGCCGCGGTCTGAATGATGGCTCCAACCACGAAGAAGAAAGTGGCGACAGAAAGGCCCCACTTGCGGGAGATCCGATCCGCGACAGCAGGGAAGAAAAGACAGCCGACGAAGGCGCCCAATTCCAGCATGGCGGTCATCAGCCCGGTGTTGAACCCGTAGTGCGCGTTGTCGGGCGAGACTTCAGGGAATTGTTGTCGGAACTGATTCATCTCGAGGATGATGGAGATGACACCTTGGTCTGGAGCCCCAGTCAGCAACTGATCACTTCTATGATCTCCGGATCGACACACGTACCATAGCCAAAGGAGAAACCACCGATAGATGCCAACCAGGCTGCCCCGAACACATACGGCGACCGCATGAGATCGCGCAGCTGGCCATTGTCGTACTTGACTTCTGCCGACAGTATCTCCAGGGCGTTATCCCCATCGAATTCATCGTGGACCGCCTTCTCCTTGTCCAGGGATGCATCATCGTTCACAGTTGTTCCGGCATACTCATCATGGACAGCCGAAGTCTTGTTTACCTTCTCCGGGGAAGCGTCTTCGACCGACATGGTGACACCTGCAAGACGGAATGCACGAAGGATGGATAGAGATGATCTTCGTCGAGATGTAATAGATTAGAGATGCGCTTGTCCTGCAACAGACTGGAACATGCATCCAACCGGGGACACCAAGTGGGTATATATGCATTTTCGGGGGAAAGCAACCACCACCACCATACCACCACCATCACCACCAGCCCGACAGAAACTCACTCGCTGACCATGGAAACCCAAGGAAAGTGTAAACCAGGCTATCCAGCTCCGACCCGACAATTGACAGCCTACTTCTTCCCGCATGAGAGTCGGTGTAAACCTGGGGAAGAACCCGGGGAAACGAGATGGAAACACGGGGAGGGGGGATGCATCCCACCCTCGTGATTGGTTCCCCCCTTGGCCCGTGGCGATAATACCTTATCCGGCAAGCACTCAGCGCACCTAATGAGGAAAATTGCCGTCTTGAGTAGACGCGCTAGCAAGATAGGCTCAGCCAATCGCCGTATAGGACTAGAGCAGGAATGGCCTAGTCTCGGGGTGATTCCGACGGACACTGGCTGCCGCATGACGTCATTACCTTCGTGACTGCGCAGTTTGCAGACGGTCATTGGATAAGACGGTTGACGCCGGTCATTCGCTGGCTCGGAGGTCGTGTGCTCGACTAGCCCCCTTTCCTGGCTGTCACTTGTGGCTTCATCTATTTCCTTGCTTGCGAGGCGACTATGGGCTGAGCTGAAGTCATGTCATTTCATCATCGCTCTTTCTTCAGCCCCTGAACCGTCGAGGACGCGTTGGGATCCCCAGAGAAAGACGTAGAATGGTGATGAGGCACAAATTGTCTGTCATGTTCGTGGCTTGAAATTCCCTGCTTCTGACTGTCCCTTCGTTTGTCATGATGTCAGCTCGTCCGCTTCAGGGTCAGTGAATATAGGAGAGATATTCATTGAAGCTTGCTCACGTTCTTGGCCAGTGCCTACAATGATGGCTGATGACAGCTTGGCTATAAGCATGGGTACTATCAAGCCTAGATACAAGGACACATGATTCTCATGTCGTAACAACAACTTCATTCTCCTTAACGACGTCGTTATCAATGATACCCTATTACCATCAATCACGCCCACCCATCGCTTCATGTCAAATGACCAAATATGCCCGAAGGGTCAGTCGAAGGAACCGCAATCCTATCATTCAATCATCACCCAGCTCCCTTCTCCAAATCTTCACCGGCATCGCCCCTAACGAAAGATTGAACGCCTCGTGCCGCTTGATCTCCCAGTCCTCCGACGCCAACGCAAACCCATACCGATGCACCACCGAGGCCAGCACGACCGTCTGCTCGAGGTACGAGATATTGCGACCGAGACAGCCGCGCGCGCCTGCCGAGAAAGGGATGAAGAAGGGCTCCATGCGCCGGCGGTCGGGCTCATGCAGCCACCGTTCGGGCCGGTAGGCCTCCGGGTCCGGGAACACGGCGGGGTCGCGGTGCGCGGCGTAGATGGGCAGCGAGACGCTGGTGTCGCCGGGGATCCACTCGCCCAGGATCCGGGCGCCCTCGGGCGGGGTACGGCGCGGAAGGGCGGCGGAGGTGGGTGGGAGGAGACGCAGAGCTTCGTCGAGGCATGCTTGTAGGTAAGGGAGGCTTTTGACCTTGTCGTAGGGGGCGACGGTCTCGGTTGGGTCCAGCACCGCGTCGAGTTCTTCGCGCAACGTGGAAAGCTGGACCGGGTGTCGGATGAGCAGGTCAAGGACCTGCGTCAGGGCGATGGCCGTGGTGTCGGACCCCGCATTAATGATGGCGCCCACCTGCGCGAGGATCGCGCCCCATTCCAGGTTGTTGGGCTGGCCCTGCTTGTCGTCCATCAAGGCGGAGAAGAAGTCATCGAGGCGCTCACCGGCCAGGTACCTCTGCAGGCGGGTCTGGGCTTGGTGATAGACCACGTCGTCCCACGGGGCAGCTTGTTTCCAAACCGTCCGCCATTCAGGATGCAGCTTCGACAGCCGCGCCAGCCACGGGTAGTGCTTGTAGTCCCACACGAACACCGACTGTGCATAGGCCGTCTGGGCTTGGGCTTCGCGGTAGCGCGCACGGTACACCGTGCCGTCTTTCTTCTGAGCCGTCACCTCGTCGGTGCCTTTGTCGAGGAGGTCCATGGTGGACGACAGGGCGATCTTGTTGATGGCTTCGATGGTGAACAAGTAGACCCATTTGTTAAAGTCCAGAGACACATCGGCCGGGTTGGGAATGGTTTGGCCAGCTGGTAGGGGCGTCGTGCAATGGGCATCCATGGCCTTGAGGAGCCGGGCCGTCGTCTGGGCGACCTTAGATTCCCAGCGTTCGAGGTTCTTGATGGCGAACGCCGCGGAGAGCGTTTTACGCTGGCGAGCATGATCGCTCTTGTCCACCACGTCAAAGAGGTGGGTATGACTTCCACCTAGAACCACGTAGTTGAGGTCTTTGAAACATGGTGTGCTATGGCCGTAGATATCCTTAATGGCCTGCGTGTCGCCGAACGATAGCGAGTTCGGCCCGGTGCGTAAAATCGGGGCCCGTCGGTGGGCCTCGTACAGCTCCTTTGAGCGGTAGCCACAGGCGCTCAGGTAAATGTGGCGCAGGTCGGTGAATCCCGAAAGTGGCGAGAACCCGGGGTATTTGCGGAGCCCCTTGGGGTCATGAACGTAACGAACAATCGGAAGAATGAAAAGGTAGGAGACACTACAAAACGTAGCGGCTGCGAAAAAGACGAGTGCCAACATAGTGAAGGCTGGCTTTTGCCTTGCATCAAGCCTGTGGTGCTTTTGCAAGTGTCTTCCATGGGTTCATATTTGTATACACATATATCTCAAAAGCCGGAAGATGACTTCACACATGCTGGGACGGGCAATGATTCCAATTCTGCCTGAAGTTTCCCCTCTCAGACTCTGCCAAAACCAAGTCGGCATGTCTGAAGTGTGCCTCATGCAAGTTCTTCTGACAGAGAGTCTGTTTTTTGCTTAATGGAGTGAGGAGCATGTCCCGTGACGATGAGTGCCCGTCGAGTCTTTAGTGCCACCCTTGCTTACCGGAAAAGGCAAGTTCTCCTCTTTTGGAAATGTGGCGACGTTGCATCGCATCCTGCTGATATGCTTCTGCTGTTTCATTTGATCTTTGCCCCACAAACTTTGCATGCAGCTCATGCACGGGCCCGGGCAAGTCCCAAATATCCGGGGTATGGGGGAAACAGCGGGGTCTAGGTCCCTACAATCGCGGTTCCCTCAAGTGGAGCTACCCCATGCAGTTTGCAGTGCATTGATGGTGCTTGCTGTCGGCCATGCGTGGTCCCACTCCAGCCCTTCCAGTAGTCGAGTTAACGCACTCTGCTCACCAGAATCAGTGAAATACTCTCCGCATACGGAAATTCCTACCATCGCCGTGACAAGGGCAGCCGGACAAGGGGGGTTTGAGACCGCCAATCCACACAAACGCCGTGTACAATCCTGCAGCTCTTGAACTAGGGCTTTGTCCCTTGACAGAGCACCGAGGCCAAGCCGCGACGCCCGCCGGGGGTCAGACACCGCCAGCAGAATACGACCGAGTTCAATATGCTGCGCCCCTGCCACCTGGCAGCTGTTCATGTGCCAAATCTCAGGAAAGTGTTTTCCGACCGTCGGCTCCGGATCGCGATAATGTATAGGCTTATAGGGCGCGGGCTTTGCCTCCTTCCACCGCTCTTCGACGGTCTTTAACTTGGACCAGCGCTGCAAACGCTCCTCCGCGCTAGAGCGATGGTTGTCACCAAAGCAAAACAACAAGAGGTCAGCCACCCACACAAGAATCCGGTTGGTCCAGATGAAATCGTTCGCTGGGTCGCACATAGTGTAATCATTAGTCGGAGAGACCGGTAGTCTAAACTCTCGTTGGTAGAGGAAAGCACTCCAGATCTCTTGGCGGAGAGCACTCAAAGCAGCGGAATGGCGTAACGAGACAGACGGGCAGGCGTGTACGTTGATATCCCGGCTAGGACCATGGATCTTAAACCAAGCATAGAACGAGTCGTCTTGTTGCGTATTCACATTAAACTGAATTGCATTCAAGTATGCTTCCGAGTCACCGAGTGACGGAGCTAAATCCAGGGCAGTATTAGCATGTCAATTCTGGTGGCCTATAATACCTTCTGAGCTTTACCTTCTATTTGCTCATAGAATCTAAGAATCGTAGCAGCTGTGAGCACGTCTTCGTTGTACTCTTCCTCGGGGTCATGTGATATCTCGAATAGATACGAGATGCAAATGTCGTGATATCGGATCGCCGTCTCGGGGCTCAGCAGAGATCGAACCTCTTCCGGAAAACCAAGAGTCTCCAACGACTTGCCACATGATGCTAGGCGATTGAGATGTCCCGCAGAGGCCGTGTATACCGCGTATCGAAGGACCGGACAGAACATGGCTCGCTCGGGGACATGAAGAGCGAAGTGGCGGTCGCGGTCACTGGTATCAAACTGGATCGGTCAGTCGCTTAACGGTGTTTGCTGCTGATAGCCGGCGGTATGCTTACCCACTGAGCCAGATTCTGGGTAAAATGCCGTAACAAACAAGCCTCCTCGAGGTTCAGGTATGCAGCGTCGGAATGTGAAGTTGGCAGCCCGTGTAGGGGGCCGGGCGGATATTTGCTCCTCTCTGATGCGCCTAGTGTAACCGTTGGGGATTGATTGCACATGTTCATGTGCTCCACAGGATATGAAGACGATCGAGCTGCAACCTTGTCTTGTATCGTTGTTTCCGAAGATGCTGTGGATGGAGATCGACCGTCATACCGTTTGCCCTCGAGACATGATGAAGACTGCGAACGAGGGGGAACTGCTTGAGTTCCTTCATTGGGGGATTTCGCCTTCTTCGCCACTCTATCACCGACCGCACTCACACCACTTGTGTTTCGACACTCATCGGAATCGGAAGTGGCTCTATCCCGCGCAACATGGGGCGTCATGTCGACATACGTCAAACGGCCTAAGCTATAAGTATCTGTCACAAATGTTTGCTCCCTACATCCGAGAGAACGTACGTCTTTTCTTCGACTGGACCCATGTCTGATCGGGCGCGAAATCGAACGTTTGCCGGCGCCGAGGAACCGAGCGGAAGCGGATTTTGGGGGGAGCAGGATCGCACTGAGCTTTGCTCTTCTGGCAGGACTGACATGGCGTATCCTCGGAGCCTAAGATGATAACTATCAGCTATATAGCCTTTGTAGACTCCGACGTTGCGATTCTGCCACATCGTAGGTCGTGATCTAGATATCGTCGCGGGGATGAGCGACCAGCGATTGCTTGGCGGCAGGGGATGACTTACCTTTGCACCCCACGCATGATTGCGCGGACGCAGTCGACGTTGCCATGATAGATCTGGGCTAGCAAAGACTATAGGGGGCACATGGCTTGCGGCATGATTGGTAAATGGCAATCGATGAAGGAGGTGGTGAGGATGAAAACACGATGGAGATGGAATTGGAGAAGCTCGTGTGTGGATGTGGTGATGCGCATGCGGGGAAGGAGCCGATTTCCCCGATCGGAAAAGCGCGTTGCGGGGACAGCCTCACAGCCTCAGGCATAAATATATCCCGCCTAGGAAATGAATGGGAATAGCCTCAGAAATTCCAGATGCCAAAAAAGAGCGCGCCCAGAATCGGGATCTGCGTCTGCATCTTTCTCTCTTACAACATAGAGGTTATCCTTTCTGCGTACAAAGTACACATGCTACCAAGGTATAAGTCTAAGGAATGTCATCGGATGATGTTTTCCGTGATATAACCTATCTGAATAAGTGGCGACCAAGCCTGTGGCTGCCTACCCCCTGGTCATTCTATCTAATCGAATCAGTTGCCTCGTCCGACCAAGATGTCTATATTCACGTTTCTTCACCGAGCTGAGTACAGCTGGTTAGGAGACTATGCGCGTTGATAGACGATCCTCGACGCTTGTATTCAGCAAGGCGAAAAGCTTTCCTCCGGTAGCCCATCATTTCCCGTCACCGCCTGAAGATGCGAACGTGCAGTCTTCTAGCTTCTGTTCCATATCGAACGCTTCAGCTTTTCAACCATCTGCCTGGGGTCCCGGATATCGTCCTTCGCGAGACGCTCTCCACGTGCCAGAGCCACAATTTGATCGTTTCGGATCACGTGCCTTCCAAGGTCAAACGCGCCCTTCTTCAAGTTGAGCGCCAAACTTTTACACATGTCTGTCTGGAAATCAGATAAATCACTCCACCTGTTGTGCTTGTCAAGATTTATGTTGAGAGTATTGGGGACCTGATGCTCAGATGTAGTGATTCGCCGGGTTTGTCCACACCGGAAGGCGAGGACCCGTCCCAATGGTTGATCAAACACTGCACGAAAGGAGGGCAGCGAGAACAGGTAAATCTGCCGGCACGCCAAGTCTAGACTCAAGTCCAGAGAGGGAACCAGGTACGAAAGAACAAGAACCATGCATCCATTGCCGCTTGTACCGGTGACATCCGTGGTGATACTGTCTCTCCGCTTCTTCTGGGAGTCAGGATGGAGTATTGCGAACGAAATGCCTATTTCATGAGTGGCTACACCGACGAAAGCTTCTTCGCCTGGATGGTATATCCAGACCACGGCCTTCTCGCCTAGAAGACACACCTAATGTTTAAGCGAATCCATGACAGAACGCATCTTTGGTGACCCGTGCAGAAGAAGATCGAGCCCTTCGGACTCGATGCGTAGAGGATCTCTGTTCCTCATCGTGCCTTGCAGCTGAGGCTGTGCTTAGTGGACCTTCACCTGAAGTCCTAGCCATGCAGGATAGTTATCTGGAGAGCTTCAGGTATTCGTTAAATTTGTCCGACTGACGGTTGCGCTGGGAGACTTCGACTGGTTCGTGTCCGGTTCGTCTCGGGGATGAACGATGTCAGGGATCGAATGCAGAGATACTCACAAGGATAGTGGGCTCGGTGGATCTGATATAGAAGAGGATATAGAGTCATTGGAAGGATAGAAAACAAAGATTAATCGACAGAGATAGAGAGGAACGGAGAGCGCAAGAGGAGTGTGTGTAGCTCAGTGGGTGAGGGAGCCCGAGCGCGCGCGAGGAAGGAAAGAGGAAGCCTTACCACGGCAACAGGTGAATGACACTTTTTTCTCTTCAAATCTCTTCTAGCTCCCTGGCTCCCTAATCATAACAGAATCTACCACAACCAAATCTACCTGTCAGCTGACTCACTGTCATGCCAGCTATCTTAAGGCATCACTCTCTTCTTCTTGGTTACTCAATCCCACTTCAAACCACAACATCTACTACAACACCGCAAATCTACTTCCAATTCAAAACGTCTACTCCCATCACCAAAACAAACCTCTCAACTACACCTCACATTGAAACCCACCAGAGCACCTCATACCATCACAATCACTGTCAAAATGGCTGTCACTTGGAACTCAGAAGCCAACGCGAAAGTAAGTCACCGTCAATCTACATTTCCTACCCTCATCATCACACATGCTAACCTCCGACCTCGCATCACAGCTTTTCCTCGGTGTTTTGACCCAGCTTAAAAATCAAAGTATCAAGCTTGATTACACCGCGCTAGCAGATGCTGTGGGTCAGGGTAAGTGCTTCATTGCCCCCGTCGTCAGAGCATCGATACTGATACACGAGAAGGATGCACCGTCCGAGCCGTGCAGCAGCAGATGGACAAACTCAGAAAGCAGGTCTCCGACGGCACCATCAACCCCGGAACCCCCGTCGGCACACCCCGAAAGAAGGCTACGACTGCTGCCAGCAGTGGTTTTTCCAGTCAGGCTCTTCTATCTGCCAAGCGCAAGGCGGGCCGCATCGCGAAGCCGAAGACTCCGACCAAGAAGAGCAAGAGTGTGTCCAAGATTGTGAGCAAGGCGAGCAGTGAGGAGGACAGCGAGGACGACAGCGAGGACGTTAGCGAGGACGACAGCGAGGACGTTAGCGAGGAGGATGCGAAGCCGATCATCAAGGGAGAAGATAGTGAGGAGGATCCAGAGACTATTGTCAGGGGGGAGGATAGTGATGGCAGCGATAAGACCTACGCCTGATGGCTTGAAGGCAGGGATTGTGCTTCTGTGTTTCATACTTTGAGTCTCACCTTTGAGGGTCACCGGTTTCCCAGCACCTACTTAGTAGTGCCAATGCACAAGAATCAATCTGGATGATGATATCCGAATCAAGTCGATAATCGAGCACAAGTATCTTTTAAGGGACCTTAGATAGGAGCATCTCAAAAGGCTACATTGCATACCATACAGACGTAATTCTCTGGGCTACACTTGGCTCTTCACAGATATCCTTGTAGGCCCTCAAACATTAAATCAACACATAACCGTCATATTCTGGACTTATCAATGCATCAGTAAATCTTAACTCAATCGAGATCCACCACCTCATTGAGCAATTTTTAATAACACTGTTGCAAACAAGAACAGTGAATCAAGCACCAGACCTCTGGATCACCTCAGTATCACAGTCTGAGATAAAGACGCCTCAACATAACCTTCATCTCCTTTTAGACTCAACAACTATCCTCATCAAGCCTCTTCAGAGCAGTCTACCCATATACAGCAGCCGTCATCCTACCATTATCTCTCACCATCCCTATCTCAGACAACACCGATAAAACGAACTCCTTTCCCATATCCCAGCAAAACCGACACTGAACCAACACACCCTCGCAACCACTGTTCAAATCTTCTTATCCATCTCCTCATCGATCCAACCTACACCTAGCTACCCACCCAAAGCAAGAACACACATCAGACAAAGCATACCACCGAAGCAAAAATGAAGTGGACCCCTGAGAACATGAACATCGTACGCTCATCTTCTCCTCATCCCCCCTTCCACCCCCCAACCTCTATAAGACTAACACCCCCAGCTCTGGGAAACCCTCTTCGAAACCCACAACCTAACCATCGACATCGACAAGATGGCCGCCGCCTGGCGTGAGTATCTCCTCAACTCCCAAGCCCTCAGCCCTACACAAAATCCCCAACTAACGCAACCCAGCCAACGAAGACAAAAAACCTACCGCCCGCGCCATCAAAGAGCGTCTCGAGAAGTTCCGCCGGAACCTCAAGAACGGCGGGAGCACTATCACCTTCAGTATGGGTGGAAAGCGCGCAAATACGGAGTCGCCTGAGGCGAATCGGGTGAAGAAGCGGCGGGTTCCGGTCAAGATGTCTACAGCGGGGAAGGGGGAGACTGGGGAGGATGAGGGGGGTGTGCAGGGTAGTGATGAGATGGGTTTGAGCGTGAAGAAGGAGGAGGGAGAGCTGGGTGGTGTGTTTGGTGGTGATGTTGTCTAGACACTGGGTACCTGCCTATGCTATGGAGATATTTTCGTCGGTTGATGCTGGGATTATGGGGATGCAGATGGGCGGGTGGATTGTTTTTCGGTGGTGCCGTGCCCAGTAGTACAGTACACTTGGTCTACTCGAAGTTTAATATGGGATGGCCCTGATGGTTCCGACTTGAGTACATTCGCGTAGTTTCTTATACTGGCCGGGTTTGAGACCCTGGTTGTGCTGTATGCGGTCCTGGCTAGCTGAGTTCCCGGGAGGGTCCCGAAGATAGATAAGTTTCTGCTCGTGTGTCTTAGGTTAAGCTCCGGGAGAACTATGGAACCACCAGTTCTAACCGCAGGCTTATCTGCATGATGCATTAAGAAATGATGTTCCTTAAGCCCATTGGCAATCAAAAGACACTCTGGTAGGGAGGTTTACCAATGACAAAGGATAAGATCGACATCGAAGGCAAAAAGGCAAAAAGTGAGTGCATCATCCGTGAATCGAACACGGGCCTCATCGATGGCAACGATGAATTCTACCACTAGACCAATGATGCTGGTTGTTGTAATCTTGGCATTGGTAACAAAGCACATGAAACATAGCGGAACCGTGCAAGACGGCAACAACAAAGAACTACCTAGTAGAACACTATCAGCCCTCGTTCCATGGTTCATTCATGACTACCATGTAACAGAGATACTTGTATTACTTCTGAAGCTCCAGCTTTACTACAGCCACAGCTACAGCTACACTCCTAGACCACTCCGGAAACCTACTCATAAGAAATGCGAAGGAGTGTGTCATTGCATATATATCTAGTCGCTGCGCAAACCGCTCATTATCACCAAGACACGAAGTCAAACAGTGCATCTCTCCCGTCTGGCCAGACAAAAAGCAAACAAAATGACAGTCATGCAAAGCAGTCCGAAAGACCCATCATCTGTCTAGGATGACCCCCCAGCCCCTCGACCCCTCGACCCCTCGACCCCTCGACCCCTCGACCCCAGCCCGCTCCACTTGTCACTCCCACATTCAATGAATCAAGCCCAGCAAGTGATGGTGGCGCCGCTCAAGTCCACAGGAGTGGCGGCGTTCGGGTTGCCATCAAGATCGGCAAAGGTGGCCTGGGAGTTGAGGTAGGCGATGCTCTTGCCGCCGTTGACGATGTTGCAGCTCGACCACTGCGCGAAGTTGGTCAGCTGGGCCGACGAGGCCAGGACCTTGCCGCTGGAGCCGACCGAGGTGCCGCCGTAAAGGGTCGGGATGCTGCGGGTGACGCCGTCGGCGGGGATGGGCACGCCGGCGTTGGCTCCGCTCTGGTCGTTGGCGAGGGAAACGGTGACGCTGTTCACCCGGGCTTCAATGTCCACCGGGGCAGGGGCGGCCGAGACGGCGGCGATGAGGATGGAGGCAATGATGGTGAAGGACTTCATTTTGATTGGAGTGTTTGGTAGATCTCCGAAGATGTCAAAGAGTAGAAGAGTAGAAGAGTGGAAGAGTAGAGTAGAGAGTTCTTTGGTGAAGACTGGATCTGATGGCTTGTGAGGATGTTGATGCTGATGATAAAGCTCATGTCGACGAGCAGACACGACCAATTTATACCTTTCGTTGTCCCTGTATATCAACACTCGATCATCAACATTGGTACAGATCTTCAACCAGATCTGTCCAACCTTCACCGTCAATCCTAATCGCATGAGGCTTCCCCCTCTCCACCCACCACTTCGTAAACTAAAAACGGTGACCCAGACTTCAGCATGTTGGTATACGAGCACGCGGATGCTATCGATGGTACACCGCAGGGCACAGCCGATGCCACGATTGAGTCGTCCCCGGCTCGCACAACAGCAGTTCATGCCCGCGTGGATCCGGCTGGCCATGTTTCGTGGTACAAGAGCAATGCACGCGACCCCGGGTTGGTGGCCCATTTCTCAAAGGCACACGTGACCGTGGGATGCCGGTGGCCTGACATCACAACCCAGCCCTCGATCCAAAACATCCGACTACTTTGCGGAGATCTGCAGGGTGCCGGGAAAGAGACCCATCATCCAACCCAACTAAGGTGCGGTAGGGAACCCGGGGAAATCGGAAGACGAGGTGACAGACATGGAAAGCCTTGCGGATGCGGGGAGACCTTAGCAACAGAGTAAATACCGAAGTAGTACCCTGAGTGGCTCACTGACTATCCGTATCGAGTAGGTATTGTTGAAGTATTGAAATGTAGTGAAAATAGTGAATGAACTGCACCGCCTGCAGGTCTTGAACTTACCCGCACTGAACCCTGGAAGGGAACCCAATCACTGATTACCGGCCAAGCCCGCATTCTCGTATTGCCTGCACTCCATGGATCCTACCCGGCAGATAAAAATAACCCATCGCTTGAGTGACCCTCGTATGAAACCTGTCTTACACACTGCCTGCCTGACTGACTGCTGGCCTGGACTCGAGGCTGAAAGAGGAGGTGACGTGAGCAAAGAAACGCGGTCGCTTTGTCCGGCCTAATTCACTGCCCTGGATACCATGTCTCAGAACTCGATGATTTGGCAGCAACAAGCACACGAGGTTGCAGAAGTGCAGTCGTATTTTCCACGATCATGCTGGGTGGGAAAATAGGCTCCCATGCATTAGGGTCGATGGGTGTATATTTCACCCACACCCGCTATTTCCGATCTGTGGGGAAACCTTATGAGGTTACCATTACTCAACTCTCACCACACCACAACATTACCAACAGGCCATAGCTCACAGAATTGAACGCATCCCAACAGGAACAGTGGATTCGTAGCAAACGGGCACGGGTGCATGGAATCACGAGGCCCTGCGAAAAACTATCGAGTAGACTATTGAAGCCGGAACGAGAAATTTGTCTGACTTCTGCTTGGCGGACAGTCTCGCAAGTGCTGGTCCAGGAGAGTGTCGAGTACTTTTCCCGCCTGAGGCTATCGGAAATCGTGGAGCCGGCACCCCCTTGTGCGGACTCGAAGCTGACCTTGACAAGTCATACTCGTACAGGCAAACTAGCTCCCTGCTCATACACTCTCCATTTCTGTAGCCCGGACTTCTTTCTCATCCTCCAGGACAGCAAGGCGCGTTGTCTGAGGAATCTCATATGCTGGGTAGACTATTAGTGACCAGACCGTCTGTGCTAAGACATTTGACTCACATTTGAATTTGCGCGCTGGAACTCCATTTTCGAACATCACTTGGATGTCCTCCAGGGATCGCCCGGCCGTCTCCGGCAAGAGAAAGTAAATCCACACTGCTGCGCCCAACATCAGGCCACCGTAGATGAAACCCACCCGGGCGCTGAGATTGGCTCCATCCGCGTTGAACAAGTACGGAAAGGTGAACGTGACTACCCAGCTGAAGAACCAGTTGGTACCAGTCGAGGTGGCCATGAGTTTGCTGCGGTTGGGGCCGGTCGAGATCTCTGACGTGACCACCCACACGGCGGGTCCCAGGGCAAGATTGAACACGACCATGAAGATGTAGACCATTGCTACGATGACTCGGTCTAAGCCCATGGTCTTGTCCGTGGCCGTTCCCGCCCCACCGACGACGAACAAGACCACACACACCAAAGAGCAGGAAACAAGCAGCATCACCCGTCGACCGAAGCGCTCAACACAGTACTGATTTAGCCAGACCGCAGGCATCGGCGTAAGGTACAGGCCCATCTGAATGAGGAATGAGTTTGTAATTCCAATTTGCGAAAAGAAGACAATCCCGTAGCTGGTTATAAAGTTGATGCCTGAGGCCTGTTGAAACGCTATAACACCCAAAGTTAGCAAATTTGAAACAGAAGAAGTGAACAAGACTTGGGGAGATGCTGCTCACCCTGAATGGAGCATCCTAGATAGGTCTTCCGTCCATCTACCTTCCACTTGAACAGGTCTCCCCAAGAACTATCGTTTCGCTGCTCTTCCTCAACCATACTTGAGATATATACTATCTCGCTCTCGATAAAGTCCGGCTGATCACCGTACAGTCGTCGAAGGGCTGCTCGGGCTTGTTCCGTCCTTCCCTTCGATAAGAGCCAGCGAGGGGACTCGGGGCAAAACAGTATGAGGCCGGGAACTAGAATGATTGGGAAGACAAGCTGAACTGCCATCGGAATCCGATAGGAACCACTATCTGTTCGATCCTTGGTAGCATAGTCCACAATCACACCGAACAACAGTCCAAGCCCAACATCAAACTGGTACACGGAGACCAATGCTCCACGAAAGCGGGTAGGTGCACAATCGGCAACGTACAAGGGGACCAGGCACGAAATCAGTCCCACCGCGTAGCCTGTCAATGCTTAGCTTTGAAATGTCATATTTGACAGCCCGGGTATATGTTTGCTGCTCAATGCTGCCTTGGGGTTTAGAACGTACCCATTAACAGCCTTCCAACGATCAACAAGGCGAGGTTATCAGCAGCGACCTGAAAGATCACACCGGCAGTAACAAAGGCACTAGACACAAAGAGCCCTCCTCGACGTCCGATGCGATCGTCTACCAGGTAGGAGGAGACAGCGCCGATGAGCTCCCCGACGTTGATGATGCTAGTGGTAAGTGACTGAATGCTGGAGCTGAGAACATAGCTACCGGTCGCGCTGTCGTAGTGTCCATAAGCTTTGATGAAGGGATCCATATCAAGGATACCTATTTGTCACAACATGATTAGCTCAGCCAACAGACGCGACCATGATGCTGGATCGTGAAGGTGTATCTCTTCTGAGGCAAGACGTTTTGACTACCTACCAGAGTAGTAGGAAGAGTCGAATCCAAACTGAAAAGCAGCAATCGTGATGAACAAGCTGATTGCGATTGCCCTCCATTCTCCCCGGATTCCAAGCATATCAAGAACGTGAGTCATCTTCTTCGCAGAAATATTTGGGCACAGGCAAGGAGGCAAGTATTAGCACATTCCACGAGGATGATCGACGGAAAGATTCTGGGGGGTCCCGAGCATTTTTTGAGGTTTTATAGTCCACGAAAACGAAAATCGTCTAGCAGATCCGAGTCTGTGAAATCTGGGGTTTCCCACGGGGTAGCGAAGGCGTCCGAAAACTGGAGGGAGCCAGACCCGGCTGCTGATAAAAAGCCGATTGCCAAGGACGAAATAGGCCGACTAGAGTTTGGCAGCCATTGAGGTTGCGCCATCAGATTGGCTGCGTGCCTCGTAGAAGCCTCCACCCGGTGCATTGGGCCCGCGTGGCTCGAGTTCTCGTGATTCGTGCGGGATCCACCTCGGCCCGCTCGCTGAAAACTGAGGTATAAAATATTAGCCGCGCCGAATTTGAAAGAACCCAATCTGTCTGCCTACTCTGCCTGGTTTGAGACTATCAGACTTCTGCCTAAGCTGGTCGTCATTCTCGTCATCCTCATAATGACCGTCTCCGTTGTCGTCACCCTCCCGACCCATACTAACCCCTCCTATGAGCAACGAGTTCACGGGAAACCATCGCCTATACCGGGAGTCGAAGAGTTTCGAGGTATTCCTTATGGAAGTGTCCCAGCAAGATGGCAGCATGCTCAACTCCGTGATCGATTGCCACATGATGCCTTTGACGCCACACATAATGGGTGCGTAGTTCTCCTGTGCAAGCCGTGCCAGAGCACGAATAACCATAATTCTTCCACAGTCCCCGCTGCCCACAACCGCAAGAGCCTAACAATAGTGACTTCTATCAATCGCATCTCGAGTTTCCACAAGATGTGAAAGAGTCTGAGTTCGACTGCCTGAACCTGTTCATCACGAGACCGAGTCCGAACGTTCTTGCTGCTGCCGGCTTCGAGTCCGACAGTCCAGGGTTGCCGGTCTATGTATACATCCATGGAGGAGCATATGGTTTCGGCGCGGGGACAGATCCTATGTGGGGTTAGGTGAACAAGTTTCATGTTCAAAGATCGAGGCTGACCGGTACCTTAGATCCTGCCCGTCTTGTTAGAAAGTCTGTCTTGATGGGCACTCCCATCATCGTCGTGACTATCAATTACCGACTCAACATGTTTGGATTCGCCGCTTCCACTGAAATCATCGATACTCAACCAGAAGGCAAACGGGGTTGCAACTTTGGGCTTGGGGACCAAAGAGTTGCCCTCGAGTGGGTTCAGCGGAACATCAGAGCATTCGGAGGTGACGCAAACCGAGTCACGGTCGGTGGCCAGTCGGCAGGCGGAAGCTCATCTCATGCCCATGTCCTCGAAGCGGTGTTGGGCAAGCGGAAGCCGCTGTGCCAGCAGGGAATCATCCAATCTGGAGCCGTGGGAGTGCTTGGCCCAATCACGATGGGTGATGCAAACGCTCGATGGGCCACTTTCTGTAAGAAGTTCGGCGCGACCAACGAAAGCACAACCTCGCGTATGAATTTCATGCGGAACGTACCAGCAGATGATATCCTGCGTGCAAATGCTGCGTTGGGCTGGTTTGTCTTTCCGTTGGTCATGGATGAGTTGACCATCTCCCAAAGACCGAACGGACGTTGGAGTGTGCACCTCGACCAAAGTGGAACGGTGAAGGCTCCAAATGGTACTGTGAGCCACCCCAGAGAAACCATATCTGTTCTAGTAGGGGATACAGATCTCGAGGTCAGTCGTCATAATCCCGATTCCGATCACGCAACGTACTGACAAATTGAGCCCACAGGGTACACTCCATCATTCATCAGTCAGCCAACTTGAGAGCTTCGAACAGATATGCGATCGGTCGGCTGCCGCCAAATTATCTGAAGAATTCTGCAATGCCTTTTTTGCAGCGTACCATTTGCGTCCAGGTATGAGCAAAGACAGCTTGCACGAGCAAGTTTATCGCTTCTTGTCAGACATACAGTTTGGGTATCCTGTTCAAAGTTGCAGGGAGGAGCTGATGGATTGGGAGAATCCAGGCTACAGTGGCCTGGATGAAGAACCGTCCCCCCGACCAACCCAGGTACAATCATTCCGCATGGCGGTCGGCAATCCGTTTCCAGGATTGAATCATGGCAAAGCCCACCACTGTGTAGATCTCATCTATATCTACGACTGCTTCGACGAAGCATTGCGTAAAGCGGATAAGTTGCTGTCGTCCGGCACAGTACCTAATGCCAGCCTAGTCGATCGTGTTCAGACTGACTGGGTCAATTTTATCACTGGCTCGCGGTCAGCCAATTATGAACCAGGTTTGGCGACCGTGTACCAGCCGGACCGAACTGCAACCACAGTTGACATGGCATTAGACGAGGTCTGGGTGAACAGAAAGTCGCGATTAGGCCTCGTCGATAAATACCCGCAGGAGGCTAGGCAAATTGCCAACATCCTGAGTGGTGGAGGACATCTTTTCTGAACAAGGACGGTATATTCTAGACGGGCGCATCAGAATCGTGTCATGAAGGACTGGCTCCCAGAAAGCGGCAAACTTTGGGTTTGGGTTGTTTAAATCAATGTACACGGTCAAAGTGAAGCGTTTACCATACTGAAGTTTAAAACATGGGCTATCAAGCGCCCTCAAAGTAGAGCAATTGAGTTGTCCCAAGTCATTATCTGTTCAAGGCTTTGAATGTGCCCATAGCCCCGTGAAGCCCGGAGTCCAGCGATATCGAAGCATTTCTGGATCCAGATGGCTTCCTAGTTCTTCAAGTGGCCAAGTACGGTCATGGTAAGTATGGCCTTGTGCCTGGGAAGATCGTTCCATGTTCTGGCTAAGAGCTTTGCGAAGCAGTTCGGCAAACGTTCGCTGATAATCCATGTTTGTGGCTAGCACAAATTTGTCCAAGACCTGAAGGTTGATCGCGCAATTGCGCAAAATCAGGCTATCAGATTGTTGGCCTAGTTTCTGTGCCAGGATCAGGAAGATGAAGGAGGATTGTAGGAAGTATGTGCCGAAGTAGCGATACATAAAGCTTAGTCGAGGATCAATTCGGAGGATGTGACGTGCAACCTAAGTGGCCGATCAGTTTTGATGGCGGTAATGGGACATGTTAATCTGCTAAGGATAGGACGTACGTTTGCGCACGCGACAGCGTGTTCGCCAGCTGTAAGGAAGTCGGGAGATGCCTGCCATTCAAAATCATGATACATGCGAACCACATCCATGCGACCGTGGAGCAGCACAAACATGCAGTGGTACATGTGCAAGCCGTAATAGGCGACAGCTGGGTTACTACCTCCCGGCAGCAGCTCGTACTCTGGCTCTGCAATTCGACAGAAGTCAGGTTCAACTAGCGATTCAAAGGAATCAAACCACAGCTGCAAGTTCCGTATTATGGTTGTGCGGCTCGTCTCCAGTAGAGCTCTATTAGTGTTGAACGTTGGATGATCGTCGAGGAAGCGATACTCAAGAATGTCGCCTAAGATTCTGTGAACCATCAGCGATTGATGCTGTAAACGCTGTGCTTGTTAAGATTGTTGCTGAATACCTCGATAGGGGCAAGAACGTCCCAAGCATATCTAGACTGTGGACTTGATATCTCCATACCATACTCTGAGGGGCTTGGTTCTCCGACCGAGGCAATGGTGACGGATAGTCCCAGATCGCATCTGGGCACGGTGCGGGCAACGACGAGCATTCTTGATCAGTGAGACGTGGGCGCCCATTGAACGATAAAGCAGCATGTCGATCGATGATATAGGTGGCCCACCACAGCCTATATACCGTCAGCACTAATCAGCTAATATGATGTCGAATGCATACCTTCTTCTTTCTTGCCTATCATCCTCATCCATACCCTGGTCATCCTTGTGTAGATCTAGCTTCTGCACGACGAAATTTAAAAACACCAGCCAATACTGAAGGCCCGATTCGAGCGATTTTTCACTAGGAGCAATGGTAGTCAGCATGAACGCAGTCAGCGCATCGTCAAAAACATGGTTGGTGCCAGGAAATGTGCGTGGATAAAAGTGGCGGTTCAGTTGATCGAAAAAGTATCGTCCTTGTGCCATCCGTCGTGTCGAATCTGCTCGCTTCTTTGCCGTCGGCATGAAACATGAAACACCTGAGACGTGTCAGATGAAGTGCCGATTGCCAAATTGAGCAAAAGACTCAGGTACATACACAGAATTGACAGCAGCAGAGTTGGTGAAGTGGGTCGCGGGTTTTCCAGGTCCAGTAATCTGCTTCTTCGGATAAGACGTGTGTGAAACTCTTGATTTGGAGACTCGTAAGTATGTTCCAGCAGCCGCGATGCTTCGTATCGTGTAGGTTGGATGGTGGTGGATCTAGACCTGAGTAATAGAAGCGTCGTCCGTGCCGATGTCAAATTAGCGAGACTTACTCCGTCTCCTCTTTCCCGGAACTGAGAATTGAGAGGCCGTTCAAACAGTCCAAAACGGGGTAGTCAGGAGCATGCTGCATCTGCCCCAATGCGGGAGATGGTCGTGAGCGGGTTGATTTCCTGCCACGCTTCTTGGGTAGTCGGGTGAAGGTGCATCTTATGGCGAGACCTGCTGGCGTCTCAGTGGGAGGCCGGCGGCGTGTACCGGGCGGGGGAGTATACGAGTGCAACGAACACATCCCTGCGAGAGGGGGGTGCATTTGAGCTTGTGACCATGGCACTGGTCGCAGGCAAGGTTCGCTCTGGTTTCCATTGAGGTTCAAATGAAAAATGGTGGACCTTCTTCCCTGCTAGGGGGAGGGCAATGTTCGTGGGGGAGGTGGTTGACTTGGTTGACTTGGTTAACTTGGGAGCGAGCGTGGATAGACAGCCGAATGGCAGGATGTGGAATTAACGGGCAGAAAACAGGCTCCCACCGCCTTGGACACCTCACCGCCAGTCCAGGCCCACCGTTTGCCGCCTAATTTGAGATGATTCTAGACCCCTTCCAGTTGCTTATCGCTTATCCCTTATCATCATTTCTCACTCTTGTTCCTGTCTCGACCATCCATCAGTCATCCTCCGGAGCCTTTCCTCTTCCCTTCCATGATGAAAGAACTCTAGCGCTCGTTCATCTCCCTTAAATTTTGATCACGCGAAGTTGATTGATCAGTCCACTCGTTTTGTCACACGGCAGTTTCGCATGGTCGCACCGTGCAACTGAAAAAAGCACCACCGGCTTTGTGCGGCTCAGCCCAGACGCTTATATTTGACTCGCAGGATCCCCTGAAGGCAACGATTTCTCTCTTTCTTCCCAAACGACCATCAAAGTTCATCACAATGCTCGTCGAGATTGTCACTCTAATAGTCATGTCGGTGGCCCTGCCACTATGGCAGTGGTATCAGCCTCTTTCCCACGCCTCTTCCTCCATACCATCTGCCCCATCCACCACCGACTCCATCTCACACCAACAAAAGGCCCAGCTCCACGAAGTCGCGTATCTGATGTCAGAAATCTATCAGACCCTCGTCGAAATGCGATACCTCGATCCAGCCGGCGTCCATACGGGACCACACAACCTCACAGTACTCGAACCTGAGTTCGAAGAGTTGCAGATCGACCCCGCCGTTCAATATCTCTACAGCATCCTACCATACGTCGACACGGAAGCCGCCGGCAACCGCGGCTTCTTGCACGGCGGCGAGTTCACCGACTTCCGCGACGTCGACCAGGTGGAACAAGGCCGCGATCCCTTCTATGGGTCGCCCAGTGATCCATATTTCGAGGACGAAGACGGACCGTACATGCGCCCGTGGGTCACACCACTCACCCAACTTGGAAATCACGGAAGTGTGATTGTCTACGACGCGCGCCGTCACTTCATCTGGATAATCGATCAGGAGGGCTGGTCAACGACCGACTTGGCGCTACAGGAGGTTGAGGAGCGGGAACCCATGTCGGCGAACCGAAACAGCTTCGAGCATATTCCACATCGCCCGGCCGGGGATGTGCTTCGGGATATTGTGCGGTGGTATCATGCACTCGATGAAGTTCCCAACGGAGGGGATGGTTGGGATGAGTGGTCGGCGTTGGAAGAAGCACAGGTGCGTGGCTTGTACCAGAAGAACGGATGGCCGGATGCTTTCGATGGGGAAGCGTTTGAGGTCGACCTCGTGAGGGCAATCGCTGCCTTTGTAGTGGAAAGCTTTGCGACTGAACCGCTTGACGGGCTGCGGCACTACAAGGATTCCATCGATGATGGCTATCGCTTCCTCGCGGAGGCGGAAGAGAAGCTGCGATTAGCTCGAACCCAAGAAGAAGAGTGGGATGCGCGCTGGCGCATGTTGCTCGCGGAATGGCAATACCGGCGCGGCGAGGCGTTCTTGGTAATGGCTGAACAGAACGCTAACAGAATGTCTCCGGGGAGCGTGTGCCTACAGCCGCAGGGTCGTCCGCTGTGGGAGGTGCAGTTCTTGCACGAAGAGGTCGAGCAGAAGAAGACGCAATTGGCGGAGGCGGAGCAAGAGTGGTCGGGTGCGTCTGGAAACCAACATGTCCTGGGCATTGATGTCGCGCAGTGGAATAAGGAACAACACCTTGCGAAACAGAGACTGGCCATCTACCAGAAAGCGCTCGAGGCAGCACATTCGGATGCAGAGCGGCTGTGCCCCGGCCAGACCTTCCAGTCGAATACTGGGTTAGAGAGGCTTCGATGGCCCTACGACTGGAATCGAGATATCCAGGCTGAGCACGACTTCACCGTTCAAGGGCTCGAGAGCGCAAGGAGTTTGTTGGCCCAAATCCCCGATGAAGTAGAAAGTGTTCGATTCAAGGTTATGGATTACATTCGGAACACTGAAGCCTGGCTCGAGTACTCGGATTCGCAAGCGAACGAGACGCAGGAATAGTTGCTCGTCTTACTGGTTGACTTGCTCACTATTTGCTTTGCTCTGACAACACTGACTCTTGTGTAGAGGCTTAGCTTTCGACCGCCAGTATGGTATCGTTTCGTACTATTGCGATAATGATTTAATTGGATAATAATTTTCTTTTCAGCCTATCAAAGTGACAGCATGATGCGTAGATCTGAAATAAAAAAAACAACCCCGACAACACAGCATTTTACTAGTACTGGACCTAATGCGATGGTGCTTGATCTAAAGCTCCTAGACACGCAAAGCCAACTCTAAACAAACAGTGCCAATTCCTGCTCAGGCGCCGTAAATCCCTAGCCAGCTCTCAGATGACCTCCAGACCAACAAACAAACCAAAACAAACACCTTAGAACTCCTCTCCATTCCTCAGCACCCGCTCACAACCCATCTTACCACCTTTATCATCACCAACACACACCTCCCTCATAACGACACCCAGACACGGGCTTATCTAAATTACCAGCCTCGGACAACCACGCCATCACGGAAAGATACTCCTCCATCAAGCCCACCGTCTCCTCCCCACCAAAAGTCAGCGTGTTCATGATCACCTCCAGCTCCAGGATGTCATCCGGCATGAGGGTTGGCAGCCAAATGAGGCCGAGATCATAACCCCCACGGAAATCGACCATGCGGATCGGATCGGTCTCCTGTTCGGAGTATTGCTCCAGTCGCCAGTTGAAGACCTGTGTGAAGGCCGCCTGCTCGATGAAAGTGGCGTCGTCTGTGCCGGCAGCCGCGTCTAGCTCGCGCAGTCGGCTCAACACCCGGCTGAAGGGGGCATGGGTGTACAGGCTTTGGACGTCCTGGTCCTCCGCGAGGCGGGTCAACAGCGACCGGACGGTTTCAGTGGGTTGTACCGTGACGCGCTCGACGAAGAACCCGATCATAGGGCCGTCGATCTCCAGGGGGTTGGGGTGGTGATGCTGGACGAGGGAGTCGTCGCTCTCTGCGCCAGGCCAGAAACGCCCCGACGCGGCGACGTTGAACACCGCTTCAGACACGCCGGTCCGGTGCGCGTTGAGTAACACGCATGCGGCTTTGCCGATCACGGGGACGGGCACGTTCGACGCGCGGCGCATCTCGGCGAGTCCGGGCAGGTGGATGTATTTCTTGGTCGAGCCGCTGATGAATGGGTCCTGGCCTTGTGCCCGGACCTCGTTCCAGGTCGACAGTCGGGGCCAGGGAACGTCTTGGGCAGCCGAGACACCTTTCAGGCGCTTGACGTGGAAGTCCACGGCACTCTCTGCGGCTTGACTGTAGATGTACTTTTGGTAGTCGCTGATGAACCTGCCGTAATGGCGGAAATCCATGCGCGGAAGACCATTGTTGGCCAGAAGGTCCTTGAAGTCCTGTAGCCACCGGAAGATCGTCACTGCATCGTAGATGCCATGGTGACAGTGCATGACCACTCCCGCGCGTGAAGACTGTCGGTCTCTGAAGATGGTGGCCTTCAGGAACGGGCCGGGCAACGCGACACATCCCTCCCAAGGGTTGTCGGCTTTATATCCGGTTAAGGAGGAAACGTGGTCTACCTCGTGGCTGTGGGCGATGTGCAGCTTCATCCAGCGTGAGGTAGGGCGCATGATCATCCATACCATTCGGTTCTGGTCGTATTGTGCGACCGTGCTGCGAAGAAGTGGATGACGATGCAACCACAGGTGAAGGATCGCCTCGAGATACTCAGCGCTCAGACCTGGAGCGGCAATCCAGGAGGTGCGGATCTTGAACGCACTGGGACTCAGTGTATCTTTCAGGAACCAGGTCTGAGTGTCGGTGACGTGCATTGTCTCTTCTACATCGTCCCAGCCGAATCCGAGCGGATGAAGCGTCGCCTCGCCGGCTTGCTGAACTCGTGCTGGGTCAAGGTAGGTATGCTGAGCGCCGACCGTGGGAGCATGAACGTCAACGACTGGGGTCTTCATGCTGGCTATGCTACGGTCGGCGATGAAATGCGCTTGCTTCCGGATTGTGTCGTGCTCGATGAGATCTTTCCGGGTGACCCGCCCAAGCCGCTTTGTGGCAGTATGCAGGTATTGGATCATCATCATGCTGTCGGCGAAGGTTCGGATGGGAGCGTCGAGGTCGAGCTGCTCTGCCTTCATTCCGGTTATAGCCGCCCAGATGGCAGCAATTTGGGCAACATAATCACCAGATCCTGGATCAACTGAGGCTTGCTGCTCCAGATACTCAATCACCAGGGTCTTCAGGTTGGGTTTCAAGACCTTGCCTGTCGTAGTGGTCGGATAGCGACCCTGCTTCAGATCTTCCTCCAATTCGATGATCATGGTGGGAGAAAACGAGCGCCCCAGCTCCTCTTGCACCTTGGCTTGCAGCGAGCTTGAGGACACATCGACGGACTTGTCTCGACGAATGACTGCCATCGGGACCTCACCCGCCACAGGATCAGGGATACCCACGACATAGGCTTCCTACAAACTAGTTTAGCATCAAGCTTCAGTTCCAAGGGCAGAATACATACTCGAACACCCGCAATCCTGGTCAAGCACTGCTCGATCTTGACAGGCGAGATGTTCTCCCCACCGCGGATGATCAGATCCTTGTACCTGCCCAGCAGGTACACGTTGCCATCCTCATCCATATACCCCTGATCACCGGTCACAGACCAGTTCACGCCATCTTCCTGGTAACACGTATCGTTGTCCTCCGCACTTGCATCGAGATATCCTCCGAAGATCGGATAACCGCCCTGGTGCAACTCACCGAGCTGGCCTCGACGGATGGGAACCCGACTCTCCGGCGCACAGATTCGGACTCTGGTACCCGCTCGTGGAGGCCCTAGACATACCTCTCCCTGGATGCTCCTGTAAGATGCAGCCTCGTAGAAGTTCAATAGCGTGGCTACACCCTCTGTGGTTCCATATCCCGCGATAACTCGATCTGCGCCAAGGGACAGACAGAGCTCGACGATACTGGGCGACAGCGACGCACCTCCGAGGACAATCTGGTATAGAGTCTCTAATGGGCCGCTCTCTGGTGTGAGCTGAGCAGCGATGGCCTGTACCATAGACGGAACGCAGGCTGTATGGACCTTTGCCCCGAGTCGAATGGCTTCCAAGGACGCAGCGGGATCGAAGGTCGGACTGGGGTAGACGACGGTTGCCCCGCTGAACCAGGTCCCGAGTGTCATCACGATTGCGAAAATGTGGAAGCTGGGCAAATGCCCGCAGAGGTGGTCGCCGGGCTCAATGTTCAGGGTGTTCACCACCATGAGGCCCGGTGTGGCAATGGAGAGCGTGGTATGCGGACAGCCTTTGGGAAGGGATGTTGTTCCGCTTGTGAAGAGGATGAGAATGGTGTCATCTGTGTCCGTTGGTGGCGGAGGAAGTATTGACTCGCTTGGTGCGTTGGCCATTAGCTTCGGCACTGTTGTCCAGCTTGCAGGAACGCTTTGCTTGTCTGTCGCCCGGGTGATACCCTTCAAGATTGGTTGAAAACCTCCCTCTTCTAGCGCCGCATCCAAAGGTTGGGTCATGGACGATGCCGAGACGAAGACTGCGGCGGGTTCCAACTTCCGCAACAAATGAAGGGCATCTGCGCGCTGCCCGAGCATCCGAGGATCCAATGGAGCGAATCGGCAGCCCAGACGAGCGGCAGCCCAGAACAGAACGGCCCATTCAGCTTCATTGAGGAGGAAAGCTGCGATGCGACTGTTCTTGCCTATTCCCGCCTGCGCCAAGGAAGCCGCCAGGCGTATACTCCGGGCATGCAGCTCTGAAAATGTCCAACGCAGAGGCTGCGGTCTGCCTGAAGGCCCCTGCTCCTCGGTCTGCCGTAGGGCTACAACGGCGTCATGGTTCGGGAAACGCTGCGCGGTCTGTTGCAGCAAGCCAAACAAGTGTCTGTCGGGCGGATGTTGTGAATCGTCTGCAGCCTCTGCCAAGATATTTCCTGCCATGATGAGGCGAGTGTCAAGAGTTTCGATCACTTTTCGCGAATATGACCTACCGAGAGGAAATGGAAACTAGAGCGTCAGTTGAGTCCATTAGACAGGTCTTAAATCCCCTACCGAGCACAACCCACAACTCGGCTCCATCAGGTCAGTCGACAACACCATAATTGCCAACAATCCGCACATCCATACTACCGGTTCCTGGATGACCCCCTCTCCATTTCACAATCATCGACCCCATAATATACAAAGCTTTGTTTGGTTGGAACTGGCTCGTATCGCTGCCATGCGTCCCACTACACCCATAGTTGGAACCAGTAGTTTGAGGCCCCGCAGCGGCGATCCGTGCCGATCGGGTCGATCCCATCTGTAGCCACAGCGTCGAGAAATTCTTTGATGAAAAAGCCTCCTACAGCCTATGCAGGAGGGCACAACACAGACCAGATACTGGGGTGATGGTGCAGGCACTAATTTTGATAGTCACATCATAGTCAACAGTGTGTGGAGTGCTATCGAAACTGGAATTTTCATTTCCATGGGCGGGGCGCACCACTGACTTCCTGTTACAGTTCGTGCTCTCATCCACGTAGTAAAGAACCTCTACCTCCAAGTGGGCTCACCTGCTGGGCCAAGTTCCAGGGGCTAGCGGATCAAGCCTATCGAGATGGTGGCTGTGATCCCGACCTGGGACCATGGTTCTACTCGCTGTGCCGTCGCGAAGATTACGATCGGAGGCTAGAGAGTTTGACATGACGTGCTCTGATTTCCGCGATGGGACCGATCGAGAGATCGCCTTGATTGCATTTACAAACTGAATTCCTGTATCTCTCATTGGGCTTGGTACATACGGGGAGCAGGATTTGATCGTACCCTCAGGGGGTCTCTCCGCGACTCGTGGGAGACCAAACTCCCGCTGAGGTGCACTCATGCCTTGCGCCAATCGCGTCAGGTAACAGGGGCAGTGGCAAGATTCTGATATGTCAACTAAGGGATGAAACCTGTATCGATAGTTCCTTGAGTGGTGGGACAACACATGATGCCCGATCGGGCTCGCGCGAGCCCGATCGAGGAGCTCTTCTGCATGCGATTTTCAGGGACGGTCGCCATGGGCAAAGCTAAAGAAAAGGAGGGATGGATCTTTGGGTGCTCAGCTGCGAGGAACTGCATATATAGCCGACTCGGCCTTCACAAAGATTTTCCCCGCTTGAGACAGTACTTGTTGAGAGTCTGGCGCGATCAATATGTATCTCGACACACCTTTGCAGACGCCGCGCAAAGCAAAGATCTTGATGCTTCACGGTGAGTCTCTCATCTACTCGGAATCGTGCAAGTTCGTGGACGCGAACTGAGCAACAACAGGCACAGGACAATCCGCCCACACCTTCCAGAGCAAGATGCGGTACCTCCACGAGCCCATCGCGCGAGCCCTCTCCGCCACATCGATGCAGCATGAGATCCTCTATCCCGGGGGCGTGGAGTTTTTTTATCTGGACGGCCCGATCCCTGCCTCCTCGATCGACGCCTGCGATGAAACCTACATGAAGCCCAACCGACTGCCCGACAGCTGGCTCTGGGGCTACGGCGACCCCGAGACCTCCGAGCTCAAGGGCCTCGAGCACACCTGGAAGCGGCTGGCGAATGTCCTGACGGAACATGGGCCGTTCGTCGGCGTCATCGGCTTCTCCGCCGGGGCCGCGTGGTCCGTCATCCTGACTGCCTTGCTCGAGCAGAACAGGAAGAACCCTTACTTCCAAGTGCGCTCGCCCCCTCTTCCTGGCAATCTGGGATCTAGCTCTAACGGAGATTAGGTTAACCACCCGCCCATGCACTTCTGCATCGCCTTCTCGGCCTTCATGTTCGAGCACCGCACGTACGAGTGGATCTACGCGCGGCGGATCCAGACGCCCGTGCTGCACTTCATCGCCGCCCTCGACACCTGGGTCTCGGAGCGGCAGTCGCTGAAGCTGGTCGGGCGGTGCGCCAACGCGCAGGTGGAGTATTTCCAGGGGTCGCACTACATCCCCCGAGGACCGCAGATCAGGGAACTGGTGACCAGGTTCATTCGGAGGACGGGCGGTGGGGTTGGCGAGGTGGATAGGGGCTGCATTGGCGTATAGCCCTCGCACTTAATAATGGGTGCATCAGTGGCAGAGGGTACTGTACATATTTTTCTCATGATTCGCGGGTAACTGGGTCTTAACTCGGCGTTCTGTTTCTAGCTTGGCGTTCGCATTACCCTGCTGGCGTTCTCGATTTGGCATTTTCAAACGGCTTACAGTTCAGTGGAGAAATTGACTAGGACATCCAAGCCTCGAGTCGGGTATCGTTAACAAAGGGATGGCAGGAGATTGTATCACCACGCGTATGACGCGCTTCCGCTGGAGCTCCGCGAGTCAGATCTACCCGCAAGACTTCCGATCCACTTCAGAAACTTTCAATAACCAGGAACCACCAGGTTGGCTCTCGAATTAACTCTGTGGGAGCCTATCAATCGACCCACTGGCGAATCGTAGCAGAAGAACGCAAGGAATCTGCGCTTCAAACCATCCACAAGCACTAATTCCGGCTGATCCAAGATTGCGAAACACGATCCCCACGACTCACAGCTAGACCAAACTATATTTCCTTCAAGGCAAGGCACAACTCCATTGAGACATGTGTTCCAAGGTTATGTGCTGTCAACCGGCTTTTGGCAGAGAGGCTAATTAGGGCAGGGATCGTCACACCCGGCGGGCGGTATCGGACTTGGGTACCGGTAGGTCCGTTCTGTATACATTGTGGAATGCCACGACTATATAAAAGAGACTTGATGAGGTATAGGATCGAAATACTGTTAAGCATTCCATAGCCACCTTGCGGCTTTGCATAAACCCAGTTAAACACCGCAAGATTATCTGCAGCAGAGAGCAGCGCTGCATGGGTAGACACCCGCCGATCAGCGGGGCGGGCGATCCACCCCGCTCGCTGTGAGATCGACACTTCATGGCCATCGAGATTGCCATCGTCGGAGAGTCTCGGGAGATGGCCGGCAATGACTGGATGACGGAACGTGGTTGCGGGCCGATTCGTCGTGAAGATGGCCTGTTTACATGGTTTTGATGGTGCTCGCGGAGATAGAGGAGGCTACCGCATTGCATTACTTGTGGATCTCGTGTCTTTGGGGTCTCGTGCATGAGTAGGTTTAGGGAGCGCAAGATTGGACGAGGTCAACTTGGATATGCATGTGTATCGGGGTCTTGACTATTGGGTGGGGTGCAAGCAGCTGATGGCCAAGGAAGGTCAATGAGACCAACGTAAAGGTTTATATTTTGCGCTCAGGCACTACATGCATGATATCTACCGATCAAAGTCATGCATATTGACGTTCAAACAATTGAGTCAGTCTACCTAAGGAAAGCATTATACAAGTATAGAAACCTCTTGGGGGGGAGAATAATAGAAGCGAGGCAATCTTGCTGTAACAGGAACACACAAGGGATACGAACGTGAGCATGCCAGGAGGATAAATATACTACATGCTACATTATTAAAAGAAATACCAAGAACAACAACCCGCATCATTGGTCTAGTGGTAGAATTCATCGTTGCCATCGATGAGGCCCGTGTTCGATTCACGGATGATGCACTTACTTTTTTCTTTTCTTCTTTTTTTTTTTTCCAAAAAGAAGATTTTGAATCTTCTACTTGATAAAAATCAAGTAAATCCAACATACATACCACGTACTATAAATGAACAAGAGAAGCTGCGGCGGCACTCAAAATATTATTGTCGCAGCTTCAGTCAACACACCTTACTGTAAATTCCGGTCAACATCACCTCCACTTCCCACAACCCCAAATAAGCACAGCCAGTCTATACTCCCCACGCAACTCATACAATTCTCCTTCTCCATCTGTAAGTCTCTTTCCCCTTCCCTCCAGGAAAACACCAGCTAACCCCCCTCCGCCCCCCGTATCAGCTCCGCACTCGGCGCCCCAACCTCCACCTCCCCAAACTCCCTAGTATCCGGCAACTCCAACCTCACCTCCTGCAGAACGGCGACCTCCAACCCCCTCCCCTCCCCCTCCCCTTCGCTATCCTCATCATGGTCCACCGCGACCTCAAAATCCATCACATGTCCCCCGTTCTCTCCGTCCTCGGACAGGAAATGCAGATGGAATCCGGGTACCCCAATCCCCGCCGTATAAGCTGGCGACCAGAAGCCGAACAGTGTCCCTCTCGAGCGGCCGTGGTTGGTCACTTTCTGTCGTGCTGCACAGTCGGCCAGGGTTTCTTGCGGGGAGCTGCGCCGAGGGATGATGCGGGTGGTGAGCGAGGCGAAGGTCGTGGTAAGGCGGAGGGAGAGGAATGTGTTTTTGTTGGTGTCGAGGAGTGGGGTGAGCAGGGCGGCGAGGGTTTGGAGGGTGATCTTCTCCGAGGTGGTGATTGTTGGGAGCGGGAGGGTGTGCGTGGGTTGGAAGGTAGTAAGCATGGCGAAGGGGATGGTGTCGGTGGGGTCTAGGCGCCGCACGGTGGCATTTGGGGTGGAGGGGAAGTGGTAGGCGCGTGAGTTCATCACAATGATCTCCCCGTCCAAGTCGGAGAAGGTGCCTATGCCGTACGTGCCTCGTTCGAGGAGGGTGGAGGCGTTGAGACCCTCGGTGCAGATGCCGGAGAGGAGGGCGCTGATGGTGCTGTATTGGTAGAGGGTGTTGGTGTTGGCCATTGTGGTGGGTTTGGGGAGGGTGGGTTGGAGGATGTCAGAGGGTTATCCAAGGGTGGATGTGAGAGTTGAAATATGGTAGATGGTAAACGCCACCTCTTAGGCTGGATGTATGATCAAAAGGGTGAGTTGGTGCTCGTGCCGTATGACGACTAGGGCTACCGGGTTGGTTGATCTGCAGGTATCGCTGTACCACCTGGAAATGCAGGCCGCTCCACATCGGGACTCTCCGTTCTCTGGAATGTCCCCACGGATTTCCACTTTCGAACACGCATTCCTATCTACATATGATGATTCTCAAGAGGTATTGGCTGTGTGGTTTTGGGGGTTGCTGCAGCTGGAGAATTTCCTCGATCTGATCCCGCAATAGAACGGATGAAGCGACTCGACCGTGTCGGACTAGATCTTCAGCAGCTGATGGTCAATGGGATTTCGCTCATGACCGATGCAATGTCACCCTGCTTCTTCCCAGGCACGGCATGCATACTCCTTTACGGTTCTTTATACCTGCCCCGTGGATCCTATGTTGCGAATTGGCCTGTTCAGTAGAACTTACCTCATTAGAGATACTTGTTTTATTTGACTTGGTCAGGCTGCTGAAGCCAGGATTCCATAAACCCATCCGCCCTGACTCACCACCATTCTGTTATAAGCCCTCTCGGCCCTTCCAAAATAGGAAGTAGTAAAGGGGCCACATAGGCAGTGGCGAGAAACGACAACCCCAATGCCCGAACCGAGTAAATTCCTCGTGCCGTCATTCTGTGTTGACTTACACACGACCCGCGAGGATATTTGTCAAACGGCACACTCTCAAGCATCGAGCCTGCGGCTATAAAGATGGCAGCGGAGTCAGTGGTCTATACGAAGCCTCATGCAACCGAAACCAGCCTCGGTGCCTCACAATATGACTCGCAACGAAGAGACTCAGCTGACTGGCGGCGAGTATATCTGCGAGGAGCTCGCCCGCCGTGGGGTTGAACACGCATGTAAGTACTATTCATTCCCATTTCCGGTGGTTCTTCAACTGAGGGGCTGACGTATTGATAAACAACCCAGTTGGTATCACCGGCGGCGCCATCATCCCCGTCTTCGACCCCCTACACTCCCATCCGCCCTTCACCTTTATCCTGGCCCACCACGAGCAAGCCGCCGGTCACATGGCCGAGGGGTACGCCCGCGCCTCGGGAAAACCAGGCGTAGTGATGGTGACCTCCGGGCCGGGGACCTCCAACCTGGCCACCCCGCTGCTGGACGCGCTTCTCGACGGGGTGCCCCTCATTGCCATCTGCGGGCAGGTCGCCACGAGCGTCCAGGGCACGGACGCGTTTCAAGAGATTGACAGCCTCGCACTGGCAAATGCGTGCACGAAATGGTGCGGGATGCCGCGTAGTGCCCACGAGCTACCTGAGTATATTGCCCGAGCTTTCGAGGAAGCCACCGGTGGACGGCCGGGGCCGGTCTTGCTGGCTATTCCCCAGGATGTGGCCAAAGCGCAATTCAATCCTAGGGAGGTGCAGCCGAACGACAGCACTGACAATCGGCGTTCTTTCCCGTTTCCTAAACAGCCAGAGGAGGGGACTCTAGACAAAGTCGCAAACTTGATCAACAAGGCTAGCAAACCAGTCATCATCGCAGGTCACGGACTCCTAACCTCCCACCGGGGCCCGGAGCTACTCAGACAACTGATAGAGAAAACTCCCATTCCCGTTACAACCACCTTCCTAGGTCTCGGCGCCTTTGACGAACTCCACCACGTGGCACTAGGCATGCTGGGCACGTACGGCACCGTACCCGCCAATCTAGCGGTGCAGAATGCCGACCTCATCCTTGCCCTGGGGGCACGACTCGACGAGCGGGCCGTCGGAAATGCCGACGGGTTTGCGCCTGCTGCGCGGGACGCCGCGACCAGAGGAACAGGCGGGATCGTGCATTTCGATATCTGTCCCGAGCAGATCGGGAAGGTTGTGGGTCCAACTGTCTCGGTGGTGGGGGACTTGGGGACGACGTTACCTTCACTCCTGGAGAAGATCACGCCGGCGGAAGCAGAGGTGAGAGGTAAGTGGTTCACCACAGTGGAGAGATGGAAGCAGCGTTTTCCGCTGGACTTTCAGCCTCTCACGCCCGGGGCAAATCCGAAGCTGCTGCCACAGGAGGTGATTGCGCAGTTGGAGGCATGCACCCGCCACCGCAAGGAGGAGATGCTGCTCACGACCGGGGTCGGGCAGCATCAGATGTGGACGGCGCGGTACTTTCGTTCCCGCGTGCCCAACGCGGTGATCGGTTCGGGGGGTCTGGGGACGATGGGCTTTGGGTTGCCGGCCGCCGTTGGGGTGAAGCTGGCGCGGCCGGAGTGCACGGTGGTCGACGTGGACGGGGATGCGTCGTTTTGTATGACTCTGCAGGGCATTCTGACGGCCGTGCAGCATGGGGCGGAGGTGAAGGTGTTGCTGCTCCGGAATGAGGAGCAGGGGATGGTGCAGGAGGTGCAGCGGGGGATGTTTGGCCGGGTCACGCAGGTCGACCAGCGCAATCCGGATTTCGTGCGGTTGGTAGAGAGTATGGGGGCGAGCGCGAGACGCTGTGAGGGCCGTCAGGAGTTGTGGGATGGGATGGACTGGTTGCTGAGGGAGAAGGGCGTGGCGTTGCTGGAGGTCGTAGTGCAGGGGAGGATGCCCATGGTACCCAAGGTGGCAGGCGGGAAGGCGTTGGATGGGATTTTAGATGGGTTGAAGAAGAAGGCGGATGGGAACTAGTTGGAAGATGAATAGCTTCTCACCTGTTTGATGCTAGTTACGTGGTTTTGTGGTTGTTCTTAGGGCTACGCTCCGCTTCTACCCTCCCTGGCCAGCCAAATTACAACCCCGTAAAACAACTTAAGCATTCCTAGGAAATCACCATTGCTAGATGGTATATGTTGCTTAAGGAACCTAACTTTCAAACATGCTCCCTATACTTATATCTAGTGACTGAAGCCATGATTTCTATCTTTTGACCTTTAATCACAGATGTGACTTGTGTAAAAAGTTGTACTGTAGCTTGCTAGGCAGTATATGTTCATCTACCCGTTTTGCCAGCTACGCTTAGTGACCGTCACAATCCAAAGAACCGAGCTGGAATAACGGTTTCTAAGTATCTAAGATATTATTCTAAGGCTGAAATCTTGGGCTGACTGCTTACTGTGAATGTTTGAAATTCCAGTGGGTATAGGCTATTTCATCAAGTTAAACATAGTAGTTAATCTGGCCAGGGGCCCCACATTGTCTACATAAACAAGCACGCTATACATACATAAAGACGAGTAAGCATTAATGCAAACCTGCATAACCCCCTTTCCATAGCCCCTCCCACCCCAAACAAAACACGCTCAAACACGAAACAAAAGTGGGGCCAGTCTCCAACCCGCGGCCCTGGGCTGGAGCTGATTATCCAAGAGGCCATCAATGGGCCAGACATTGCAATGGCTTCAAGTCGTTCTTTTTTGTTGGTAAAGAGAGGCTAACTTGAAAATCATCAATTTACCGACTGAGTTACACACAGCCGGCTTCAATAAGCACCTGTAACTATGACTACGACCTCGCGAGTACATGTTTACCGTTTTTATGTTTCTCCGATGCATCTCGTGGCGAGTATATTGCCGTGCGAGGACAAGCCGTGCCAGAAGAGAAGGCTGACTGTATCAGTTGCCAGCTGAATTCCTCCCTTATTAGGAGCGTGCTAACCATCAGGCCATTTCGATGAAGCCTATTCCCCAGTCAAACGCTAGCGTAGAAGGGCAAAACCACATGGAAGGTCCTTCGAGCAATGCTCATGACCCCAATGATTCCATGCAGAGGACGATACGAAGACAAGGAGACACCGAAATCTCCAGCTGCCAGCCTAATCGAGGGACAAATATCATAGAAAGCAGACGTAGAACCGCAAGAGAACCAGCTCTTGCACTTGCAGCCGAAAGGCTCAGCCTTATATTAAACCGACTTGAACAGGGTATCTCATGCATTCATAATCCAACTTCATCCCTCAGGCTCCTTCCTATTTACAGACCTCACCCTTGCGACAGTATATACACCGGCTCCAGAACTACCACTCCACCCGATCGTCATGCACCAACTCGACATCCCACCTCTCTTCTCCGCGCCACACCTTCCCTGGCTGATTATGCGCAGCCACCACCCCGCGCAGCGTGGTGATGATGCCCGCGGGTCCGCTGGCCAACACGCGCGTCGGACCATCCACCACGCGATCTAGGAACTGCGTCACCTGGGCCGTGAGATCTGGATGCGTGCTCGCCTGCGCATCAGACTTTTTGGGCAGTGTGTAATGCACTGCGAACCCCGGTTCCGGTTCCGAATTTGGGTCTGGCAAAGCTGAGCCACAGCAAGGTGTCTTCTCGTCTGTTTCTGTCTCTGTCTCACTGCTGTGCATGTTATTGTCTGGCACATCCCGCGTAACGAAGATGCGCACGCGAAAGGAATCCGGCGACGTCTGCGCCACGCGTTCCAGGATGTTCAGCTCCGGGGCAATCCATTGTGTGTCCGCTCTGCGGCGGATGATCCAGATGAGTTCGATTTGTTGGTCGGGGGGGATGGGGGCCGAGAGGCGCTGCAGGATCGGCGGCAGGACGAAGGTGATGCCTGTGCCGCCGGCGATGCAGAGGAGATTGCTGGTGCTGCGGGGGAGGCTGCCTATAGAGGGGTCCTCGATGGACTGCCCGTACGGTCCGCTGAGGAGTACCGGGGTCGTCGGGCCCGGACTTGTCATCGTGCTGGTTTCCCCTGCGGCGGTTCTTGATTGTATGCGTGCGGTTTCGGCGAGAACGCGCGTCAGCCCTTTCCGGGCCCGGATGAGGTAGGTGTGTTGTTGCCCGGTTGGTAATGTGTCTGGCACGCTGCAGGGGGTGAGCGGGTGCGCTTGCCAGATGCTTAGCTGCGGAAAGCACAGGAAGAAGTGCTGGCCGATATGCCAGGGGTCATGGTTGTGGTTGAAGTCCAGCCGGATGATGTCGCCGTCGGCGGGGTTGGCGTGCAGCTGCATCGACGCGTGGGGGATGTGCAGGCCCCAGCTGGAGGCTGTTGCGGGCACGCCCAGGTGGTGCAACACGAAGGTCCGCACCAGCCGCGCCCCCCGATCGAGCAGCCAGACGACCAGCGAGGCCAGCATCCAGCAGTAGAGGTGCGCCCAGTGCGCCCAGCACGCCCCCACGTACACCATCGCCACGACGTAGTGCGCCTTGCGGAAGAACTCGTACCCCGTGAGTCGGATGACGGTTTTCGTGCTGTGCAAGACCAAGAAGGTGAGCAGGATCATCGCCACGATCCCCCAGATGATGTAGGGCTGCGCGATGAAGCTGTTCCACTGGCTGGGCTGCGGCTGGTACAGACGGCCCTCCACCACGGTCCAGCCGATGGTGTGCAGGGCCGACTGGGCGTAGATCACGTAGCCCAGCCAGCGGTGCAGAAAGTTGAAGTGGTGGTAGGGGATGCCGGTGATGAGCGAGAGGAGGGACTCCCGGCTGGAGAGCAGGATGGAGAGCGGGGTGAGGGCAAACGCCAGCACGCCCACGCGGTCCGCCCAGGGACCCAGCCCGCTGCGGATGTTGTGCTGCGTACTGCCGCTGATGGGGGTCGTCCACGTCTTGTAGGTGATGCCCACCAGGGTGAAGACCAGCAGGTAGCCCGAGAGCACCAGAAAGATGAGCACCTGCAGCCGCGTGGTGTGGCCGAATACCCGGGGAAGGGCTTCTGGGAGCAGATGGCGGCGAGTCAGCGCTTGCAGCGTCCTCGAGAGGCGGTATAGTGCGCTCTGCGTGTGCGTTGCCCCCGGGGTGGTCTTGGGGGATGAGGGCATTCGCTCAATGCGGATCAGCCGTCCACCCATCGCCCACAGGAACAAGATCCCCACGATCACGGCCCACAGGATGAAGCTGTACAGCATGGTGACGTCGTGGCCATGGTAGACGGCATCCAGATAGGCGCAGGTGCCGGCATCCTTGGTGCAGGGGATCTGGCGGGCGACATAGCCCCAATGCTCCTCGAGGGCGGAATCCTGGGAGAAATCCTGAATGTGGCCCATGAGATCGACTGGAAAGTACCTGATGGATGGATCGCTGACCCATCTGCAGGGAAATCTGGAGTCTTTTAACCCATCAATCCGCTGTCGAAGTGGAGCCTGCCAAGACCGAAATCTGCTCACTGCCAAGCATCCTGCGTGATAATCTGCTCATTTCTCGCCTCCATATAAGGCCCGGCCGGTGCCTATTCAGGGTGAGGTTATTCCACCCAACGTTGACCACCGTGTACTGTCCTGTACACCCGATTTTATACCACCATGGACATGGACATGTCAAGTTCCTCCAATTCGAGCGCCTGCTCGGTGACGGTATGGCCCACCCTATCCCTGATTATGAATTATGCATGTATGCATGCATTATCGACATAATGACTAATCCGCATAAAGATGCTCTGGAACTGGACCACCATCGATGCCTGTACGGTCCCCTCCGTCGCAATCCCCCCTGCTCCCCAACAACAACCACAACCCTAACCTCCGCAAATAGGCTTCCTCTCCTCAACCTGGCACATCACCACCGCCGGTCAGTTCGCCGTCTCCTGCATCGGCGTGGCCTTCCTAGTCGTCGTCCTCGACGTCCTGCGCTTGCTGAGCAAGCAATACGAGGAGCATCTCCAGCGCCAGTTCCAGCGACACGTCGCGGCGCAGTCCCCGGCCGAGCGTACGCAGTTCTTCTGCGGCGATACGCTGGCCGAGGGGCCGATGGTAGTGACCTTCCGGGCGAGCCCGGTGCAGCAACTCATCCGCGCGCTGCTGCAGACGCTGCAGTTCGGGCTGGCGTATATCATCATGTTGAACGCCATGTCGTATAATGGGTACATGATCATTTCAATCTTTCTGGGCGCGTTCGTGGGCAAAGTGCTCTGTGATCGCGGCGAGTATCGCGTGGTGCTGCCGGCGAGGGGAAAGGTGGCCGGGGAGGCTGCGCCGGTGGTACCGGACAAGCCGGAGGAGTGGACGACGGGGTGCTGTGGGTAGATGCTGTTGAGAGCTGGATCTCGAATTAGATTTGTCAATAATGATGCTCATGATTAATGGTGTCCAGTTGTAAGTACAGTAATAGTCACGTGACTAATAATTGTGCCCGCCAGGTGCTGCTGCCTGAATGCCTGAATGCCTAAGTAGCTCAAATGCACTCAATTCCCCGCGCCAAGAGGCTTGGACAGGCGGAGTGGACATCATGTGTTCTATTTATGGAGTATCTGTCACCCAAGGAATAGGTGAACTAACTAGTATACATCTAATCCTGCTCCTTGGCTAACTCCTCCCGCACGCGAGGCAGGATATACCGGCCGTAGTCCACAGCATCATTGTAGTTGTCATACCCGCGGATGGAGATCAGCTCCGCGCCCAACTTGACATAGTCCAGCAGGGAATCGACAATGGTCTGGTGCGAGCCCACCAGCGCGGTGGAGGCGCCCCGTGCATTCGTGGCCGTGACGGTGGGATACCACAGCGCGCGGTCCTGGACGTCCCCCCGCTTGGCGATCTCCAGCAACCGCTGCGAGCCCGCGTTCTGTGGCGGCGGCGCATCGGCGGCCACCCGACCAAAACCGTTCTGGCGGTGCGAGGTCAACAGATCTAGCGTGCGATGCGCTTTGGCCCAGGCCAGCTCGTCCGTCTCCGCCGTGATGGGCCGGAAGGTCACCCAGATCCGCGGGCGGTCCGTCTCCGCGCGTCCGGCCTTGTCTGCCTCGGCGTAGATGCGATCGATCTGCTCCTTCGTCTCCTTGAGCGGTTCTCCCCACAACCCAAAGATATCAGCCAGGCTGCCTCCGATGCGGTAGGCCTCATCGGACGAGCCGCCCACCGACACCGGGATCGTGCCGTTGACGGGCCGCACCCGGTTGCTGAACCCCTTGAAGGTGTAGTAGGGGCTTTCCCAGTCGAATGGTTCGTCGGACTCCCACGCCCGTCGGAGAATGCGGATGTAATCCTCCAGACGGCCGTAGCGTTGCTCTTTGGTCAAGAAGTCGCCCTCCCGCGCTTGATCGGCGTCGCTGCCGCCAGCGATGAGATGCACCACCGCCCGGCCTCGGCTGAGTTGGTCCAGCGTCGCCAGAGCTTTGGCAGCGACGGTGGGGTACAGGGTGTTCGGACGGAGAGCAATGATGATCTTGAGGTTCTTGGTTACTGCTGCGATGGTTGCGCCCGTGGTGAAGGGGTCAAAGTACGAGGAATCGTAGGGGACCAGCGTGTAGTTGAACCCGTAGTCGTCCAGCGATCGGGCATACCGCACGAGGAAGTCGGGGTCAATTGTGGCATTGGGAATGGGTTTCAGCTCCGTAGAGGGATTGGGGAAAGTTAGACTGATGAATTCGGTGGGCATGGTGCTGGTTGATCGTGGGTTGGTTGGAGTTAGGGCTGGATGATGGAGGTGTTCTATCGTCGCCCGCCGGCTGGCTTTATAGCCGCCCTCCGAACATCGGATGCCGGCACTTGCTATGGCACCAACTGCAGGTTAGATGGCGTTGGCCGTGGGTTGATCCGATAGCTCTGGCCTGAGCGTATCATGAGGGTCGATGGTCGGTTCCTGGCTGCATGGCGTCAAACCCCCCGCAATCACGTCATCAATGCTGCGTCGTGCTGACAAACTGGGATGGGGGAGAGATAAGAGCATTGTAGGTGAAGTAGCAATCGGTCTTGATGGTTCACTCAACAGATTAGGACGTGAAGATGAAGGAGACGAGTGGTGATGCGTGGTTCATTCAACGGGGGAAGGAAGGGTAGACTCCGATCTTGCCCTGCCAGCCGCTGCCGCTGCTTCTACATAATTCACCATGGAAATGCACACTCTCGCTCTGCACGCAGCTTACTGAAAGTTTCCATCACAACCGAGACTACTTTTGATCCGAGTCAAGACCAATTTCATCAACTCACCAACATGCACGTCTGTTCCTGCAGCTCCTGATGGGGCCGGAACGGCAGGACTGTCATCCAGGGACTGTCATCCAGGGACTGAGATAGATTCGGAGTGAACCATTGAAAGCGCGAAGAAGTTTTGCGACCGTGGATTATGGCATGTACGAGAGTTCGTACTTCCAGCTGCTGCCGTCGGGTTCATCGCCATAAGCCTGGATCACTTCCCACCCACGAGCAACCGCCTTTCCTGGGCGCGACACGGAGAAACAATTCGACGTCGCATTGACCAATGGGAGGTAGAAATCCATGAACCCCTCGGTCATGAGTGCCTTGCGATGACGTCGAGAGAAGACTGCCGGATACTCTTCGAAACTCTCTTGGGATTCGAGATGCTGGCAGAGATCTTCATAGGAGGAAGTATCGGGGCCCCCGCCGACCAGCGCCCGCCTCCAGATTCGATTCGCATTCTCGAGCTATTCGTACGTCACGAGGTAAGGCTTCCTATCGTCTTTCGCCTGGGAAGATGCTCTAAGGCAGTCCATAACCTTGTCAACACGTTTGACAGGAGGGGCCGAGGGGCTCAGCAGTCAGAGGCTGGGATCAGAGTTGCCGAACGAGAATGCATTCCAGCACATTGCCATAAGGGTGTTGGGATTGGGGACCCCGGGGAGGCGATCGAATGGATACTTGATTGCGCCGATCTCTTTGAGAGAGCCTGGAGCGTATCGGGCCTCGACCAGATTGGTCGTCGAGCGGATCCCACTTCAGCTCGCCGAAGGTCAGAAAAGACATGACCAACCCGTTCATTCCGATCAATCGGTGGCTTGCAGTGCGTCCTCGGATAGAATAGAGGTTGATGGACCCTCTCTCCATTGCACACTGCCCTGTGGGCCACGTCTGGCTTCCAGTCCAAGACTTTTGTTTCAGGTCCCCAAGGCATGCAGAAAGTAGGCCCAGCTGCCTTTGGCCGGCAGGGGCTCGTGTGGAGTGAATACATCATCACGCTGGGTGAAGTAGTCTTCGAATGCCTCCCGTCGCAGCATGGGCACGAGCCCGTGGCCATCGCCGTCGTCGGCCGCGTCTTTCCACTGACTGATGTTTCGGGCTCGAGCTTTGTGGTTGGTGAATCGGGAGTATGCGAAGCTAACGGGTGTCTCAATCAAAGTGAGGAGCTGGCCAGAGAGTCCGATGGTTTGGTTGATGCCGCTTTGGATTTGGGAGACCTTGTCCCCGCTGGGATGGTTTTGAAAGGTGCGCTCGGCCATTGCAGTAGAGTGCAGTGGGTGTCAGGATCAATTGGAGAGAAGAATGGAGTTGGCGAGGAAAGAAAAGGGTCATCTGCCCAGCCAAGGCGGGGTTACTTGAAAAGCACAAGGCAGTCTGTACAACATAAGAGACGAAGGTTAACGCTATAAGCTACTTGTGAATGATGGTGAGGCTGACAGAGAATTCCGTGTGCTATGTAGTACAATAGAATCTTTTGAATCAGGCAACACCAATGCTTTCATGCTATTACACCCGCTCTTCCACCTCCGCCCTGTTCAGCAGCTCCTGTACAGTAGTGAAATGCATACCGGCAAAGAACTTCTCGCGCTGCCGCAGGGTCTTCTCCTTCGGACAGGCAGTAGCCCCGCTGATGGTCCATTCCTCCGCCTCAGCAATGGCCAGCTCCAGACTCTCCGGCCGGTCTTCGTACTGCTTGATCGTGGTTTCGATGTCCTCCTTTGATCGATAGTTTCGTTCGAAGGGTCGACCTGCCATTTCTTAGCCACGCCTCTTTCTACTCCTGATTTGCCACCAAGAGAACTGCCATGGAATAGATCCCGAGGCAGAGGTCGAAGTAGGAGGAGAGTAATAGAGGGAGAGTAACGTACCATACACCCTCTCCAACAGCGAAGCCGTCTGATTGAACGTCCCCCACTCCCCAACCACATACGTGACCGGCTCCTAGATGACGATCCTGTCAACACTAACCCTCATCCCTCACGCCCTTCCATCAACCACCCTTCACACTAGAATAACCCTCCACAACAACAACAACAACAAATATGTAAAGAAACGAGAAAGGCAGCGACTCACCCAGCCCCCCCTCTCAGCGGCTAGCAACCTCCCCACCGCACCCGCTATATCACGCGCACACGTCCAGCACTGCGCCTCGTCTCCCGTCCCGCGCACGGTATACCTCCACTCGACGAGATCGATCGGAAACTCCCCGGGCATACACCTTCGGTGGGACTTGTGGGCGGGGAGGAAGTATTCCATGCACCAGCCGTGGTTCAACAGTGTATACTCTATCTTCCTTACTGGGTGGGATAGGGCATCAGATGTCTGGGAGCCTGCCTGCTGGGCAAGAATCTCCCGGAACGGAAGACGAGTCCGGCCGTATGCTCGTGGGAGCGCGGGGAAGGACTCGATGTCCCCGGCCCATTCGGAGGGGATGAAGCGGGTGCAGGTTTCGGTGAGCTGGCAGGCTTTGAGCAGGCTGGTGTGAAGGGGAAGGTAGTCCTCGTCTGGGCAGCGGAGGAGGGAGATTAGGGCTGTGGTGTGCGTAGTGCGGAGGATGTGTAGGAGGGAGGGGAGAGTGTAGTCTGTTGTTTGGGTGGTTACTCTGTCAGAGGTTGGGGTCGGAAGATCGGCCTTTGTTGTTAGTCTTCTGGTTGACTGAGCATTGATAGGTGAATAGCGTTGGGAAGATTGTGGAAAGGTGCAATGGCGTAGATAGGAGTGGGATGGAAGCCCTACCTGCCGCGTGAGGATCACGACGCTGTAGCGGGGATCCTTGATGAGCTCTGCCTGGAGGTAGTGGCCCAGGTCGCCGCTGCCGCCGGCTAGAGCTATCACATGGGTTTCATTCATTGCTGTAGACATACTCAGGACGTGGACTAGCTGAGAAGAGATATGTTGGGCTAGGATGATGGATGGTAGATCTGGTGAGATTTAGGATGAAAATAGATACAGGCCAGCTGAACATATTTAAACTCGAGCTGCCGGCTGACATGTGCCCAGGCAGATTGAGAATCGATCTAGAACGTATGAACACCTGCGAACACGTCAACATCTACAGTTGGTGCATGTTTGCTAACCCTACAGTAGCATAGGTATGCAGCCACCTTCCCAATGCCGGGCCCTCGGCGACTGCATACTTCAGTCCATTCCTCTTGGCCAACCATCTCTGACAATCGTCTCACATTACTTTTTATCGCCCACTAGGTATCCATTTCAAGCATATTTACTTTAATCTATGGCGAGAAAGGTGGCCCCGCCCATGAGCAAGCACAACCCAGCTGGCAATCATTGAACCATTGTCAGTCCGTACTCAAACCAGCCCAGCCCTTCCAGAGATCCGAAAACATACCTAGAACCAAGTTCATCTGGTAATATCCCATCTTCTCCGTCAAGGTCCCCGAGACCAGCGGCCCTACAAACATTCCCAGCTTCCAACTGATGTTGGACATGGAGAACGAGCGCGAGTACCCGCCGTGCGGCCCGAAGATGCCTGGATACTCATGCGAAAGCTCGTTGGCGCCGTCTACACACATCTAGAATTAGCCTGAGGTTTAGTTCAGTGGAATAAACAAATCCCGGATACTCACGCAACACCTCGACAGCCCCGAACCCCAATAACAAAGCCCGCCAGACTCCTATCGCCAGTAGCGTAACGATGTAGATCACCCGGTTGGTATCCTCGTTGTCCGTCCACCAAACGTCCTGTGTGTGGCCCGGGACCCCGAGCAACCACAGCGATGGCGCGAGACACAGGAACCCGATCGTCACGGGGTATCGCATCCCAATCAGGTCTTTCAGTCATCCGGCCGGAATGACGAGGAGCATCGATGGGGCCTGCAGAAGCAGGAACAGTAGTCCCGCTTGGAGAGACTCCCAGTGGAAGATGGCTTTGATGTGGATGGGGATCGTGGTCTCGAAGCTGGCGATGATGATTGCGAAGAGGGTGTCTGCTATCAGTGCTGTAATCACCCTTTTCTTGCGCAGCATGAGGGTGTAGACGTTTTGGGTGGGGAGGGAGGTAAGTTCTTCGATTGTCTGGTAAGCTATGCTCTCGGAGCCAGGTGAAGCGGAGAGCAAGGGGGATTGAATCTCTGATTCTTCTGGGGAGGAGCCCTCAATGCGCATGTCGTAGTTAAGGGGTCCAATAATGAGAAGTTGCAGGACTGTCCCGACGAGTATCACGGCGAATGCACTCGCCCAGGTCATCGAGTACGAAACGAACTGGTAGAGAGACCCCGACACAGCCGGGCCACTGAGTAACCCCGACACAGCCGGGCCACTGAGTAACCCCGACACAGCCGGGCCACTGAGTAACCCCGCGGACACGAACAGCATGGTCAAACCCAGGGCTTTGGCCAGATGTTTTGCTCCCACTGTATCCCCCAGAATGGCCATGCCGACGATCCAGATAACTGACCCGGCGAGGGTTTGAATGAATCGGCCGACGAAGAGAACGGTTAGCGTCGTGCTCCATGCTGTGATGGCTGTGCCGACTGCGTTGGTTACCCATGAGATCACCATCCACTGGTTCTTCGACTTGGAGCCATCCGCTAAATGGCCGGTGAATGGAGCGATGAGGATCGAGACCAGTGCGTTCAAGGACAGGAGAATGGAGGTGAGGAGCTGCGTGTGCGACGGGGGCTGCTGAAGTCGGCCCTGGAGGATGTCGGGTAGGATGGGGATGATAAAGCTGAAGAGAAAGGTGTCTGTTGATTCGATTAGAGGGCGCGAAGGGGGTGGAAGGGCTGCTTACCAGCGAACATGGCGAGGGAGATGACTGCCACAATGAACAGGCGCGAGGATCGCCACTCATAGCCGATGGGCTTCGCGGGGATAATCTTCGAGGTCATAGCGACAGTCAATTAGGGCTATGATCGAGGGGCATTGTCTAGTTTGATCGTGTGAGCAGATATATGAGTTACTACGAGTAGTTAAATTCCAGTAACGACACTCTCGAATATCATTCTAGCACCTTCCGACAGTCAGCTCAGCTACGACACCAGCAAGAACCGTCATTCCCCCACTAGTATATGAATCCGTACGCCCAAATCACTCATCCATCTAACCAACCGGCCTATGGCAATGCAGATTTGATGGCTCTTATTGCGAAAGACGTTTGATTGGCCTCCACCAGACAAAGAAAAAGCACAGACGGCCCTCGTGTCACGCCCAAGCAAGGCCGAAGAATGCACCTTCACTGCGCCGTCAGCCCCAGCTCCGCGGCGGCAATCTGCAGTGCAACAAAGCGGGAATAAATGCGACACAGCGATAGGCTTCCGCCCATAAGCCACAAATGGGGATGTCCGCTCGGTCTCCAGATCTGTTCGGGGATTCGGTCAGTCCGGGAATCTCTGGTCTGCGGGGTGATGTAAGGAGGGACGTGGGTGATGCTGCTGCTGTTGCTGCTGTACGCACCGTCTGTATCTCCCCCTCCTCGTCGAGATCCCATACGTCCTTGCATTGGTCGGCCACCTTCGGCCCTAGCGTGTGGCGCACCGAGTCGCGCATGTTGGCGTACCCCGTCGCCAGCACCACGATGTCTGCAGCCAGATAAGTGCCGTCGGCGAGGTGCAGCCCTCCTTGGTCGAAAGAGGAAATACCGCCCGCACACGAATGCAAGTGGATCTTGCGGTCGATCAGCAGCTGGCTGCAGCCGAAGTCGATGTAGTATCCCCCACCGCGGGAGACCAGCGAGCGTAACAGTCCGGCACCATCGACGCCGAAGTCTAGTTGGAAGTCGATGGATCGGAGGCCCTCGAGAACGGCAGAGTCAGCGGCGGAGATGCGCTTGGTGAGGTCGACGCAGAGGGCGAGGGTGATGGGCCAGGGCAGGCTTTCTGAGAGGATATCTTGCGTGTCGAGGGGAGGGCTGTGTGGCTGTTAGGGCTGCGAGTAGAAGATTGAAAGAGGGCGTGAGGGGCAATCTTACCGATTGTCATCGTCGATGCCATGGTTCTCTGGGATTAAAGGCAATCCGTGCTCCTCAGTGAGGACATATGTCGGACCCCTCTGGAGCATCGTCACGACTGCTCCCTGTTGGTAATAGTCCTGCCCAATGTCGTGGCCACTATTCCCGGTCCCCACTACCACCACTTTCTTGCCTTGCGGGGCCAATTCTCTGGCGTCGACATGCTGACTCGCATGGTAGATTGTCCCTTTGAAATCCTCCTGCCCTGGGAAGCTGGGAATCTTGGGTAAGCCCAGATGTCCTGCGCACCATGCGATGTGTCGTGGACGTAGAATACGCTCGACTCCGTCTCGCACGAGGCAAATGACCCAATTCCCAACAGCCTCATCAAACTCAGCCGACTTGACTGTAGTCTGTGTCCACACGTTCAGCTCCATGATTGTGGAGTAGGATTCGAGCCAGTCTGCCAGCTTATCTTTGGGAAGATACTTGGGCCAGGTCTTGGGGAAGGGCAAGTGGGCGAGATGGCATGTTTCGATGTGGTCGTGGGTGATGAGGGTCTGCAGTCGTATTAGTCCCTTCAGGTCCATTGCCTCTGGAGAAGAGAGGGATGTGCAAACCCGATATCGCTTTCTCCAGTTATCTCCCACGCGCTCGTTCTTCTCCACGACGAGACATGACTGACCGAGGGTCTGCAGACGAACCGCTAAATTGAGTCCTGCCTGGCCTGGAAAAATTCAGCATGTAATTCACATCACGAACTAGAAAGATTCTGACCTGCACCGACGATCAACACCGTGGGATCAGTGTCTACAAATTCCTTGTCGCGCTCCCTTCTCTCCAACCAGTTCCCCTGCGCAACTCCGCCCGGCACGATCGTGCCGTGTGGCCGTCGCAGCCCTACCTTCTCTTCCGCTCCGTGCAGCTCCTGCAACGCAGTATATACGGAGTAGGCTTTCCACCCTCCCTCCTCGGTCGGAGTAAGGTAGAACACTCCGCGCCCGTGACCGAAGCGAGTCTCGAAGCCGAACATCGCCGTTATCCATGTTAGTCCAGGAAACGGGGTGTCAATGGCAGGCTTTGTTTCTGCCTCATCGCGAAGACGTGCATTCTGCAGTTGCACACGCGCAAGGTGCTGCGCGAGGTAGCTTTGGATGTTGGGACAGCCTCGGATGGTGTGGAAATCCCAGTCCAGGGCGAGCATGTCGCGCCACCAGCTGTCTTCATGGAAGAGGTTGGAAAGAGGAATGAAGGTGCTGCCGGTCAGGTGGGTGTTTAGTTTGGCGAGCCATTCTTGGGCGATGGTGGTGGGGTCGATGCTGGATGGATTTACTTTGGGGGTGGTGGGGAGTTGGATGATATGGTGGTAGGGGGGTGTCATGTTGACTTGGTCGCGTGAAGTGAATTCTGTGGGTTGAGGTCTTGAGTTGTTTACATAGAGGTACAATTGACAATCGGTATAGGTGCATTCCATCAAATATCTCCCGATGTCAAGACTTGTTCCTACCCGCAACATCTGCCCCTGAGCCCTTACATGACTCCAACTTTGTTTGAGCTTCAAATCGCATGGGTTGCTCCAGTGGCTCGGTCCTGCAGTCTGCCGTGCAAATTCCAATTGCCTTGTCTATCTGCTGCACCACGATGCTGAAGAATTGCATTCTGTGGAAGATGTTTGCTGGCGGCAGGCATCCACAATGAGCCATCCCTGCATAGGGTTTCGAACTGGCGCGCCAGAGCCAGTCGATAAGGCGCCATGCATCTAGCATCATCTTATGCTGCAGACAGTAGACAAGGGATCCTGGTCCCGAACACGTCAATACAATGGCCTTTGAAAAGTGTCTGATGAAGTAAGTTTAATAAATGATCATTGAGTCGATGGCCCGTGGCACCTGATCCGTCTGGAGACACCCCTTAGTCAATCATATCTTTACCACTCCGATATAATTCCGTCAAGAAGAAAGTCAGACCAAGGTGATACATTCACTTCAACACAAATCCAATATCTAAATATCAAAAATGTCCACCCCACCAAACTACAGCCTCGCCGCCCCCGCCAAGCGCCCGGAGATCCTCGCCCTCGCGCAGGATCTCAACGGCACTCCGCCGGGGGAAGAGTATGAGAAGATGATCTCGGGGATGATGTATGCCCTGCCTCCTTGCCTATCCTCTATCCAGCCAAATAAAAGCTAACAGCAGTGAAAAAGGTACGACCCCACTGTCCCCGCCCTCCTGGAAGCCCGCCATCTCGCCCGCGGCCTCACCGCCGCCTACAACAACCTCGACACCACGACCGTGCGCTTTGACAAGGTCGGAGAAGTGAGGCTAGACCTGCTACGCAAGTTGGTGGGCAAAGCAGGGGACAAGACCTTCGTCGAGCCGCCCTTTCGCCCGGATTATGGATGCAATATATCTTTCGGGAGGGAGGTGTTTGTGAACTTTGGGTAGGTTGATCTCTTTACTCTATTCTACCCTGTGGGTAAAATTGTGCTGCATTGAGACGAGGAGTGGATATCCCCGGATGAAGACGGCTTCTAAGGCTAATTAATACCTCTAGACTCACCGTCCTCGACACCAGCCTAGTCGTCATTGGGGACCGCGTCCAAATTGCCTCGAACGTAAGCATCATCGCCGCCAGCCACGACCCCAGTGTCCTCTCCAGACGGAAAGGAGTCGAGTTCGGTCATCCTGTTTTCATCGGGGATGATTGCTGGATCGGCGCGAATACAGTCATTCTTCCCGGTGTCACAATCGGGCAGGGCTCCACAATCGGGGCCGGGTCTGTAGTGACGAGGGATGTTCCTCCTTATTCGGTCGCATTTGGAAGTCCTTGTCGGGTGAGGAGGGCGTTGGTCACGGCTGAGGAGGAGGAGATGGATGAGGAGAGTCCTTATAGGGGGGTCTTTGTATAGAAAGAGGGAACATACTGAGGTGGAATGTAGACCGTGAATGAATTTCAGAATTACTGGACAATTACTCAGTGAACACTACATAGAGGACACGTTCGAGACATCACCCCTCAGCCAGTGGGGACTGTATCGCACCACCAGAGACGTAGGCGAGGGACATTCCAACAACTGCGGAGCATCAGCTAAGGCTCTACACAGATTCTCCGTCCCGAATTCGGGCATCCCCTGCTGCATCTCCCAAAGACTGCGTCCTTCCCAGACCTCCTCCTCCAATAACGGCATTAGGGATTGAAGCGGGCTTTCCTGGGTCTGCGACAGGATCCCGACCCATTCGAAATAAGAAACAGCACGCAGGGGCGTCTTCCCGCGGACCTGATTTAGCAGAGTGAAGATCGTCGAGAGCTCTACACTCGAACCGGTCGTCGGATGGACAACATTATACGCCTGGCGGGCATGCTCCGAGCTAGAGGCGATATGCAACAGCGTCGACACCACCCAGTCGACTGGGACAATATCCTCGCGATGACCTGGAAGCAGCGGATAACAGCCGCATTGCAAGCTGGCAGCAATGACCCGCGCCAGGAAGTCGTCCGGATTCATCGTGCCCGTCCCACTGTGCCCCAGCACGAACCCGAGACGGTAGATAGTGATGGGTAGACCCTGGGAGATCGCATTCCAGGCGATGGTCTCCGCCACCATCTGACTTTGCGCATAACCCATGGCGAAAGGAAGCGCTGACAGGTGTGAGGCGGGCTGCTCCTCTTCCGCCAGATGCGTGTGGCCGTTCACCACACCTGTTGGTCCGTACGCGCTGATGCTCGACGTGTAGTGCAGCGCCTTGGTGCGGCCGCTGTTCGCAAACCGGATCATGTGCAGCGTCCCCAGCACGTTTGCCGCACGGTGGCTTGAGTACGGCTGCACGAAGTTGACGTGTGCCCCGAGATGAAACACCACGCTCGTCCAGTGCGAGAGCCACGAATACTGCTGCGGGGTCAATCCCAGATCCTCCTGGGAGATGTCCCCGGCCATCGCGATGATCCGTGCCTCTTGAGCAGTGGTGAGCATGAGGCTATATTTCAACAGGGACTTGCGGATGCGGCGGTGGGCGTGCTGGGCGTCGGTGGCGCGCACCAGACACACCACCGTTTCCACCTCCGGGAGTGCGAGAAGTCCAGCCAGGACGAAGGCTCCTACAAATCCTGTGGCGCCGGTCAGGAAGACGATGCCCTCGGAAGAATTGCGCCATTCGGGGATTGAGCGTGATCGGGGTCGAAGGTCAAGTCCCAGGCGACAGTCGCGTTGCCAATCTTCCTGCGCGGAGGGTTTGCGCTCCGTCAGGGCTGGCGTGTCGCTGAGTCGAAGCAATGAACACAACCCCCGGAAAGAAGAATTCTGGAATAACACTGACACGCGGATTTCGCGACAAAAGATCCGTCGAAGACGAGAAACAAGAAGTGCCGCGTGAAGCGAAGTGCCTCCGAGAATGAAGAAATCATCCTCGTCGTGGAAAGTGGCGTTGGGAAGGCCCAGTAGCTCCTGCCATAGGGCTCGCAGTTTGGCCTCCACATTTTTGGTGCCATTGACTTCATTCTCCCTCGATGATGTCTGTGCCAGACTCTGCAGGTAGTGGCTGGCCAAGGCTTTGCGATCGACCTTCCCACTCCCAGTGAGAGCGATTCTCTCGACCACCTGGACCCGAGGCACCATCAGATGCGGCGCCTGTTCGATGTATAGCTGACGAATGGCGTTGGCAGTAATCTTTGGAGAAAATGGGATCACGCAGACGAGCAAGGCGGATCCTCCATCCAGCTCATCTAGTGTGATCCTCAGCGCCACGGCGCGGACCACGAGCTGGGTCGACAACAGAGCCTTTTCGATGGCACCAAGGTCGACTCGTTGCCCACGAATCTTCACTTCGTTGTCGCGACGGCCAAGATACACGATATCCCCGGAATCATTCCGCCGCACAAGGTCACCTGTTCGGTAGAACAACCCAGGTGCTGTCTGACAATTCTCATGGAGATGAGGAGCAGACACAAACACCTGTGCTGTCTTCTCGGGCTGCCCAACATACCCCCCTGCGACACCAGTGCCACTCACTAGCAACTCTCCCACGCTTCCTTGAGTGACAGTGTGGAGAATCTCGTCAACTACAAAGGCGTCGTACCCGCTGAGGGCTCTCCCAATAGGGATCTCCCCGCGCTCGATGTCTTGGGGAGTTACCAGGTGGTAGGTCGTGAAGACTGACAGCTCCGTCGGTCCGTAGACGTTGAATAACTTGCGAGGCGGACCATTGGCGAAGATGGTTCGGATGGTGGGGACATGGATAGCCTCTCCACCTGTCAACAGGCTATCTACATGGGAATAGGCATGGGGACAAGTATGGGCAATGGTGGCGAGCAGAGAAGTGGTCTGCCACATCACATCAATGTGGTCGACTTGGAGTCGGCGTTCAAAAATGATGGGATCCAGGAACTCCTCTCGTTGGAAGACAACTACCGTCCCCCCGTGCAAGAGCGCAGACCATATCTCCCACAGCGATACGTCGAATCCCACATTGCAAACGTGAGCCACGCGGTGACCCCGACGAATTGGGGCAAATTCGTTGAAGACGAGGTTGATTAGTCCGGCTGCGAGGACTCGCACGGCCTTGGGCTGGCCGGTAGACCCGGAGGTGTGGAGAATATGTGAGCAACAGGAGGGAGGATTGTCCGACACCACGAGCTGATCAACCTCATCTCGCTCAACAGGTTCCCAATTGACAATCAGATGTTGCAGGTTCGGTAGTCGATACGAGTTGGAGCTGTCCGATAATACTAGAGAGGTCCCCAGATGGAACAAGAGTCGTTCGAGATGGTCATCCGCAAGGTCAATGTCCAGAGAAACACAGGTTGCGCCGGCATACACCACCGCCACCTGGGCCAGAATATGGTTTATCCCTCTCGATATTAGAATTCCAATGGGTTGCTCTTTTGTGACTCCGAGCCTCTTGAGCTCAAGCACAATACTCAGTGCCTTTTCGTGCAGTTGTCGAAAGGTAATGCGATGTTTATCCTGTTCGAGAGCAATATCATCTGCATATAGCTGCACCTTCTGCGCCAGCAGCTGGGCCAGACTCAGGTCAGGCCTGCTTTCGTTCAACATGTTTGGGGATTGCTGCACTATACAATACACAATGAAAAGAGCTCAGAGGGATTAATCAGACTAGGACAAGAGAAACCACGACGAGGACAGAGATGAGTCCTCTCTGTCACTCTAACATGCTTGAGCGTTCACGATCATGCTTGCTGATGACAGCCCCCGCTAAGCGCCAGGAGCGAGCTCAATTTCACTGATAACCGATCTACAACGCTTTCATTTCACAATGCAGCTTACTCTGGGCGCTGTGAGCCTGCCATAGCCTTCCGAGGGCTAGCTATGCTCGGTACAGTTGCATTCCGGGTCCACAATCGCGGCGCTGACTGGGCGTGCAGACAATGAGATTAATCAGTGACGACATTCGTAGCAGTGTCACCTTGGGTGGAGCTGCAATCGAACACATTGCACTGATTGGCTGATAGCTAGCAATTTCACACTGATTTACCAGGCTGTTTGAGTCGTGAAGATTCTATATTTAGGGACCAACTGTCACTCCCGTCGGAATTGAGGGTTCAAAACACCAACAAACAGCAATACTTCACGTACTCGTCCGAGCTGCGCTGTTCGCCCTTTCTTAAGGCTAAGATGCAGAATTCTCAGATAAACTTACTTGACTACCTGCGTGCGAGAACACAGGTAGATCTGGATACGTTTGATGTAACTGGTATGGATCTCTCAATGATGCTGTGATAGAGAACGCTGGTTGAACTTTATGTAGTGGCAAAAGAAATTGAGCGGTGCATTGATTGCACGTCAAATCAGGTAATTCCTGGCGCGATAACCTGATGTCTCTATTATACTGAAGATCGAAACATAGTATGAATACTATACAGAGCTCGCCAAGGAAGGTAGACGGGCCGTTCTCGACAAAGCGATCGAGCTCGCTACTAGTCTCCATCAACAATATCCCACTGTTACGCGGGAAGAATTGACGATTGAGATTGGGGTAAGTCTAACCATGATCATTAATGCTACGCGCTGATGCAAGATCCAGGGTATTCTTCTGGCGATCGATGTTCGACCATTTGTGACGGGAAACCTCCACATCATGGTCAACCCTAACTACGCCTACTACCAGCGCAAGACCGTGGAAGCCGCAAGAAGTGAGTTTTGTATCGACTACCTAGACCCGCCGCTGACTATATTTGACGGATAGGACTGCATCGTCTGTTCCATGAGATTGATCCCGACTTCGATCCCTCCCGTCTTGTGCTGAAGGTTGCGGCCACCTGGGAGGGACTCCAGGCGTGCCGGGAGCTGCGGTACTCACGTATTCAGACCTTGGCAACTACTCTGTTCACAATGGAGCAGGCTGTCTTGGCCGGGGAAGCCGGGTGCGTCTCCATCTCGCCCTTTGTGCATGAGCTCAAAGCTATCTTCGAGCCCAGCTACAAGGGCTCAGATCCGCTGTTGCCATTGTGCGTGCAGGCCCAGCAGTGGTATTGGCAAAAGTCGTTGCCGACCAAGGTCAAGGCATGTGCGACAATCGGATTGGACGAGATCTTGCAGCTGGCCGGTGTGACAGCGTTCACCCTGGTTCCAGATGACCTGAAATTGCTGCAGTCTAGCCACAAGGACGTGGACGAGGTGCAAAGCTTGTCATTGTTCCAGGATAGGGGTGTCATGCAAGATAAGCTTGCCTACCCGTCTTACATCAATGATGAAGCCGGGTACCGCTTGGCTTTTGCGAGAGTCGAAGAAGGCCGCGCGCAGCTGAAACTTGGGCAGGTAGGTAGCTCTGGAACGTGTATGAAGCTCATGAGATTGCTTACTGATCTTCCTTCTAGGCGATAAATATCTTCTGTGATTTCCAAACCAAGGCCGAGCAGCTGGTTCGGGATGCGACGTGTGCATGAGCATTGCATGGGGGTATTCTTAGGACGGCATTTGGAATATGTTAGTGTTGTTGAAGGGTTTCGAGTCGAGCTAGTCGGAGAATGTATTGAGTATGCTACTTTTCTCCAGATTACATGATTATCAGTAGACTCGGATTGTCGCGTTTGCCATATTCCCGGCGGTAATGCTTTTGACCGGATCATCGTGGATGTCAGTATGTGACTGAGCCGTGACTGTGACTGGGATTAGGTTGCATCAGTCACCATGTGGGGTTGTGCGAGAGTGCACAACGCCGTGTCTGAGTACGGCCACTGTTCGAGCGTGAGCACATCACGAAGATTGTGTGACGTGAGACAAGGTCTCGCTTCTCCAAAGCACATAACCAGTGCTGACTCCTACCCTGATCTAGCACAGCGGCTGAAGTCTCACTCTGGGAGTCGTACGGAACGGATCGGCGCAGTGTCCGATAAATAGATGCATCTAGTACCACGTTATACAGATGAACCAGTTCCCAGCGGCAAGACGCTGTCTTACGGCAGAATATACAGCCCAGGTTTGATTTCGTGATGAAACTCCAGCAAGTCTTAACCCCTGGACTGGCGACGCTGTCAGTACCCGAAATACTGGGTGAAAATGTGAACTATCTATTTACTTTGTATGTCGTTCCTCCCTTGTACAAAATCGTAGCCGTAGCCCTAAGCGGGCTGGGACTGACTTGAGCGACGAGAACAGTGGCGATTCGTACACCACCACCGGTTTCAATGTGTCGGCTGAGCAGCCCGCCTCGGGAAATCCAATGGGAAATCCTAAGTTAGGTGTGTTTCTTTCTTTTTGAGGGTTACGTTCTCTATGCGATGAATAACCCCCCTTGGCCCAGTCCACTGATCTAAGACGGGAGAAGGCCAAGGCACCGCCTCTGACGGAATCAACTGGGTTGGGTATCTGACCACCCATTTCAACCATACACTGACCTTCAGCTATAACCTCGCGGTGTATGGGGCTACGATTAATAACGAGGTGATTCCGAATGAGCCGGGGGACGTGGTGAGTCAGGTTCGGGGGATGTTTGGGAAGCATTATTGTCGAGAGGCGGCAGACACGACACCCGAGATCAGTTCACGGTTGGCCACAGCGGATGCTTGGACGGAGTTTGCAGATGCAGCGCTGTTTGTGATTTGGGTGGGAATCAATGAGTTCGTTCCCTTACTCCCTCTTTCCTTTTGGTTTCTTGGTTGTGCGCCCAACTTGTTTGATCATACAAGATATATATTTGGTTGGGGATGTTTGCCGGTCCGATTTCCAATCCACCTGTCCTGCCCTACTTCACACCCCCCTTCTCTTGCAGACTTTACTCGATCAAGCCGCTCAATGCAGAAACTGACGCAGCTATGAATCTAATTCGGTGGATGACAGTGTACAATTCAGCTACCTCTCTCCCAACCCCCTCCTGCAACTCACCGCTGCCCTGGACACGTACTCTCAGCTGTTGACCGGACTTTACGACTGCGGCGCCCGCCGGTTTCTGGTCTTGAATGTGCCCCCCACCACCCGCACACCAAACATGCTGACTCACAGTCCGGTCCGACGCGCTCACCATCTGACTACGGTCCACGTATTCAACCAGCTATTAGGGCGGATGGTGAAGCGGTGGGCCGGGGGATTTCCGGATGTAAGTCACCCCTTCGCTTTCCGCTTGGATTGGGAAGTTGTTGTTTGGGAGGAAAGGTATAGGATAGGGGGTTGTTGACGTACGCATTGCTAATGGGTTATGCTTGTTGTGCTACGGTGACGGCAGGCGACGGTGATGCTCTTCGACGTGTTTGCTTTTATGGATGCGGTCTTGGATGACCCTCAGCGGTATGGGTTCCGGGATGGAACGTGTATGGGCGAGCAGGGGTGTGTGTGGTGGGATGACTTTCATCCGAGGTCGGAATTTCATTTTTTTCTGGCGAGGCAGCTAGAGGGGTTGCTTGGAGGTGGTTTGGATTGAGGCCGTTGAGTGTGTAGGTGGTAGGAGAGGATAGTAGCAATTGAGACTGAGTCATGCTACATATCGGCACTGTCATACTATGAGACTCACAGCAGTGGTATTGGATTGCCCAAGTGTAAAGTCAGGAATTGTGTGCGGGTTGCTGCTGTAGTGGAGGAGGTGATATCTATGAGTACCACCTGTACTGTACTTCGAGTCGACAATCCTCAACACGACCCATACTGCTAAACGTATTACATTCAACATGGCTGACACTGTCAATGTTCTAACGTACCTTCGTTCGAAGACCCAGCTTGACCTGGATAGTCTGGATCTCGAAGGTATGCTTACTCTCTAATTCTGAGCTACTGGTGCTAACGCATTCCAGCTGCCCGTAGCGGAGGTCCCGATGGGCCGTGGACGGATGCCACCTCCAACCCGGTATGTACATCTCATAACAAGTGGATAATAAACTAAACAGTGGACATGCAGGCAGAATCATACTTCCAGCTCCAGAAGGAGGAGAACAAGGAAATCGTCGCGCAGGCAATCCACCTCGCCCAAGATCTCCACGAGAGGTACTCAAGCGTGACGCTCGCTGAGCTTCGGGTTGAGGTCGCTGTACGTTTCCATTTCTGGGAGGTGCTTCCAATCCGAAGACTTACCAAATCATGAGATAGACCGTTTTGCTGGCCAACCAAGTTCTGCCCTACATCACCGGCTCCGTCCATGTCATGGTCAACCCATGCCATGCCTTCTCCACCACGAAAGTGATCCAGACCTGTCTGCGTAAGTGCCGCCGCCTTTCACACGCTCTTAGAATCTACAGTAACAGCGCTTAAAAGGATACCATGAGATCTTCCACCACATCGACCCGCACTTTGAGCCCTCGCGCCTCGTCATCAAAGTCTCCGCGACCTTTGAGGGGCTGAAAGCCTGCCATGCGCTGCGGCCCAAGGGCATCCAAACCCTCGCCACTACCGTCTTCACAATGGAGCAGGCAATCCTCGCCGGCGAGGCGGGGTGTGTGTCGATCTCGCCGTTTGTGCACGAGCTGAAGGCTGGGTTCGATGATACGTTCGTTCTCTCCGTTCTCTTTATGGCACACTTGTTGTGTTTTTTGTCGATGGTTCATCACGTATGAGTGACCTTGGGGGATAAGCTAACCAAGCAAGAGCAGATACAAAGATAAAGACCCTCTCCTCGATCTCTGCGTCCAGGCCCAGAAGTACTACGTCCAGCACGGGATCTCCACCCGTGTCAAGGCTTGCAGCTGCATGTCCGTTGACGAGATCCTGCAGTTGGCTGGGGTGGCGGCCCATACGATGCCGCCGGAGGATCTGGAGAGATTGGCCGGCATGAAGGAGGCGGTCGACTCGCTGGAGAAGAAGTCCTTGTTTCGGTCGGATGTCTCTGTGGCAGTGCAGCAGCAGCAGATTCGCAGCTATATTGATGATGAAGCGGGGTATCGGGTGCATTTTGCGGCGAGTGACGGGGGACGAGGGCAGACTCGCTTGTTCCAGGTTCGTCTGCTGTATGTCGGTGGATGAGCTTAGTGGTTGGCTAATGACACTGTCTAGGCTATTGCGATCTTTGCGGACTTCCAGCATAAGGTGGAGATGGTGATGGGAGGGCAGTAGAGGGTTGGCGGATGGTGGTGGTTGGGCTGGAGTCAATGGGGAACTCTCGCGGGGCTGAAGCGTTCTTAGAACTTATTGAGTTAGGGCTATCTCTAGCACAACCCATCATCTAGTGAATAACGTTACTGATTAGACCTGTGCCTCTACAACATAACCTCCGACTCTACAACACATCCCACGTAAAGTCCACCACGATGACCTGATCAACCAGAGGATGTAGCTCGCTTCCCAGTCCCAAGTGAACCGGATCGCTCGAGACGTAGTAGTCCCGATCCTCTGGCGACTCGAACTCAGCTACGAACCCGTGGGTAACCCCATGCTGGGCCATTGTTATCATCTGAGCACTTCACAGCCTGGGACTTAAGGCACTCACTTGCATCCCCTCCGGTGAATGATCCCTGCCACCCCTGAAGGAGACGATGTAGGGCTGCCCAGTCGCCGGGTGAATGCATCGATGCTTCAGGGCGAGAACGTCCTTGCAGGCCTAGACCAGAAGCAAGGTTAGGGGATTTTTCATTTCTGCAGGTAGTTGTCGTTCGGGTGCAGGTGGGAACTCACCTGATTGACCACCTCTGGAGTCAGGCCGGACTTGAATTGAAAGAGGACGATGTGGGTGACGGCCATGATTGCTTGCTTGGGTAGACCGACTCCCCTTAGAATTGAGCTGCTGTGTATTATCACCTTGCATGTCCGAGCCGGCGCGTAAACTTATAAATCCTAACCCCTGGTCAATTGCGCTTGTCAATCCGCCTGGCCACGTCAATCCCACAGATCAACGGGTAAGCAAACATCTCCACCCCCGTGACGGACATATTTAAAAGCCACTTGCATTCCGCGACAACTCCAGCCTACCCCTAATCGACATCAACAGCCTGCACTTCCCCAGCAAACACCCTATCAATCAACAACCAACCAACCAGAAATCTCATCCAACAAACGACACAGCCCATTGACAAGCAAGATGCCACAATGGCAAACACAGCACACCTCCACCCCCCTCCCCACCCCCTCCGAGCTTTCCTCCTCTTTTTCGCTACGCGCCCCTCCCACCACTGACCTATGGGCCTCGCCCCCGGACAGCTGCATCTTCACCGCCCCGTTCATCTACCAGGCAGTGCCGCTGGCCTCCTTCCGACGGGCCCGCATCACCATCGCCACTGTGCTAGCCGAGCAACCCTACGCGCAGGCCGGCCTGGCTCTGCTGCTCCCGCAGTCTGACGGCCAACGCAGATGGGTGAAGACCGGTCTCGAGGTTCTGGGGGGTAGGCAGGTCCTGGCAACGGTGGGGCGGGATCGGTGGCCGGATTGTAGTCTCGTGCCTGTGGATCCTGCCCTGGGTAGGGTGACGGTGGAATTGATGCGGCAAGGGGATAAATTTGGTGGTTAGCCGCGTGAAGCGGACGGAGACTGGGGAAGCGGAGAGGGAGGTTCTCCGTGAGTTGGGGTGGGTGTTTGCTTCGTCGGTTGGGAGTACGATTCAGGAGGAGTGCTGGGTTGGGGTCTTTGTTGCGAATCCGTCTGGTGAGGCGGAGGCTTTTGATGTGTGCTTTGAAGGGCTGATTGTGGAGGGAGTGAAGAATGAGGCTCGAGACTGTTCGCATTGAGACGCAGAGGCCTATGTTGGGCTTTGCTATGGATGCTATCTAGCTATTGATCCATGCTGCTACGGCACTTCTTCAATTCCAGCGGCAATGGTCTCCTCCAGACTAATCCAGCCCGGCTGGCCGTAGAACTCGCGCAGTAGTTCCTCCGCGCGGCGCGAAGGAAGAATCTCGCTCGCATCGCGGACCTCGTTGGCAGGCGGGTCGGGGATTAACGCATTGTTTGGTCGCAATCGGCGCAGGATGCCGACCACGTCCGTCCAGTTGAACTCGGAGGCGAAGGCGAAGATGCGTTCCCCTCTCACGGCGGGGCTGAGCAGCGCGACGACATGAAGTCGCGCCGTGTCTTCGACGTTGACGTACCATTCTGCTCGTGGGACTGTCAGGATGGGAAAGTACAGTGGTAAACGCTTGAGCGATTTGACACATGACTTACGTGGAGGGAACTCGTCCATGACCGAACCGTCCCCACGGAGGAGGTTTCTCATTCGGATCATACTCGAACCTGAAATTTCGGGATGCAGGATCCGTCCGAACTAGGTGTTGTCAGACTTTGCAAGACCTGGTGGTTTGCCATGCTCACGTTGGAGTTCGGGACGACGGTGCTGAACTCGAACTGGGGCTTGCGCTCCCTCACCCATCGCCAGCTCTCACGCTCTTGTTCGGTCTTGGCGGCGGAATAGATATGATATGCTCTCTCCTCAGACGGCGTTGATTCATCCCAGGCGGCATGGACAGAGACCTCATTCCATGTATCTGTTTCACGCTCACATTTAGAAGCTGGAAACCCTCGCCAAGAGGCAGGAGACATACTCTCATCGACTACGGTCTTCAGACCTGGCGTTGGGAGCAGCGCCGCCGTAGAGGACGATGTTAGCACGAACCGCGTCACAGATGGTTGACTGGCCGCAGCTTCCAGAAGGTGGATTGCCGCTCGTTTGACCCATGGAATCACCGCATCGGGGTCAGAATTGAAGGACATGTCCGATGCCTGGATTAGATGTTGTTTCTTAGCACGGTTCTGAGACGTGATCACTGATTGTACATACGAGATGCAGGACTCCAGAAACATCTTGCATTGCCCGACGGCACATTTCTGGGTCATCCAGCAACGGGATGATGATGCTCTCATAGCGACCTTCCCTGTAACGTTCTGTAAAGTATCTATCCAGCCAGGGTTTCGCCGTGCGGACCGTCCCGCGGACCTTGTAGCCTCGCTGGAGCAGGATGTCAATGGTATGCGACGCGATGTAGCCGTTTGCTCCGGTGACCAGGATCAGGGAGCCTGGGGGGATGTCGTAGTCTGTTGAGTGCAGCATGTTTCTCCTTTGTTGTATAGTAGCGAACGCTGGTTTTGTGTCGAGGAGAAGTGCTGGATGGGCTGAGTGTATGCAATTGCTTCTTTATCTAAGTCATCGAACACAGGATCGACTATGATCGTGAGGTCAATTGATCTCAAGCTATGACATTATCATCTCCTAGACAAATTACTCTGTGAAGGTGTCTCCACGTGCCACTTAAATGCATTGAAACCTTACCCATCCCTCCCCTCCCCGCCCTAAGATGAGCGTGGCGACCCGAATGTTTGTGCTGATCAAACATCTGCAATTGACTCCGATCCGCCAGGTGGTCCAATTGTCTGTTAGAACCAAGGCAGGCGGAGCATGTGATGCTCAGCTCCTGGGTGGAAGTGAAATGTGCTATTGCGTAAGCCCGAATATATTGAATGGGTCGTCCAGACCCGAGCAGTGAGCAACCCAACCTCAGTCACCACATCCAGCATGGCAGAGATTTCAAGCAGCAGACCCGGGGTCCAGACCATCTCCAAGGATACTCCTCTCGAGGAGATCGTCGCGATCCTCAAGCGTGATGGCTGCGTGGTTGTGAAGGAGCTCGTTTCCCCCGCAGACGTCGACCAGGTCAACCAGGATGTCCAGGAGAGACTCCACCGCGATCTGGAATGGAACGGCAGCTTTTTTCCGAGTATGAGGCTCCGCCCCCTGTGCTGTATCTTCCACAGCCTCAAATGATTTTACCTGCTAAGACCGATGGTGGTAGAGGAAACCCGACGGGCCCCGTCGATGATCGCCCTCAGTCCCACTTATACCCGCACCCAGGTGATGAACCCCCTCTTCCAGGCCGTCTGCGCGCACTTCCTCACCACGCGCAGCGTATTCTGGTGGGGCGACCAGCAGAAGGAGTCCGTGTCTAAGCCGTACGTGACCTCGTGCACGGGGATCGAGGTCGGGCCCGGGGCCCAGGCCCAGCCGCTGCACCGCGACTCGTACATCAACCACAACATCCTGCGGGAGATCGAGGCATGGGACGATGAACGCGACCAGACCCGCGAGACGGCGCTAGGCATGATGGTCGCGGGGTGCAAAGTCACCAAAGAGAATGGGGGGACGCAATTCATCCTGGGGAGTCATCTCTGGTAAGCCTTTCCCGTTTGGCTGGTCGAAAGACAACACGATAAGCAACCGGATTGGTAACTTTTTATCCCTTTGCTTGTGCGTGCATAGGGGAACCCACCGCACGACGCCGCCCGATGTGCGGGACTGTGTCGTGGCCGAGCTGGACAAGGGTGATGCCCTGATCATGTTCTCCTCCCTCTACCACGGGGGTGGAGCCAACATCAGCCGCGATGAACGGCGCATCGCGTACGCGACCTTCGCCGTGCGCGGCTACCTCCGCCAGGAAGAGAATCAGTACCTGGCGGTGCCGCGGGAGGTAGTGCACGAGTACGACCATGCGACCCAGCGATTCATCGGGTATTCCATGAGTGATCCAGCCTGTGGGTACGTGGAGGAACTCAGTCCGTTCTATCTGCTTCATCCGGACTTATTGCAGGATGCTAGGCCACAGGACTTTTGAGGGGCAGGACGTGTGAGTGAGTTTGTCTGTGTGTACTTGTGCGTGAGTTGCCTGGATTCTGCATCGGATGGACTTTAACAGGGTTCTGCGGCAGGGGAGGATAGAAACGAGACAACGGCTTTGGCGATTATTGGCCTACCCAGAGTATGATTTGGTCACCATCTCCTCCTGCTACCACCGCGTCGGACTTGGGGCTTGGGATAAGAAGCGCGGAAAGGGGTCCTTGCAACCGTCTCATACAATGCACCTTTGTCCTCAAGCACCTGGGACCTTATCTGACCTCTCCTTGCGGTGACCTTTAGTAGTTTCGCAAAGAAACAGTTTTGTCCTTCCAACCCGGATTGAGAAGTTCTCGAAAGATGGTTGAGCTGTTGTCCTTGGTAACAATGCATGGTGCGGGTTGATTGTGTGATGCCGCAGCCTACCGTTCTATACTCACCCGGGATCAACTGATTCTGCAATTCAATCTCTTGATAAGAATGTGAGAGGCGTGCATATAACAGACGGGTCTCGATGCATAAAGACACACTAAGAAAGAACAGTAGGAATCCATCTTCACAGGCAAGGTGTATCTTTGTGTCAAGCGAAGGCCATTGAACAGTCCCTGTCCCCCTTGCTTTTGACTCATCCACACCAGAGTCAAAGGAAGAAGTAGAATGAGCGGTGATTATCCCACTTCCGAAACGTGCTCAGCTGCATAGCCCACTTCATCCCGTCCAAGCCATCAAACCACACACACTCTCACCAACCGCAACCACCGTAATAGTTCTGCTATTCCGATCTTTACCGCTTTTTACGCAACAGCAACAGCAACATGCCCCGGATTCTGGCAGGAGCTTGCACACGGCAGCGTCGAACGGCGGAGGCGCGACGAGCAGCATGCACGGACCGATCCCTGGTCCCGACACTACCGTCCTCGGCCTTAGTCGGCTTGCCATTTCACTCGCCAGTGCCGATATAATCCCCAGGGATGAGTGTCATGTTTGTGTCGGAACGACCAGAACAGGAAATAGATTGAAAGAATAATGGTCACTTGATTCGAAAACCCAAGACAAGAACGATCTTCCAATTCAGTACGCTTGTATGGTTCAATGAGGAGACTCGTCGAAGATCAGCGAGAAGAGTTGGTTGACGCGCTGGTAACCCCTGACATTGTGTGGTGCAAGTTATGTGTACATACAGACGAGAGTACACCAGCAGTGTGGTCATGATTGCGCGGTGGGGGGAGTGGTGCGCCACAGCTGAGTCATAGGGACCTAGCCACAGCATAATTATTTTAGTTAGTTATTGTTATGCTCAGCCACAGGCCCCCATCTTCCCTTGGAATGGAATAGTACACTTGGTGATATTGAGGTAATATACTGCGCATATGAGTATGTGCAAAGCGAAAAATGAGATTTGAGCAGGATCACTACTAGCTGCTTTAGTTCCTCATACTCCGACCTTCTGGTTGTACGAGTTATGCTACAGTCGTATGCAACCTGTGACCATTGAGGGGGGAAGTGGGTGATTAAGTCTGGGCAGGGCGGTGAGCTGCGTCCTGACTCCGCCTGCCAGTTTCTCCCCGGTCGGCGTTAGGCCACAACAACACCACCAACAACACCACCATCAGCAGCAGCAGCAGCAGCAGCATCGTCGTCGTCGTCGTCATCTGCCCCTTTTCCACTCCCCAAACCATGGCTACCACTACCCCACTCACCGGGGGCTGCTTATGCCAGAAGATCACCTACCGTGTGGATCTTCCCCCCACCGAACCCGTCCCCAAGGTACTGTCCAGTCACCCCAGCTTTTAAGTCTCCCTCCCTCTGATCGCAAACCCCCCCACTCCAGATCATCCTCTGCCACTGCACCAGCTGCAAGCGCTACACCGGCTCCGCCTTTTCCTCCAACCTCGTCGTCCCCGCGGCCGCCCTGGTCTTCACCACCGGCACCCCCAAGCTGTACCTCGGCCACAGCGACCGCGGACCCCCCGTGCGCCGGCAATTCTGCGCGGACTGCGGCACCCCCTTCACCTCGCAGCCGGGGGACAACGACGAGATCATCATCCTCAAGACGGGGACGTTGGACGCGGCGAGTCGCGTGCGCTGCGGGGAGGTGGGGCTGGCGATCTGGGGGCGGAGTAAGGACGCGTGGCTGGACCAGATCGGGAGTGTGCGGTGCCTGGAGACGAGTATGGGGTAGAGGTGGAGGGTCTGCATAGAGTAGATTGCACATAAAGTAAAGCGGGAATGCACATAGGGTCGAGATGAGATGGGAGGCTAGAGCTCGTAGCAGTACGGTGAGAAGGGATGGTCTGTCCCCGCTGGCATGCAACAAACAGTGCCTTCCATCATGTAAGTATGCGTATTCGCTAATTCGCTAACTACACCGTCCGTAGTACAGTACTCAATCTCCATCACTCCTTACAGCCGCACCGACCTCTCCGCGGCGCGCTCCAGCACCCACCCCGCCAGATCATCCGCATACACCTGTCGGTTCTCCGGCAGATCCGCATGCAGGATATGGCTCCAGCCGTCGTAGGAGACGAACTTCTTCTGCGTCGACGGCACCCGCGAGGTCTGCTGGTCGAACCAGCGCTTGCTGATGTCGTGGCTGGTGCACTGATCGCCCGTGCCGTGGACGACCAGCACCGACTGCACCCCCGGGGACAGGACCAGCTTGCCCGCGGTGAGGGCGGCGGCGCGGTCGAGCATGTTGGCGAACATCTCCAGCGTGCCCGTGACGTGGTTGAGCGGGTCATCCTTGACCTGCGCCTGCACGGCCGGGTCGCGCACCAGATTCTCGATCGCCATCTTCTGCGTGAGCTGGAAGTGGGGGAGCAGACGGCCGGCCAGCCGGCCCGCGAAGACGAGGAGGGAGCTGGGCGTCTGCTCCGGCGTCAGGCCGATGTACGGCGCCTCGAGCATGATCCCCCGCAGCGAGGCCACCAGCGGTTGGTACTGCGGGGTGGACGCTAACGTCGCCACGAGACCGCCCCCCATGGAATGGCCGCTGATGAAGACGGGGATGTCGGTCGGGGCGACCTGCTGCTGGGCTGTGATGAAGGCGGCCATGTCGGCGAGAATGGCCGGGGTCGGCCCCGTGTTGCCGCGGTCGGCTTTGCGGTGCACCGATCGGCCCCAGCCCCGTTGGTCGATCCCCGCGCAGAGGATGCCGTGTCGCGCCAGGGCGGGGAAGAGGTCGAAGTAGTTATTGATGTGGTCGCTGAAGCCATGGAAGTGGACGATTTTGGCGAGGGGAGGGGTGGTGGGCTGTGTTGATGTGTTGATGAGTAAGCTGTTCTGCATGCAACGAACTACTAACTACATATGCCAGTAAATACGGCGTAGTAAGGGCTTTCAACTCACCGACCAGGTCTTTTGGTAGACCTCCACTCCATCCGGCAGACGAAAGGTGCCCTCCGTGATGGTGACGTCGCTCATGATGAATCTAGACTACTATGCCGGTGAATGAGATCTATCGCTAGTCTACTATGTAGATCTAGGTCGATCGCAGATTTGGTCGGGTAATTTGACCAGATAGAGATCAACGTTAGGAATTTTCCCCACAAGGCGGACTGTGGTTGGAGTGAATGTGGGGGGGAAGTGAGAGTTAAGCATAGTAGTAGGGAAGGGGAGAAAAGAAAAAGAGAAAGAGAAAGCGAGGAGCGGAGAAACTGTTAGTTATTGGACTGTACTCGGAGTTTGTGTCCACTTGGCCAGTTTATGTGTCCAGTTGCCAAGCGGCGGGCTTCTCCCTCGGTTGCCGATGCATGCATCCATCACATGGCCGATAACTTACGGAGTACACGGAGTACAGTTCGGTACTGGGGAATTCCCCTCCAAAAATAACAATTATGTAAGCTATGCGGTGCACAGTCGAGTCACGTGCCTGGATCCAGCCCTGCTCGGCCAGGATATGGTTATACTACTAGGTATACAAAAGAGTCATCTAGAGAGTGACTTACACGTAACTACGGTCAGCTACTCCGTCGACTCAACTAAAAGACGGATCAACCGACTACCTAGAGCGCCAGCTCGGTAGTGTACGACTAATGCCGGGGTCCACTCTTCTCCAAGTGAGGGGTTGCATGTAACCTCTAGGCGAATCTGACAGGTCCATTCTCTGCGGCCACGCGACTCAACCCAGCGCCTTGTACCGAGTCAGACCTCCGACGATGCAAGGGCCATCCCTACATTGCGCCTGGCCCTCAGGTTGCTCAACCCATTATCCCATTGCGGCTATACGCAACCCTAATCCGACGTTTATCCTCCACTCCCACCCAGTTATTCTTGACACCGCCAACCTTTCTCGAGTTGTCGAACACCACGAATCTGATCTATCACCCGCGACCTCCCCCTCCCTCGTCATGTCCCTGTCGATCGCGATACGTCGCAAGCCCCTATCCCCCACTCCCTGGGCTTCTCCCCAAAACAGCCTCTGCAGAAATATTCATCAGGTCGCCCGTCCGCTGCGACCATGGCCATGATTCCAAATCTCGTCCGCCACCCAACGCTTCTGCAACTCATCACCTGCAGCCGCCATCACCGATACGATCGGTATCGCATCGTCTCCCACCATGTCCTCCGAGCCCACGGAGGGGGATTTCGACCATCCCAACCAGCAGCTGCGACGATCCGTCATCATCGCCTTGCCGTTTGCCTTCGCTCTCTCGACAATCGCGGTGGTGCTGCGCCTGGTGGCGCGCCGAGTCCACGGCACGCGCCTGTACCTGGACGACTATCTGATTATTGTTGCGCTGGTATGCATTCACCTCATCTGCCGGGCGTCAGGTTAACCGTGGGTTAGATCTTTAAATATGGCTGTTCAATCGGGGTCGTCATCCGTAGGTCTACCCTGCCAAGCCCATCGCTTAATCTAACCACTTTCATTGTACCCAGTCCTCTGGAACGGTCTGGGATCCCATATCACCATGATCCCGCAGAAGAACCTGGACGTCTACTTCCAGGTCAGCCAGCCCCACCCCATCTTGACAGTTCCTCCACATCAATCTGACCAACCAATAGATCGGCTGGTCCAACGGCTTCGTCTACCCGCTGTGCATCGCCTTCATCAAGCTCTCCATCCTGGCCTCCTACAAACGCCTCTTCGCGGCCCGCAGCATGTCCGTGGCCGTGACCCTGGTGGCCACCGCCGTGGTCCTCTGGGTCGTGGGCGTCAGCGTCGCGGGGGTGCTGTCCTGCGTCCCCGTGGCCAAGTTCTGGCACCGCGAGATCCCCGGCCGCTGCATCGATCCGGCGACCTTCTACTACGGGCAGCAGATCCCCAACATCGTCACGGACGTGGTGTTGCTGGCCATGCCGCTGAAGAGTGTCTGGGCGCTGCCGATCGCCAAGACGCAGCGGGCGTTGCTGTCGGGGGTGTTTTTGGTGGGGGTGTTGTATGTGCTCCCTTGATTCACTTGAGATATTGGCTACGTGCTGATCGGCGGGGTGCAGAACGTTGATCTTCGATATCGTGCGCTTGGTCGCGATGATCCATATCACCGAGATGGGACCGGATATCACTTGTGCGTCGTCCCAACATAGATCTCGAGATCCAACCGGTATGGCTGCTAACCTGTCTATATGCGAGCAGACAATCAAGCCCCCGTGGCGGTGTGGACGTGCACCGAAGCCGCGGTGGGGATCATCGCCGCCTGTCTCTCGCATCTGCGGCCGCTGTTCCACCTCGGGCCCAGCAGGAGGCTGTGGCGCCAGCCCAGTCCAGAGATGCGCAAGCGCGAGCTGAACCCCCCGCCGGAGGAGGGGTTTTCGACCGATGATACTCTGTTTGATCCGTGGGGGACGCAGCATAGTGGGTTTACAGGGCATAGTGTTTGTGTGGAGTCGGGAAAGTAGCCTGCCCTTAGGGAGGGAGTCGAGTAGATGCGGGTAGGGGTTTAGGGGAGGGGTTGGTGTCTGTTGGTGGGATACAGTCGATGTATATACTATCCTTCGTGACTTTCATTAATACAATCTTTTACACTTCCACACGTCCACCCCCTACCTCAAATCAACTACACCTCCTAACTTCGTATCCCGACAACACCCACACAGCCACATCCCACATCAGCCCCTCACCCTCACACCCCCCTCCGCAAACCGCGTCAACCGCTCCCACCCCTCCCCGGTAACAAGAAACGTATCCGACAACTGGACACACGCACCCCCCACCGCGGGGACAAGAATATTGACCTCCACCGCGACCACCATCCCCGCCTGCAGCATCCTCTCCTCCTTCTCCTCGACGAAAAACAGCTCATGCGGCCCCAACCCCACCGAATGCCCAATCCGCCCCGGCATACACGCCCCGTACCCTCTCACCTCATACCCCCGCACAGCAGCGCGGTACAGCTCCCGCACCGCCGTACCGGGCCTCAAGAACCTCAGCACCTCGGTCCGGATCTCCAGAGCATCCCCCATTGCCCGCCGCTGCGAAAGACCCACCTCCCCGATCCAGACCGTGCGCTCCAGCTCCGCGTGCATCCCGTTGGCCACCGCCCACACGAACACCGAGACACTCTCCCCGGGCCGCGGGACCCGGGACGTGGGGTTATCGCACCCGAACGACTGGCGCGGACCCGAGAGCACCCACGCCGTCAACCCGCTGTTGACCCCGCCCTCGGGGGATCCGAAATCGCAGATCTCGATGGTGGGGTAATGTGCGACCCAGTGCGCGTGCATGCTCTGCAGCGCGGCGAGGACGGCGTCCCGTTCGCTGGTGGTGGGGTGCGCGAGCGCGGCGATGGCGGATTCCATCCCTTTCTCGGCGAGGGTGGCTGCGATGCGTGTGTGGGCGATCTCGTCGGGGTCTTTGATGGCCCTGCTGGCGTGGAGGAGCGGGGTGCAGTTGGTCAGGGTTGCAGTGGGGAGGGTGTGGCGGAGGAGGGTGTGTTGGGTTGGGGGCAGGGTGGCGTGCTCGATGCCGATGGTCGGATGCGGGGGGAGGTCGCAGTGGTTGAGGAGGATGGTCAGGGCGGCGGGCCAGGTGGGTGCGAGGGTTGAGGTTGGTCCCCAGGTTCCGTACAGGTGGATGGTGGGCGTCCAGGCGCTGGACTTGGCGTGCGTGCTGCGGAGAGCGTGCACCAGAAGGACCGGGGCGGATTGCCGCGGGAAAATGATGAGGACGGGGTCGGAGTAGATGATCGGGTTGAAGCCGGAGAGGTAGAAGGTCGAGGTGGGTTGGATGCAGATGATGGCGTCGAGGTTGAGGGCTGCCATCTGAATTTGGAGACGTTGCACGCGGGGTGGTTGGGATGCCATGATGGGTGAATGAGATGAGGAATATCTTAGGGCTTTGTTTTAGCTGGGTCAGGGGTGGCGCGGGTGGAAATCATATATTTCTCATTCAAGTCGTAAACGGTGCGTTCGTGCCTCGCTTTGTGGTGACGAGGCAATGCCTCAGACATATTGAAATATGTTTACTAGCTTCCCGGATACGCGAGTCAAAGTAGTGAGGCAGTTGAGGCGTTCGGGGTCCCGAGTGTATACTTGGCTGAGATGGGTCGGTGTTGGTGGATGATCGGCGGGAGTTGTGCCTCCGTTTCACGTTTGCTCATATGGACAACATTTTTGCCGACTTCAACAAGCGGTCTCCATGGTGTAGTGGTTATCACGTGGGTCTCATATGCAAATATGACTTGGAAGTCGCACTTCCAGGATATCCCAAGGCCGGGAGTTCGATCCTCCCTGGGGACATGTGTTTTTGCTTCCGACCTTTTCTGGTCGGGCCATTGCAAAGGAAGAGAGTAGGAAACGCGCACTGAAAGCCATTGCACGTCGTCGGATCGATTTACCAAGATTCACAATCCCCAACCTTACCCGCGTCCCCGATCTTCATCCCTCCTGCCACGCCACTATCCTCACCTGCGCAACACCAAAAGGACCAACGCGAAGACATCGCCCCCTTTACCGTCAATCATCTGCTTCCGAAACAGCACGACTCTGCTGCCTCTGCCTCTGAGGATTTACCTTTCTCCCCGCACTGACCAAAAAGGTCACCCTGACCACCCCACAACCCCGCCAATCCCGACTAAGACCGGGGGCTATTGAAGCTTGTAAGAACCCATGTCTCAAATGCCCCTGAGTTGCCAAAATCCATCAACTCAAGGGGTCTAGAGCAATCGAATCAATCTGCATGCCACCACTGCAGAGAATAGCACCCCAGCTGACCTTGACCGAGTCCTGCAGGCCCCTCCAAATTATACTATCGGCACCTTCATCACACTCTCCATAGCTAGGTAAAGATAGAATATCTTGCTCAGCGGCTACTGATTATGCTGCCGTCTCAACAATGTCAATGTATCGAGTGCAAGGTCAGACAACGACGCCAAATTGAGAAGACTGGGTTATGCGGCGGCCTGGCTACTCGCAGTCTGCTCTCCCCTCCTCAAAGCTCCCTCCATGCCGTCTGAAGTTACCTTATAACATAGAGCACTACAACACACCTAGAGTAAGACATCGTAACATGAACCATTCGAGCGTTAGTGTTGGAGCATCCTGGACTCGGCAACCTCCGACAGAGGAATTGACCGCCGATCGTACATCTGAAGCCTCATTTGTTGCAACCAGAGACAAGCAAGCCGAGGAAATATCCGTGAAGACGCTCTGATCCCATTAAACTCTTCAATGGGGCGGGAGAACTGCGGAGAGGTCCGTGCCCCAACGGTGCAGAAATCCAAGACATCAGATTAGGGCTCCTGGCAAGGCCTAGACCGGTCAACTGGTAGCAGTGTGCAATCTAACACTACGCAGACACCAATACCTTCACATATCACCCCTTAAGAAAGTATCCAGGGGAAAGAGAACATGACTCTCTTCCATTGGGGCTGACCGGATCTCAGCATGTAGTTAAATAGCGCCAAGGGTCGTGAGAATACAGCACGGTGCACTGTCAGTTCTCATCCGAGGCCCTCTACTCCTCAACTCATCAATCGCGCCCCCGAACGAATTACCATGTCCACCTCCCAGCTGCTATACTTCCACTGCCCAGAAGTGGCCCTCTCCTTCCGCGCGAAGCTCCTCACCGCGGAAAACCCGGACGTGGCCGCGCAGCTGGTCGCCCAATTGCCCCTGCAGAGCACGCTGGGCCACGTCGTCATCTCCGGCGAAGCCTTCTGGCTGCCGACGCGCATCGTGCACCTGGGCCGCGACCGCATGGTCCCGCGACACCCGGGGGCCGTCTATCTCAACGCCGTTGGGGGCTCCCTGTGTCTGACCTACGGGAATGTCACCGAGAGCGCGCCGGTGAACAAAGTGGCCGACGTCGAGGCGGCGGACCTGCCCGCCCTCGTCCAGCTGGGCCGTCTGGTGTACGAGCACACCGTCGCCAGCGCGCGACACACGCTGCTCACCATCCACCTTGCCCTGCATCCGCAAACCCCGAGCACACACAACCTCAAGCTCACCACGGGGAACCACCACCACCCCCAAGAACATAAATATAACTCCTCCCGCTCCTTCGACAAACCCCTCCCACTTACCACCCCCAGCTCCCAGCTCCAAACATGGCACACAGCCCTCACCACTATAACCACCGCAACCACCACCATCTGGCTGCACATGCCCCCAAGCATCCAACGCGTAAAATGGGGCCTCATCCCCAGCGGCGCCGGCACAGGGGCCCAGTACTTCTCCGTGCTGGTGCACCTCAAATCCTTCCTCCTGCATCTGGGCTGCGACGTCCTCTACCGCCTGCTCAAGATCTCGCTGTACCCCGACCTCCCCCTGGCGGTGGTGCAGCGCATGACCCGCGAGTTCTTGGTGGTCAATTTCAATACCTTCGATATGTTGGTCGATCTCGGGGTGGACGAGATGGGGGCCACTGGGGAGGTTTATTTGCGCGGGGTGGGGACGGTGGCCTGTAAGGAGGAGTATCGCGTGTTGACCGGGGCGTTGTTCTCGTATGTCTGTCGGATGCATCGCTGGGTGCATTTGGTTTTTCCGTGGAATCTGGGGGTGGCGTTTCCGCAGCGGCGGGTGGAGGAGATTTTGGAGATGGCGGGGGCGGTTGGGGGGTTTAGGGCTGGGTGTGTGGGGATGGGGATGGTGTTGGAGGAGGCGGTGGATGGGGTAGATATACAGGGTTTGGAAGGTGGGGTAGGGGTTGGGGGAAGAGTGGGTGGGAAGTCCAATGCGATGGGGGTGAAGGGGGTGGTTGAGAGCGTGGAGGAGGCGCCGGTTTGATATCGTGTCAAGTCAGGGATGGAAGCTGCAGCTGTGGTTGGCGTATGCGGTATTTGTTTGTCACATTTCCAGATTGTTCTGTTTCTATTTTGCTATATATAGATCTCCTTGGCCATCTTAATACTCTACCCCAGGTATGGAAACATCATTCAATGCCTTGTTTGCTATGTAGCTGAAGAAGAGCAGTGTGTAAGAAATTAAAGCTGGCTCTTCCAATTGCAGATTATGGATCAAGGCGATGCTTAACGCCAAGTGAGAGGCTCCAGAACCGACTATAAGTGATGACTACCTGCGCTGCATGGTGCACAGTAATGCCTGAAACCTATCAGGCTGTGTCTCCACTGAAGCTGTCAGAATAATTTCATTATGTACATGTACACTACATTAACCCTGGCATCATACCCCTAATGCTCACACAGCGAGAACGAGCCCGTCTCAAATGCCCCATTCTGCTTATCCTGGAACACACTCCGCTCCTCCATCAACTCCAACCGATACGCCTTCGCCTCCTCCATGGTCATCAACCCCTGCGCCAACGCCCCCTGGTCACCCGCCCACTCCGCCTGCTGCGGCGGCACATTGGCCGTGGAGATCACCCGACGGTGCGGGTCGATCAGGAACAGCGCCAGGATCTTGCGGTGTCCCGGTTTTGTGGGGTCCGCCAGCGCGAACGGCGCCACGCGGTGCTGCACGGTGTTCGGGAAAGTGACCAGGCGCCCCTCGTTGCAGACCACGCTGCCCAGGTCTTGCGTGAAGTGCTCGCTGTCGTTGTAGCCGTCGACGTCCGAGCCGAACCCGTACACCGCGTGGATGAACTCGTGCCGGTCCTGCTGGTAGCCCATGTCGTAGATGGTTTGGGCCCGGTGGCGGAAGGCGAGGCGGCTTTCCGTGGTGTTCGCGCTGTCGTAGTAGTAGATCGCTGTGGCGCAGATGCGTTCATTCTACACAATGGAAGTCAGCTTTAGCATTACTTGATATTCAGGTGAGGGGAGGGACGTACCAGCTGGCCTTCGATGTGCCAGGACCCTCCCTCGTAGGTCGGCTTGTCGGGCGTCAGTTCGATGTTCGCCAGCTTGACGATCACCTGCAGCCCGGTCTCGCGGAACTTCTCGCGCAGATCCATCGGCCCCTCGTAGGAGACCTTGGGAGGGACGAAGGTGGGTCGAGGCTCGGGGAGCTTGATGGGGCGCGCCTTCCACCATGCATCCGAGCGCTCCTGATAGTCGTCCTCATAGCCCTCCTCGTCTTCCCTGTTGCTCTCCCATCTCGGCTCCGGGGTCGAGCGGTCCAGGTACTCCACGCGGTCGTAGAGGATGCGGACGTTCTCGTGTTGCCGGGTCCGGGTCAGGCTTTTGTTCCACTGCGGGATGGCGCGGGCAATGACGTTCTCGACGACCGCGTACAGGCTCTGATGGCGCTGCGGGTGGAGGTTGTTGATGTACGAGACGATGCGGCAGTTTTCGTGGTCAGAAAACTCCACGTCGCACGGAAGCCATTGGAATTTCTGGCTGTAGACCTTGTAATCCGAGGACCGCCAGCGCCAGTGCGGATCGCGGCCCTGGCCCTTGGATCCCTCGTCCGTGGGCACGGGCAGCACATCTCCCTGGCCGAGGTGATCGAGGCAGTTGGCCACGGTCATGGTGCGGTCCGGCAAGATGCGCGTGCGGCCGTAAACGAGCGGAAATAGCGAGGGATGCACCAAGTCGAGGACCTTGTTGTCTGAGCCTGGATGGTAGTCTTTCGCCTCCTCAGGGATGTCTTTTAATGGTGCTACGGCGTCGCGCAGTGCCTGCTGAAGGTCCTTAGAGATGGCTGTGTCAGACCGGATGACCCCTACGTGATCAAAAACGGCGAAGGTCCCCTCCTCCTGCAAGACCTTCGCTTTCCACCTCATCTCGGCAATGATCCCGTCGATCATGGTGGGAGTGACGTCTTGCCCGGTCTCGGCGATCTCCTGGCGCCACTTGGCCGTGATTTCCTCATCGAATACCTGAGCGTAGGTTAGTTTACGTTTCACTCGGAGTGGCTGTTGATTTACCTTGCGGTCCCAGTCGGGCTTTTCGGAGATGGTGTTCATGATTTGCAGCATGAGGATCTCGCGGTGGACGAGTAGATTGCTGAGCAGACTGTTAGTCGGCGACGCCCACATTTGCTGCGGTACTTGTTTGCAGATGCCTACCCGATGTAACCGTCATAGATGTCTTTGCTGTCCAGTGCATTGGGCAGCGTTACTCTTTTCAAGGAATATTTAGCCTGCGTGAGTTAGCTTGAGACTGCAATATGACCATGGGCTGGGTGAGGTACAATACCGGAACTGGGTGGTTCAATGGGAGGCCGTAGCCTGGGAGCTCGATCCGTGCAGGTGGAGTGGTCATGGCTGCTGCACCACTGGTTAAAAAACGGGAAACATGCGATGGAGTGGTGGTCGTAAGGATTTACTACTCAATAGCCATCGAGTTGGTGGTTGCATGTTTTTATTCAAGCCGCGATGGGGGTCCTAAGGCAGGAACGGGTGTTTGGTGGGTCGCTGCCTTGACCCCTTTTTATTGCCCGGTCTCTGCCTGCCAGGCACCCCAGGCACCTCCCAGGCACCTCCAGGCCCCCTCCAGGCATCACTCGGCATTGGTGGGCCGCCAAGCAGCAAGGTGTGAAATACCTGTCGATTCAGGCATCCACGGGCATCCACGGGCATCCACAGGCATTCAAAGACACCTCGGCAATTCCGGGTCGCAAGGCACCAATCTATCGATACCTACTATTTCAGGCACCATCCACCCAGACACCTAGGCATTCAGGCATTTGGGCACTAGCACTAGCACTAACACTGGCACTGGCACTGGCTCTCGTACTGCTGCAGTATCATGCATTCCATCTAATCTAAATCTATCATATGCTGAACAATACTCTAGTCTATATGCTGGCTAATATGCACCCCATGCTCGAATCTCACTGTCAACCCCTACCCCCCTAGGCAAACCCAGGACGGCTCATCTTCTGCACATAATCCTCCAACAGCTTCTCCTCCTGGTCGACAATGGGCTGAATGACCGTCGATCCGCGATCGATCTCCGTCTTCAACCGCTCCCACTCCTCCGAGTCTCCCGCCGGCCCCTCCTTGCGCTGCACCGCCTCCCCATTGGCATGACCGTTCTGCGCGCCCGTCGCATGGCCACTCGTCTCCGCGGCAGCAGCAAAGAACGGGGTGTACCCGGCGGCCTCGAACGCCTCCTTGGGCGGGACGGTGTAGCGGCCCTTCTTGAGCACGTACTTGCTGATGGAGACGGCATACAGGCGCTTGAGCAGCTTCTCGGGATCCTCCTCGACGGTTTTCTTGCTGCTGGGCTTCAGGAAGTAGGTGACGATGTAGATCCACTTCTGGTCGAAGCTGGCGATGTGCGACTTGACCTCGTACCTGGTGTAGGCGGGGATCTCGCGCTTGAAGTTGGTGTAGACGCTCCCCAGGATGAACCCCAGGAACCCCTTCTTGCCCTGCCGCTCCAGCCGTTTCTCAAGGAGGGCGGCCCCCTTGACCACGATGCTGGACATCAGCGCCGTGCGCGACACGTCCAGGTCCGAGAAGTAGGTCGAGTTGGACTTGTGCATGTTGAAGTCGATCTCCATCACGGGCGCCCGCGAGTAGATGCTGAGGGGGTTGAGGATCTCCGTGCTCGGGCGGGCGGGCTGCTCGACGGCCGGGGTGATCAGGTAGCCATATTTGAAGAAGTAGCGGTAGACGCGGACCTAAGCAGCACGAAGGTTAGTTAGTGACAGGTGGCTGGCAGGTTGTCAGGAATGAAAAGTGACACTCACATGCCACACCAGGGGCAGCGTCTTAAGGTTCAGCAAGGCCAGGACCAGGGCGGTCGTTTTCCAGAAGGTGGCCGACTCCCAGAGGCAGCTGGCGAATGAGCGAATGGCCTCCATCGTGAGAATATGCAATGCTATAGAAAATGGCAAAACAGGCAGAAAAACAGAAAGAGTGAATGCAAGGGCTTGAAGCCGGAAAAATGATCGACGGGGCTAGTTAAAGTCTCGATTCCCACGCCTCAAAGGGGTCGGGGGTCGGGGGTTGGGGCCATTTTCAGGAGAAAAAACCTTGCGGTGGGTCCGGCTCGGCAATCGGAGCTGATAAGATAATCAGAATGGCCGAGGCTGTTTTGGCCGATGACGTCGAGCCCGGCCTGGAGATGGTTCTAGATTAGGTCTGGAGGTAGTGGATCTGATTTCCGAGTTCAGCAGAAAATGTGCATCTTTATCCTTTTGATGGAACTGAGCAAGATGAGATCTGGTACTACTAACTCTATAGTCTACCGAATGTTGACCCACAACCACGCTAGAAATACATATTAGCATCACATTGCCCAGCCAGCCAGCTAGCCGATCCAAACGCCACTCCCGCTGTCATCCAAAGACAAAATAATGTGGGAGTGCTGGAACAGACATGGTGTTTCTTTCTTGAGGAAGCTGCAGGTAGTAATCCCAGCAAGAGTATACAATTCGATGCCACTGCTAGCCCTAAGAATAAGCTGCATGCAACTATAGCCGTATCTCGCCGTTTTTCCCCGCGGGAATAGCCGTCTGAGTCATATCACCCTCCCACATTTCTTCCTCACCTGACTCGAAATACATTTAATTTAACGCTCGAGTGGATAGCCTACGGTTGTCAAATCTCTTCGAAAGAGTAGGCTCAGCACTACACCAAAGAAACATATCCGTGACATAGCAATGCCTCCGCCACACGCCTCAGCAGACGCTCTGGTGGAGCACCAAGGCATGGAGTTATCCATCGTGTCTAGCGCGAGAAGCACCAGTCGACGGTCTGCGGGGCCGCCAACCCTGACTCCAAATCAAACTATTCCTCAAACATCCAAGAAGTAAGCTACATTTGCTCTCCTCCCAATAACTAAAACTCACCAGCCAGACAATTCATCATCATCGTTCTCTCCTCCTTCACCATCATCTTCACCTGCTGCGGCCTCAACTTCGCCTGGGGCGTCTACCAAGCCCTCTACGAGAACCTGTCCCACCAACCCAACACCCCCTTCACAGGGGCCTCGCCGGCCGAAATCGACCTGATCGGGACCGTGTCATGCTCGCTGATGACCATCGGGGCCCCATTCAGCGTAGCGTGGGCTAAAGCCTTCCCACCGCGCGGGGTCGCCTTCGTGGGCGGGTTCGTGTTTGCGCTATCCCTGGTGCTGGCAAGCTTCGGGCAGCGGCTGTGGCACTTCGAACTCGCGCAGGGAGTCCTCAACGGGATTGGGACCTGTCTCTGCTACATGGTGGCCGTGACGATCGCCCCGGGTTGGTTCACGCAGCGTCGCGGGCTGGCAATGGGGATCATCCTGGCGGGCACTGGGGTGGGAGGGCTGGTGTGGGCGCCAGCCCTAACCGCCTGCGTCGTGCATCTCGGCTTCCGCAACACCCTGCGCCTGACGGGGGCCGTCTCCTTCACGCTTATCTCGGCCAGTAGCAGCGCCATGGCCTGGGAGCCCGGCACGCGCACGCAGATCGAGATCGAGAACTCCGCTCGCAGCAACCGCAGCCGCGTCCACGGCCTGCTGAAGGTGCCCCTCGTCGACTGGCGCGTGGCGCGCTCCCGTCGCTTCATCGCCCAGGCCCTGGGCGCAGTGTTCCAGGCGGCCGCCTACTACACTCCCGTCTTTTTCTATGCCTCGTATGCCCAGACGCTGGGGTACAGCACCGCTGCCAGCGCCAACTTCATCGCGCTGAGTAACGCCTGCAACGCCGTCGGGAAGGTGGTCATCGGGTATTTGGCGGATCGTGTGGGACGGCTGAATGCCCTCTTACTGACCACCCTGCTGAGCGCGATTTCCACCGTCGCCTTCTGGCTCCCGTCCACGGTCGCGGGGGTGACCACCGAGTCGAAGGATCTGTTCATCACGTTTACCGTGCTGTATGGCATTTTTGCCAGTGCGTACGTCTCGCTCTTCCCGGCCAGTCTTGTCGAATTGTTTGGGGCGCAGAACTTTGCGTCTGTTAATGGGGTGCTGTATATGGTGCGGGGGATGGCGACGATGATCGGGACGCCCGTGGGTGGGGTCTTGATTCGGAGTGGGAGAAGTGAGACCCCCGGGGCGTTCCGGAATATGTCGGTGCTGGTGAGTGCGCTGTTGTTTGCTGCGACGATGTCGGTGGTCTGGGTTAGGGTTGAGGCGTTCGTGGGAATGAATGGGGCGGGGAGTAGGAGCAAGTGGCAGCGGTGATGGCCCCATCGCTGTTGAGGTGTTGCTGCAAGGCCGTTTTTTGTGCTGCTTGCTTCAAAATATGGTGACGGTCTAAAAATACCATGCAATGAAATGGAAGTGCCAAGACTATAGAAAGATAGATCCCTACATCTGTGCTCACTCAGCCGCGCATATTCTCTCTACACTGTTCCGTGGGGTATGGCCATGCTCAAGCATATGTGCCAGTTAGGTAGTCCCTTCAAGGAGATTCGATGACCCGAACAGCTATTTTAAAGGATGACTATGATGCTACATGCAATCCTGGCAATATCGTGCTGCAGTGATATATTGTATCGAGCAAGGAAATCTATTCATCGAGTCCCGACCTCGTCGCCATGCCTTTTGGCTGATGCTTTCGGACTCTGCCAATCAGGTTGGTGCAAGGTGATCATCCAGCAGTCTTACCACTGCATCATGGCCATGAAGCAGTGCGCGTGTCCTTGCAGTCCAACCATCCGAGCTGCTCCAAGCAGGATCGACCTTCCCCGTTGCAAGTAGCTCTCGAACCAAACGAACAGATCCCCGGTCAGCAGCCTGCATCAAGGGCGTCCACCCCTGCTGATCTTTGGTATCCGGGTCAGCCCTCGATAGAAGGAGCCTCGTCATTTCCGTGGACGCACGCTCAGCTACATGGAATATCGCTGTGCGGCCCGATCCATCGGTTATATTCACATCGACCTTGTCACTTTGGAGCAGTAGCCGGGCGATACTGGTATTGCCTTTGGAGGCAGCCCAGAACAGTGGGGTCCATCCATTCTCATCCTTGATATTCGGGTCCGCTGGGTTGAGTAGGACTTCAATTGTCCTCAGACGCCCACGCTCAGCTGCGTGGGACATCGCCGTGCGACCGGATGGATCCGTTGCGTTCACATCGACTTCCTTAATCTGAAGGAGCTTTTCGACTATGAATGGTCTATCGCTAGCAGCTGCCCAGATCAATGGTGTCCAACCGTTGGAGTCCCGGGCGACCGGATCCGCACCGTGCTTGAGCAGGAGAATTCCTGACTCATCTAACCCCCCAATTTCACATGCGTATGTGAGTGGCGTCCGCCCTCTTTTGTCTTTCATGTTGACATCGACCTGATCGCTCCCAAGCAAGATACGAACGGTAGATGACTGGCCTTTAACGATTGCCCATAGAAGAGGCGATGCGCCACGATGGTCTCGTGAGTCGGCATCCACTCTTGAATCCTGCAGTAGCAACCGGACCACCTCGACATGCCCCTTTCCCGCCGCCCATGAGAGAGCAGTCCTGGCGTCTTTGTCTGGGGTGTCTACTTCAATGTGGGGGATCTTGAGCATCGTAATCACGACCTGGTGATGTCCTTTTGCAGCAGCCCATGATAAAGGGGTCCAACTACTGGAGTCCACAGAATTCGGATTGACCTGCGGATTGTGAACAAGCAAATCAACGACCTGTGCATGCCCGCTACCTGCTGCCCACGACAATGGGGTTCTACCTTTGGAATCCTGTAAGTCAGGGTTCAGTTTCTCTGAACGAGTAAGCAGCTGAACCATTTGTTCAGACCCAGCTTCTGCTGCCCAGGACAAAGCTGAACGCCGACTCGGGTCCTGTAAGTCTGGCTCGACTTGGTCCAAAGCGAGCAGAAATTGAAGCCACTCTATTTTGCCTAACCCCACTGCTCGAATCAGAGGAGGAGTGTTGTCATCGCCCAGCTCATTGGGGTCTGACTTGGCGACTTCTATGGCGAACTCGGCGGCCTTGATCGAATCGGATTCCAACGCACACCAAACCAATGACCTTCGTCGGCTTTCGCGCCAACTTATGAAGCTCTTCACAAATTTGGTCCGGACTTCCTCTTCTTGTAAGCCCAGTCGATTGCTGAAGATATCGGCCATAGCCTTCATGGTGTCCTTGCCCTTTTCAGCGGCCCACAGAAAAGGACGTATACCATGCGCACTGGCCGCATTCAGCAGGATTGACAAAGCTGCCTGATTGTGTTCCACTTCCTCATGAACCATGAGTGTCCACAAATGCTGGCGCCATTCGTCATATATCCCGGTTTCTACCTCCTCCGGGCGAGTAAACAGGTACTCGACCACGGGCCTGATACGGATGGCCTCCTGCACAGTCTGCAAGAGAGTCCCTCCCACGATCCAGTTCTGCGGGTCGACTAGGACCCGCAATAAAAGACTCTTGCTCGCGGCTAGGCGAGCCACTGCGGTGGATGTCATGAGAGGAGTCCCCTCCAGACTGCTCACATACCTCCGAAACAGACTATCGGCTTCCGTGGACGGCAGGACTGGGAGCAAAATGCTCACGATCTGCTGCGCTTCCCAATACCTTTGCTGCGAGTTCAATGATACGCAGCTGTTGATAAACCCTGTCCACTGAGGAGAGGAAGGATCATCGTCGTCGGGAGGCTGGTAATATTTCCTGTCAAACTTCATTCCGCGCCGTGTTGCCAGAACGATGATTTCTAGATACAGCTCCGTGGTATGCCACTGAGGGGGGAACTCGTTAGCTCTTTCACTCTTATGGCTTTCTTAGACACGTGCGGGTTTGGTCCGATTACCTTCACCTCGCCGGACCAGTCTGGTTCAAGATACCGGTATTGATCATGCCATTTTTGCGCTAGGGCAACTGCGTGGGATGAGTCTAACCTAGTATCCTCCGGACGATTCCTATTGCCAATATGTGGACTTTCAGCAGTCCAATCAGGTTGCGATCCAACCATAATACTACGTCGACGTCCAGTCCAACCATGGCGGTATAAATCTGAGAGACACTTCATCAGGTGGAGTAGCCAATACTCGGGCTGGGAATTGGAATAGCGCGAGATCGCGTTGTCAAAGTGCCCGCCTAAAGAAGCCGCGCTCTTGACAAACCTTGTCGCGTTCTCCACCATCACAGGGAAGTAGTCCTGATGCGGTCTAAGGAACAGCCAGAATATTTTCCCAGCTTCTTGATTGAAGCCCATTCTTGAGAGCAGAATGAAGTCCTCTAGTTCGCCCGCAATATCCTCCACGAGAGGGAGGCGTCCATCCGCGGCATCATCAACAAGAGGAAGGCGTTCGTCCGCGACATTCGCAACGAGTGCGTCACTTCTGTTCGCTAGCTGAGCATGTGCTTCCTCGCTCCTCGTTAGCCTTTCCCAGCTGTTCTTCAGGGACTCTCGCATGGCGTTATTTATTGAGTCATGTACAGTAATTTGTGTAACACGGACAGTTTGAGGATTGAAGCTGCGCCTAACGCCGGGAGTGACGCCAGCAACAAAGAGACGATATACTGGCAAGAGGTTCACCTGGCTGCGGCGGCGGCTAAATGCATAAATACGCATAAGTTAGACCTACCCCGCACTTGCTGACAATCCTGAGCGACCGCACCTTCTTTTCAGCTGATCCAACGAGGAGGACCGACATCCCTTATTCTTCAACCCATGTTGTGGCTCAAACGACATCCAAGAGATCCCTACCAGGGTCGATATCGAAATCGATATGTCCCCTCGACCGACCACAGCCACGAACGGGACAATCTCCCCTTGACGACCTGCCGCTACGGCGAGGCGAGGGTCAACTGCTGCCTCCGGTTGGACGAATGCCGCTGGGGACTTTTCAAGGGGAAGCAGGCGGTGGTCATGTATTTGATCACCGATCTGATTCAAGATCGCGGTCCCACCCCTGTGATAGACAGTTTACCGGTTGTCGCCATGCTTCCGACTGCTTCCTTGCCTCCGAAGTGGGCATGAGACAACAGCCAGTATATAGGATTTAGATCCATACGTCCTGTCATCAATGAGGTCTTCAAGTATTTCACACCACAATACAGTCTAATACTTCCACCGCACTGGTTAACTGATTAGAATGTATGCCCTCGCATTGAGTATAATGTACAAGATCTCGAATTTGATCCAACAACACATCGCTCCGCTTCCCTTCAAAATCGCTAATATTCGTGTGCCCACCTCTCAAAAGAAGTCATACGGAAACGTTCTGTCAATGAGTTGCCATACTTGCAGCACACTCCATAGCAAACCCAAAACACCGGGCATACCATCCCTGGGACCAGTAGCCGAGCTCCATGCAATGCGGGGCGCCTCGAACCAGACTCCCATCGACACGCACACTGCGCGTAAATGCCCGCACGCACGTGTCGAGCTCCCCTGCGTCTGCGATGAAAAATGGATCGTCCTCGACCAGCGCAAACATAACCGGAACCAGAACCTGGGATGCCCATGTCTCTTTCCAAACTGGCAGCCACGTCGTCGGAAATTCGACTAGGTCTGCGAGGGGCGAAGTCGCATTCAGACGCTCACAGAGTTCCAGAACCTCTGCAGCCGCGGTTCCTGGTCTGAACATGACTGCGTCTTTCGTCTCTGCGGGAAAGCGAACGTGATCCGCCTCGATGGTCACAAATGGCGGGCTACTGGTTTTCAGTGCTGGCGACTGCGTATTGCCCATGCCGCTGGCGATGAAACCGCCCAGGGGATACAGCGGTGCATCATCCTGCGCGTGAAGAGCCGCCGCAATGATACCTCCCATGACTCCCAGACTGTGACTGAGCAAGACGATGCAGTTGCAGTCGTTAGGTACCCCGAAGTTGGACCAGATCCGGGGCAGAATGTATTGATGCAACCAGCGGCCGGTCTCCTGGTAGAAGTTGGTTCCTTCTGGGACTGGAAGAATCGAACTTGTGCCCCCGTACGATGGACGGTCGATCGCCACAAACGGTACCCTAAAGGCTTCGCTGCTCAATTGGGCAGAGTAACCGGGGATGCCCTTGAAATACTGGCTGTCGTAGCATCCACCATGAAGCGCAACGATCAGAGGACGGTAACGCAGATGTGGTGCTGATGCTGGTGGGATCGAATGAAAGCCTGTTACAGTCCCATCGTTGGATAGCTTGATGCGAAATGGCTGCATGGGGTTGGAGTGACTGGATGATCTTAGTGAAAGAATTTGTCGGAATGAACTATGGCGATGATTAGGGAGTCAAGTGATAGAGATCCTATGATATCAAGCGGACAACCTAATCACGTTTGATAAAATATGCAGGATCGAGCAGCACGAATCACACTCTCGGTAAATACGTGATTTCCACGTTTATTTTGACTGACTTTCTTTGATCCCGGCTCCGATGCGCGGCAAGCCGAGGGCAAGAATGCATTTTCGGATGCACTCTACTGTACATACTACTGTGCTGCGCGGATTCGCTGTGGAAGGAATCGGTAGGCAGTCGGCATCGGCTTACCCCCGCTATCTCCGCACAAAGCCATCTTAACTCCGTGACTGTCTGATTTCCGCCAGGAATTAAAATGCAACAGTCGTACTCGATTACATCGGTGACGTGACCCTAAACTCCTATTTCCGCTTGATCCACTCTCATCACCCCACTGATTGCGTTATATGGCCTTTCTTTTCTTTATGGGGCGAGGCATCACCACTCCGGTCACGTGCGCTCCGAGTTCTTGGATTCTGTCAGCCAAACAAAAGCTTTGTGGAAGGAAGTAACTTAGGACTTATTATCTCATATTCAATTCTTTAGAAAGCAATTGACCCAGCTTCGGACGTATCAACCACTCATTGACTGCTCAGGAACTACGGGTAGATGTGGCGAGGTGAATGTGACGGCATAAAACGGTCCTGATCTGGGGCTACAAGAAAGGTAAGGTACAATTTTATGCACCTTTGCAACGGCGTCTTGTTGTTTCTGATCAAAGACCATTTCCAGATTTGCCTATACATCAATACTTATAATATCCAGAGAGATCAATCGGCATACACAAATCCTGAACCAGGACAATCGGATAGCTAGATGTGAGACCTGGCTGAAATAGGCTGTTTCTCCCTGTACATTCTACATTCTGTATTTTCTGGAACTAGTCTTCTTGAGCTTCCTATACTGGGTTCATTATACAGCGAGTATGAAAGCACCCGGCTGGGACTGAGCCTGAGTTAGGTCATACATCAGCCCGGTCGATTTCTATGTCATCACCAGGCAGCTCAGCAAGCTTTCACATACAAACCGAATACTACTCCTGACTATTCATCGCGGACATCACACTGAATCTACATACGCTCGACCGAAAGTCAAAAGTCACCCAATGCCATCACCTCAAGCCTCTCCCGTAATAGCTCTCTTAGTCAAGATGGCCGAGTCCTCATTCAACCGGTCCCAAGTATGCGCATCGCGACAGGCCTGTCGACTCAGCCGGACCGCGCGTCTCGTCCGGGATCGCATCTCCTCTTCATACTCGTCCAACGCCTCTTTCGCCCCTCGACCCTCAGTGTACACCTGTCGCAACGCCTGTGAGAGGTAGAAGGCGTCTAGTAGTCCATGGTTGGCTGCTTCGCCGCGATCTGCCCGAATCAGCATGATAATTTCAACATTCTTCAGCAACAACCTACACATCGTCATGGCATGGGCCGCATCTCCGGCCAACGTGATCCGGCCGTCACAGTTATCCCAGTCCAAACACTCCCAATCCGCCAGCTTGATCTCCAGTACCGGTGTTCCAGACGGGATCCCCTCCACGACCGACCGTAGAAACGGCACGAAGCCAACCGACCGCCGCTTCATATTGTCGAGTCGCTCTGCATCGGTGGCCGCCACTTCATCAGCCTCACTGTTCACCGGCCACGACATGCAGATCTGCGCCCGATAGCGCTCCCCGTTGGGGCTCCCCTGCGTGCCGTTGCTCTGGGGGGTCTCGAGCACGGAGAACCAGAAGAATACCCCCGTGTTGGGGTGGCAGCCCTGGAAGAGCAGCGGGTCCATCGCCCGCAGGGGACGAATCTCCTCCGGCGACAGATCTACCGCTACCCCAGTAAATCGGATAGGGAGGATGGAGTTGAGGTATGCATCTGGGCGCAGCACGCGGCGCACCAGCGATCGACTGCCTTCGACCCCGATGACGAACCGTCCGGACACGCGCGTGCCTTCAGCTAGGACCAGGCACGGAGGAGCAGCGCCTTGGGTCTCGATGTCGACCACCTGCGCATTCCACTGGATATGCTCTTCAATCCCACGCAGCAACGCGCCCCGCATCTTCTCCCGGTTGACGCGCCAGCGGGTGCTGGGGGGGATCTTGAACTTGGGTGCGCCGGTCGCCAGGTCGATGAAGAGGAAGTTACCATTGTCATGCTGGGCAACTTGCGGGTCGACTTGTACAGCTTGGATGGCTTGTAATGTGTCTTCGGGGAGAATTTGCTGGATGTACTCTAGGGCCCAATGCAGGGTGATGGCCCATCCTTGGCCGCGAGCGTGCGGCGATGCGTCCCGCTCGTAGATGCGGAAGGGGATGTTGTTCTAATCTGTGATTTAGTATGCAATTAAAGCGTGGCAAATCGTGTAGACACAGTACAGTACCTTCTTCAGAGCCTGACCAAGCGTCAGCCCGACGATGCCTGCTCCGACAATCAAAACAGGGTCCATGACGATAGGAGAATTGGCTGTGATGATTCTCACGAGCCACGTTGGTCCTGCCCCTTTGCCGCCCCCGCTTCATATACTTACTCCGGAGTAGTTCCATCAGCTGGGCAATCTGTCTCGTATCTGCCATTCCGTGTTATCGGATAGCGTTTCGTCGGACCGTCGCATAGATAAGCGCAAATGCGGGGGTGGCTTGGCTGCAGCCATGATACGCATCGAATTGCCGAGATGAGAGGGGAATTCAGCAGGAACCTATCACATCACGTTATGAGTGAGTATAGACGCGGAAATCGGCAATGACTTCTGGTGCAGTCCTTTTAAGCCCACGGGCACCCTGGTTCTCGTAAGTACTCCAACTCGCACAAACACCAGAATCATCACCATGTCGCATGAAGCCCTGAACCCCATCCACCCGGCCGTCTTGCCGCATCTCGACCCTGCCTTTGTCGACCTCTACAATAAACATGTCGCTCACACCCCGAGCGGGCCAATTGATCTCGCGGTCCTTCGATCCAAATATTCTGTGCTGTACTCGTACGGCACTGGTCCTGCGCCGGAGCCTGCGCGTGTCTACGACACCACGATCCCAGGACACCAGGGGGATCTGATCCCATGTCGGGTATATGAGCCCGACAGCCCTGGACCCTGGCCCGTCCACGTCGACTTCCACGGTGGCGGTGCGTGCCCTTCTTTCACCCCAATGGGCTTTTCTCTTTTTATTTTTCCTTTTTATTTCTATTGTTGGTATCGACTTCTAACTGCAACTGCAATACAAGCACAGGCTGGGGCCTAGGAGACCTCGACACCGAATCCCACATCTGCAAACACATCGCCGTGAAGGCCAACGTGGCCGTCATCGACGTCGCCTACCGCCTGGTTCCCGAACACGCCTTCCCCATCGGCATCCAAGACTCCTTTGCGGCGCTGCAACATCTGGCGTCGTCTGCCGGCCGCGCGCAGTTCCCGGGGCTCGACACCAGTCGCATCTCCCTCGGCGGTGTTTCTGCAGGGGGTAATATCGCGTTAATCCTCGCCCACCTGGCGCGCGACCACGGGATTCCCCTGCGGCTGGTGGCGGTGGGGACCCCCGTCATCGACGATATTTCCATCTACGCGACGGCCGCCGACTCGCCGTTCCCGTCCATGCAGGCGATGGAGTTCGCGCCGACCCTGAACTGGGCGCGGTTAAAGTGGTTTGATGAGCTGAAGTGGCGGAGTCTCAGCGCGGAGGAAGACGTGCGCAAGCAGCAGCTGGCCGAGGTGAAGTGGTATGCTAATGCGCTCAGCGCCCCGGATTTCACCCGGTTGGCGCGTACGGTCATCTACACGGCGGGCTGTGATCCGCTACGTGATGAGGGCGAGGCTTATGCCCGGAAGTTGATCGAAGGAGGGTGTGAGGTTACCGTGCGGCGGTTCGCGGGGGTGCCGCATCCGTTTATGCATATGGATAAAGGTGCGTTTCTTTCTTCTTTGTGAGTTGGATGCGTATGTGGGGTGTTCTGGCATGCTGACTGGAGGGCAATAGATCTCTGGCAGGCGCGGGAGTTCATTGATTTGGTTGCTGGGCATGTGAAGGCGGCGCTGCATGAGGTGAGGTAGCTGAGGGAATGTCGTAGATCTGCAAATCAAACTAGAATAAATGATATAATAAGTTTAACAATGTATATCCTTAGTAAATAAAGCTCTTTCTCTGTTCTTTGTGGGGCGACGAGAGCAAAAAGGAGAAGAAGAAGCAGAAGAAGCAGTAGAGATAGAGATAGCAATATCAATACCCACCGCAACAGCAGTAGTTAAAATGATAATATCAATAACCGGCAAATGATATGAGGAACTCGACAAGAGAAGCCATAATTATTCTAGCGATAGTAAAGATAATCTTCAAGAGCTATTTGGCATACATGTTGGCCTTCGGGGGTAACTATGGTTCCAAATCCCCCTGAGCAGCTTCCATCGCATACAATTGCTCAACCAAAGGAACAATCGACTCGCGCAAACCCCTAAGCTGGACCCCGAGCATCTGCTTCACCTTCCTAGCATCGCAAGCGTAATGGGTGTCTCGTATCCGGTGCCCCGGACTCCCCAGCGCCATTCGCTCTCGGGCGGCGGGAATGGCCTCGCGCAGCACATCCGCGATCTCCTGCGTGTCGTACGCGCCTTCGGTGACCAGAAACCGTTGGTGCGAGGGGAGGGCTGTCGTCAACGCGCGGAGACAAATTCCAGCCAGGTCCTGCACATCTACCCAGACTAGCCACCAGAAGAATGGAGATTAGTTCAGTTGTTGCACCATTATGGTTTTTTCAGGAGAAAAGTAGGGCTTCTTACCCGGAGCCTTGGTTGGCGGGAGTGCATCTCGTCCCCCCTGCGCCACCTCCCAGACGATCCGATTACTGGCGTTCAGCTGCGCCAGCGAGGCGATCGGATGGATCATCTCTCCGAATACCATTCCTGGACAGAGCGTCACCAGCTGGAAGTCTACCGCATGCTCTTTGATGTATTTCCAGGCGGCCCGTTCGGCGAGGACCTTGGATGCGCGGTATGCGATGGCCTGAGTCGTCAACCATCCATCAACCAGAATGAAAAAGGATGGACGGTAATTGAAGGATTAGATAACGAAACATACCACATTGTCCGTGTCCCGCCCCTCCTCATACCCTAACGGACTCCAGTCCTCCTCCGTATACACCCGTCCAGGCTGCAAGCCCTGCGCCGCGTCGTAGACGGCCGCGAACGAGGACATGATAACTAACTTCCGTACGGTCGGACAACGGTGTGCCGCCTCACACGCAACGGTCGTGCCCTGGATTGCAGGGAGTAGGAGTCGCTGCTCGAATTGCCCCGGTTGCGCGTCGTAGGTGAAGGCCGAGGCGAGGTGTAGGATGGCGTCGCAGCCTGCCACCGCGGGAGCGAATTGCTGCAGGTCGGTGGGATCGGCGACCACGACGATTTCCAGGCAGTCCAGCGAGGCGACCCCGGCGGCGAGCAAGGCAGCTACAGTGGCACTGGCTTTCTCGGGGGTGCGCACTGTGCCACGGACGGAGTGGCCGGCGCGCAGCAGGGCGGCGATGCAGTGCGCGGCGATGAAGCCGTTGGCTCCGGTGACTAGGGTGAGCATTTGGATTGTAGAAGGCTTAGGATCTATGTCGGGTTTAAAGTCTGGACAGAATTAGTGAAAGAGAATAATATCCACTGAATTATCTTTATATTCCTATATGGCTTGAAATTATACGTAGTTCGCAAGGTGAAGTCCCCTTCCAGTATGGAGCTTTTCCGTCGCGTAGATTAGCAAGTGTTTCCCGCGCGGTTGAAGCGGAGACGGAAGCCCTGGTTGTGCATTGCCTCGGTCGCTGTGATCTTTTTTTTATTGATTCTCTTTTCTTTTCTTTTCTTCTTGTTTTGTTGATTTGCTGGAATCTAGTATCTTAATATTCCTCGAGCTGACTTTGTATCTTCG